TGCCACCATTGTTCTCTATAGCCTTCACTTCACTATTTGTTTGGATTTGTGTAAGTAACAACGGGTGACTATGTGACGTAAGCCGATGAATTTCGCACGATATCCGTTAATGTGATGATTGTAAAGTCAAGTATGTTTTGTTGTGCTATCTGTAAATTACATTTCATTAATGTTATAAGATTTCTAAAGAAAATGTTCATACATGAGATAAAATTAAGGGTTGACAAAGATATTAATACTGATATAAAGTTTAGAAGTTAATTAAAAAAAAAGCAAATTAAAAATATAAATATACGAATAACTAAATGTATTCTTCTCCAAACCAGTAGTATTTTCATGTGAAAATAATACTTAACGAATACTATAAAGATCAACCATAGTATGGTACTAGTTCGAACGCCAACTTCACAAGGATTGGTCTTGCCAAAGATCTATGGGTCAAGATAAACAGATAGAGGGCGACTCTTATCGGGTAAGAAGACACGTGGCCTTAGGAAATACCATAGCTTAATTTTGAATAACAAATATACCACATATTATGTATCTTTTTGTAGTTTATATCTCTCAAACGGATAGGTGAATTTCAATACAGCACTTCTTTATTTTAAAAGTTTGTGTGGCGATCACTAATAAAAGTACACAGGACTTTTTTAAGTAAAAAATACTGAAGACTTAAACGTTTAACTCTAAACAAAAATGTAAATGATTATTTGTATAACAATAAGTTCTTGATCAGTGTCTATGAGAAACATAATAAGATTAATCTAGACGATGTATACTAGTAAATGTGATAAATCAGATTCCATTATTCATTGTTTTTTAAGTCAAAAATAAAGAATTTCTTAATTAGTAATCCATACTTATAAGGGAGCGTTCAAGTATTACGTAACGCAATTTGGGGGGGGGAGAGGGTCTCGTAAAACGTTACGAAGCGTTACAGGAGCGGGAGGGGGTCTTTCTTACAACACGTTACGTAACATTGTTTCTAAAAAATTAGGGAATTAAAACTCGCAAACTGGCAACCCTTTACATTTACGTTACGGGGAATCCCTCGATTGTATTAGTCTGGTCGTCATTTTTTGCATGCCTTAAGCGCGAGCGTAGGTATGCTCTACTTTCACCTAAAAATTCAAATCACCGATCACGTGGCGTTAAATCGTAGTTAAATCAATAATATGCATATAAATGTTATAAAAAACACATTATTAAGAAAAGAAATTATTAATTAATAGATCAAATTTTTTTTTGAGCTGCATGTAGCCTTTTTAATATAAAAAAAGTGGATTTAATGGATTTTAATATGAATTTTTCGGATCATTCGTGGCGGCGTAAACCTTAAAACTTTGAGAGAATAAAATTTTAAACCTGAATTCTTTTTTAATCTTCTTATTATAAATATGAGAACCAACACGCACAAAATCATAACTTAGTATCCATTCGTTTAATACATATTTAATTTTTTCGGTTGAAATTTTCACTCAATTTTTCCATTTTTTTTATTTAGTAGAATAAAACTATACCAAGTGCAAAAACTATTACATAACTTTTTACGACTTTAGGGTAAAAATGATCACTTGAGTGTTACGTAACATTTAGAGAGGGGAAGGGGGGGTACAGAAAAACGTTACGGTGCGTTACAAGGGGGGAGGGGGGGGGTCAAAAATCTTCAAAAATAGCGTTACGTAATACTTGAATGCTCCCTAAATGTGAAAGTGAGTTTGTTTGATTGTTAAGCTTTCATGCCTAAACCACTAAACCGATATTAAAAATACTTGTAGTTAGTACCATAATATTCTTACATTTAACTAAGTCAGTATTACTTACTTCATTATTTTAATAACAAATACATGCGTTGTTGAAATATAATATGCTAAACTATGACAGTTAGGACATTTATGGACTTCATCAAATTTTAATGATAAGTCGCTCCATGTTCCCATTTTTCAATTGCTATATTATTTATTACTACAATTTGCATATTGCGTTATCTAAGTAATTTATATAAAAAAATTGAACTTTCGCGGTATGTGGCGCTTAGCGTTGGCGGTAGTATTACATTACACTGCCTTCCACCACGTCCTTTGTACAATGTTTGTCGTACGCACAACCAATTACGGGAGACAGCTGCATAGGTTTGCAGCTGGCCTACGTATTGTTTTATAAAGTATTTTATAAATGGTTTACCTACTTTTGCTGATTCCTCCAAAGACTTGACCTAGACTCTTCTCAAAGTACTTAATTTAATATGTATTAATGATAGAAGTAGTAATAATGTTTAGGTATGTCCATCATCGCCAAACATAATAAAAGTAATCCTCCTTTCTAAGGACAGGTCTATGTCCTGCCAGTGGACTACTAAAGGCTGTTAATGAGGATGATATTGACTCCTTTTTTAAATTTTGGAATGTTAATATAACCAGATATCAACGCATGGGTGTACCCAGGTTAGAGGAACATGGTCCGGGTCCTGGTGGTTTTTAGTGGAAACACCACATACTCCCGGCTCTTACATCCCCAAGGAGACGGAGATCCGAAGGGATTTTCCACCCTGTCAACAAAAAAAAACCGGGCAGGTACGAGTCGAACTCGTGCGCCGTGGGTTCCGTACCTACCCAGATTTTACGTAGATTTTTGCGAAAATTTGTGAGTACTAAAATTTATCTTAATTTTCAACTTTATTTTATTTTTTGGAATTATTCCTTTTTTCCTTTTCAGCTGGACATATGCCTCTCCTTAGAAAGGAGGTTTTGGCCTACTATACCACGCTGGCCAGACGGGTTGGTATAGGGCTTGTGTCAAGTTCTCCTTCTCTCTGCAGTGCTGTTATTCTGCGTATAGTTTTCTCCCTTAGTCGGCTCTTACGACACCCACGGGATGAATAGGGGTGGTGACAGTCTGTATTCTTAATCCGTCACCACACCGTAGAATATTTATTTGTTAATTGATAATTAACAAAAAAATATTCTAAGAGCGGCATATTATTGTTTTTTAAAAGACAACTCCCGTACTGGAAATATCTCCTTTTGTCACGGTGGACTTTACTTACATGCATGAAACCAACACAAAGAAGACTCAGAACAGAACAACAATCGGTGGATCACACTATGTGGGGATCGAACCCATAACACTCAGCGCGAGTAGGAAGCGGCGAGAGAGAGTTAGATAAGCTTGCAAATTCACTTGATTTTCAAACTGCAGTTGGAACTCAACTCCAAGTGAATTTAGAACTTTAGATAACTCGGTGACATTGTGTTATAGCACAAGCGGTAGAGTGTTGAGCTTACATATACGATATTTCCAACTAATAACCCGACTAATATAGTTGTTACATGTGAGTTTGATGTTGTGGCGTTCCTTCATTCAGAAAATCATATCAGGTGCATTTCGGGACACACGTGCACTATCTGGTTCCGTAATTTATTGCGTCTGTAATAGAAGGAACAACTTCTATTTTTGGATTTTGTATATTTGAAAAATTAATCCAACCACCTAATATGAGACAGTCGGGAAAAAAATCCTGACTTTGCGTGAAGGTAAAAATAATTTTTAAATAAAAATTAACAGGTAGTTGATTGACCGTGGATGAAATAAATTATAAGAAAAGGATCATTTATAATCAACATTTTATACTTAGACCATAATGCACTTTAGATTATCAATATCATAATTCTAAATATTTTTAATTAAAGAAATATACGTAGCTGGTGTCTGTAGCTATTTTCAAACGTAAATCGTTTTCCTTAACGCCAAGGATTGACCCTAAAAACGAATAATACAATAATATTTATTTCCTATCTCATTACACTGGTCCTCCCACAATGCGTTCTCATTACCGGGGTTTCACTTTACACTTCCTGCTCATTCGTGTGCAATCTGTAGTGTGCAAATCCGTTAATCTTATTTGGTGGGTAGTCAGGTCGCACGTGGCGCCACGTGCCGCGAAATCGAACTAATCTTTAGGCCGTACGCGTGGGCGAGCAGAGCGCGTGCGCTGCTCCGATAACGCCAAGAAACGCCATTCATTCCCGCTCTTTTGTCGCGAACAATCACTTATTTATTTATAATATTTGCTACTAGTCAACCTGCCACCCTCGTGACTTACTGTGTACTTAACTCGACTAAAGCTCCACGTCGTTCAAATAGGGTGTCTCAAAAGGGGCTGTTAGAGTCGTATTATGTTAGTAATACAGCATTGATTTTTTAAATTAGAGCTAATTTAGACTAATTTCATTTCCTCTACGAGGTTTATGCTATCGATATGCCTGGATTCCTAGAAACTCTGATGGTTAGCACCCTCTATGAGCACACTATATTTTGATGACGTGACGTGACAGAATCTTTTTTGGATCGATTTTAGTACCTACTAAAGTAAAATGATGATGTAACAAACATACAAGTATATTTTTCAAAGAAAAAATAGTTTTTAAGTTTTAATAAGTTATTAAAATTTACATATTCAAACTTTTAAAACGTTATTATTATTATTTCCCTTAAAAACAATGGTCTGGCAACATCGGTCGGTAATTCTCTAACTGTTACCGTGTACCTACTGAGATCGTAATTTCCTAGGTTCGATTACGTCATTAAATAAAATTTTATTTGGTTTTATATTAGATAAATCGCCTTAATAGCACGAATACGTACAAATTAATACAATAAATTTAATACAAAATTAAATATAAATAAAATTAAATACAAAACTAAATATAGCTAGAGCTTTTTGAGCTTTCGTGAAAGTGCGGCAATATTGAAATGAATTAAAGTACGTCACAATGTTATTAAAAGTATGAGGAAATAATTACATGCAAAAATCAGGTACCTAATTAATTTGGTATTATTTGCTAGTTTAGAAGGGCAACTATTGTATTCTTACATGTTTCTGTTAGACGAGGAAAAGGATAACTTTTTCCTCAAAGTAAACAACTTGTAGGTAATAAATCAGTATATTTGTACTTTATAAATTTAATTTAATATTTACTAGTTGTCGTGAGCATTTAAACATGTCTGCCAGTGTCTTAGTATTAGCAGTTTTACTTATACCGCTATTTTTAATGGTAATTTTGTTGCAAGGTAGGAAAGGTTTATTTTACATACATGCAAATCAATATTTCTTTATAATTACTTAAAATACCTACCTAAGAAATACCTAAGAAGAATATTTGTACATATAGGTGTATCATTACTAATTATTTTACATTCTTTAAGCGTTTTCCAATTCTGACCTTTAAAATGAATAGTGTTTTTGTTTGATTATGTACAAATAACGAGACAAAACATTATGACTTTTACATACCGAAATCTACAAGTGTTATAAATTCAAATTGAAATCATCCATGAATCAATCATTCTCTTGGTTAAAGATTCCTTGACCGCTTCATCCTATTTAATCATCGGAGCTGTGGCAGGTTTTGCAGCAGCTACAATAACAGCAACTCTTATGATATTGTGCTCTACCAAACATAAACACGCCATCTCGAATGAGGTTCGTAAACATTTCACTTCTTAAATATTATTTCAAAATAATATCATATCGTAACCTGGGCCATAACCTGTAAGTATATGTAGATATATAAAACAATAATGGTATACTTGATGGAATATCTCCCTAAAGCTATTAGAAAATTGTTTTTTTTTTTTAATTGTCCAAATCAAATTTCATTAAAATAGGTACATTCACTTATAAAAAAGCATCTTTTATTTTAGAATGGCTTCAAAATTCAGACCTCAGCAAACAATAGGTCCACACTGGAAATCAACGCTCAAATAAGCGCTAACAACACCTATGTTCAGGGTCATGAATTAGTCAAGTGTAATGAGACACTCACTTCTGCGTGCCCTACAGATCCGCCTCTAAACGGGCCTCAACCGACTCAAGAGAGAAAAATCAGTATTGCTAGTGATTATACAGAATCTCACTATTATACGGAAATAGATGAATATTTTATTAATAAAAGAAAAGAAAAACAAGAGAAAAAGGTATACAAAAATATATACTAATACTTATAAGTACATGTTACACACGTTGTCCGTGTGGTGACGTATTAAAAATTCAGAGTGTCACCGCCCCTATTCATCCCGTGGGTGTCGTAAGAGGCTACTAAGGGAGCAAACAACGCAGGACAACAGCACTGCAGAGAGAAGGAAAACTTAACACAAACCCTATACCAACCCGTCTGGCCAGCGTGGTATAGTAGGCCAAAACCTCCTTTCTAAGGAGAGGTATATGTCCCGCAGTGGACTGTTAAAGGCTGTTGATGTGATGTGATAAGTACATATTTTGGAGTAGCGACCACGTACCGAAAGACGAAGCGTGGACAGGCCCTTACAAGGTGGTCCGACGACCTGGTTAAGGTAGCGGGAAACCGTTGGATGCGGGCAGCACAGGACCGGTTGTTGTGGAGAGCCTTGGGGGAAGCCTATATCCAGCAGTGGACGTCTTTCGGCTGAGATGTTGATGATGAGAAGTACATGTACATAAGTAGTTTAATATAATATCAGATTATCAAGTTCTTTGTAATAAAGAAGTTTATTAAATCGTCCATCCCTATTAAGAATGTAGGATCTGCAAATAAGTAATTTTACATGAGAGCGCGTCAAAGTTTAAAATAGCTTAATTTTTATATATATTTACTTTGTTAACAGGGCCATTTAAAATGACTTTTTGTTAAAGCTGCTGAAAAACATTGATTTTTAGGTCAATAGTAAAATAAAAGCAAAATCAAGAAAATTGCATTTCCGACCTTCTTAAAATTGACAGGCGATATACCTTGTATAACAGTATGGTAACATGAGTATATGAGTATTTTATTTAACTTAATACATATATAGGTATATATAGAATAACCCACTAACGTGTTGATTGAGTGTGGAGTGAACGTGTGTATCCTCGAGTGGTGCAGGCTAGGATACTCGCTGCGCCGCGCGGTTTGAAAAAATATAATAAAGCTTTAAATCTTTACATAATAGACTTTACTATCATTTCTTGGATCATATAGATAGATTATCATGTATTTTAATTGATAAATATTTAGTTACAGCACCGATATGACAATGAGGCGTTTGAAGAAGACGGTTTTCAAGAAAATGTTGTTCAGTTACATGGCAATCCCTTTATGTACGATTATGCTTACGGCCTAAACCCACACGAAAAATGAATTTCTATGTAAAACCCAAAGAGTTCTGAGAGGCGACTGTATAATGTTGTAGGAGGATGACTAAGAAATAAACAAAAATGAAATTATCGAATTAGATTAAATTACTTGAAAGAACCCTGTTTTTTAATAGATCATAACATAGTGACAAGATAAGAAGTAGGTAATAGAAAAACATTCGTGATTAACATGTTACCTTCCCCTTTTTTTTACTGAAATCCACCCGAATAGCACCTACCAGAGGGGTGGTTATGTCAGCACGCCGTCTCGGGTACTAGTAGCCGGGGAATCAAGTGTACCCCAGAAAGGAAATCCCTGGTATCCCGGCGGGACAACGGATCTTCTACGGCATGTAGATAATCCCTCCTGTGTAGAAACCACGATGTTTCATTCTGCCCCTTAAGGGCGAACGCGCGCCGCAGCTCGTTGCGCCACCACCCAGGCCTAATTCTGCTGCTGCAACACCTGAGTCGTCTGCGGTACCTGGCCCGTTGCCGGGCCTGGCGGACTGGACGAGTTCTAAACCTATCCCGGTCCCGCTGTACCGTCCCTTTGCAAGCATAACTTGCTCGCAGAAGGAGACTGCGGAATTTCACGCGCCTCTGCTTCACAAACGTCAGGCATTCTGCCAGCGTGTCTGGCCATCGCAGTGGTGACACTCAGGCGTTCTTGCGAACCAAACACGGGTGATGGTACCTTCTCCTGAACCTGAATGTATCTAAATATTTTCTACTGAACTTAAAATAATTAAGATAGTCATCTTAGTCGAAGCGACGTACCAGATATGTTCAGAGTTCTATAATACAATATTTAACTTATTAATACTTTAATTAATATGCAAAATACCGGACATAACGAATAGATTCTTCCATCCATCCGGTAAACCGGTCATGCTTTACCGGGCGGATGGCAAAATCTATTCGGTCTACGCAAAGTACCTAGAGTCTTATCATAATCCCTGAACTAGCAGATTATATGTTTACCATTTGTCTTAGAAATGCTCTGAATGATATTAACAAACGCATTATGAGATTTACTAATTTTCGAATAAGTAGGCCTCTTTCATCTTCCTGATTCAGTAGTATAATGTAGAAAGTGGGTCTAGCGCACGGAAGAGTTGTTTCCTTATTTGTTTTAATGTTCCAAAGTATTTTTGTACATATTAAGGGATCTATCGCTGGACGATGATGATACAGAATAGTTATTATCATCATACAATTTTGCAGACACTTTGCAAAAGATACAAAAAAATGATGTAAAAAAAGAAATATGACCGAAGGATATGCTACATACATACAAGCTAATAAATAAATAAATACCACAAAGGTGATCTATTAAGTGATTCAATTCAATTAAATATTAATATATTTTCTATTTAGTAAATTAAATTAATGAGAATGGAATTCATTCGCTTTTTTAACAAAATGAACATGAATATTAGAAAATCAATGATTAAAAAAACCTTGTATGTAAAAAGACCAGTAACCAATGATCTTACAAATGTCACACGTGACATTTCAAAGTCAAAATGGCATTATTCTGTACTTCTATACCATATTGGCTCGGCTTATCCATATTGGTTGTTGGTAAATAGAACAGAACCTGTGGTAGCTTCATAAAGCCGTCTATTATTCATAAAGCAATTAAGTTCAACTTTAAAATAGAACTTGAAAATATTGGTTAATAAATACGAAGTTGTAATAGAATCAATAAAATGGGTGAAGAGGACGAATATGCGTGTGTCAATAGATCACAACTTAAGATCAAGGATAACTCTGGGATCAAAAAGAAAAAGAAGAAGAAAACGAACAAGGAAAAGGAGAAAATGATAGAAAACGAGGTACAACAGCAGGTGAAACACGCTATGGACACAAATAGCGACAAGAAGACCAAAGCTGAAATCGCTTTTCAGAAGATGCAGGAGAAAATGGTATGCAACACATGGAATGATATTACCATTACAATATTAATGCCTTGACATGTAACTATTATTGATCAAATTTAACTTAAATGTTTCTAATTTAGAAATAAATAACACTTCAACATGAAATCCAATGACTAATATATTATGTCAAGAATATTAATGTTGTGACTCTGATTTCTCATGCACACTAAGTCAGACTAGTCATAATATATTCTGAATATAAATGTCATTAGCTTATAACAAGTAGTTTGCAAGTTTTCATGACTTCTCACATGTCCAATTTATGACTAGTTGTAGATTATGTTTATACTTCACTCTATATTTTTTAGTATAGTCAGTTTTCAAAATATGTAAAGATATACCATCTTCATATGAGTATCTTTAAAACAGTTCATGATAAGAGACAATTCATTAATTTATGAAAGTGTTTTAAAAGGATCTGAAAAATCTTAATGAATCTATCTCAATAAATATTTGATTTATGTACCATACTCGATCTTTTTCTTATAGTTTTTTAACAATGTAAGAAAAAATTAGCGTAACTCGTCTTTACATGGCCTTCTTTTTGTAATTAAACTGACATTATAAAAAAGTTAAAATCTAGAGTTCTTCTGCAGCTTTCTGCCATCCGTAAACATAACAAAACATAGATTTCCATTACTTGGCACTCTATAACTGTGCTTTTCAAGTTTTTTTTGTATCTCACTACCATTCTATGAAACAAATTAACTTATTTCTTATCAAAAAAGACTGCTTGTTTGCCATCCATATTATAAAAAATTGATCATACATCCATACTAATATTTTAAATGCAAAAGTATCTGTCTGTTACGTCTTCACACTTAAACTGATTTATATGAAATTTTGTAAGTATAGAGATAGTTTGAGTCTGCCATCGGTTTAAATATTACTATGTTACTAATATTATAGAGGCGAAAGTTTATAAGGATATTTGTTACTCTTTCACACAAAAACGGATCTGGATAAAATTCGGTACCGAGACAGATTATAGTGTGGAATAGGCTATTTTTATCCTGAAAAAAGTGTAGTGTTCTGGTGGGATGTACAACAATAAACGCAGGTAGCACTGTGGGGCGCCGCTAGTATTATATAATTATCACTGAATGGACACTCTAAAAATTCTTTCTCAGAAATTCTAAAATCTAGCAAGATTGAACCTAAATCTTAATTTATAAACGCTAATGTTAATTATATAATAATAATAAAACACTTTATTTCAGCAAAAACAAAGGATACAACAAAAAGCCGAGATGACTCACAAACAAAGGGTGGAGAAATTCAACCAACATCTTGACAGTTTGACAGAGCACTTTGATATTCCCAAAGTATCATGGACTAAGTAAAAGTGTAGCTGAAAGTAATTTATAACTAAGTTATTTACTATTTAAACTTTATTTTAGTTGATATAATATGGCATTTTTTCTGTCTGGTGTTTATCAATTAAATTTATATTTGCACTTGCAACTCATTTCATAACTTATAAAAAAATATAAAAATAAGTTACAAATAAAAAATTTAACTCCATGGGTATTTTCATTTCATTGATCACTTTGAATTGCCTTCAAATAAGATGTTTGTTAGATTTACAGATGTTATTCTGATTCTAGATTCATATTTCAAAAGGTATCTCAAACGTGAATCTAGTCTTAAAACTGATTTTAAATAGAGATTTTATTTTTGAACTTCACTTAAAACGAGATTCACCGATCCATGCTCAAGTGCTAGTTTGTTTTAGAACGATATTTTCGTCCATGTATAGATATTGACAGATGTGATCTTTGTTTACATGAGGCAGGCTGAAACTGGTGATTTTTAGGGGAAATGAACGTGTTTTACGATGATTTGTTTCTGAATAATTACGAAAGATTTACTTTATTTACGAAAGAATTACCTTGTCATACACATAGAGATAATATAATAGAGGGAGCGAACGGTATAATCCTCCCTAAGTGGTAGCGTACGGCCGTTAGACAGAGAAAGAATATTGTTTTTGTCTTGATCAATCTCCTCTCTGCACTGATTGACTAATACTGAAGAGGGCATTTAAAATAGCCAATCAGTGACAAGAGTAGAGAGATGCAAGACCAAAACAATCTCCTTTCTCTCTACTACCCGTAAGCGACTGCGCCTTGTTCGCTTTCTCTTTATTTATAAGCCCTTTGGTCATACATAAACAATTCAGCTCAAATTACCTTTAGGTTTATGACTAAAGTATAATTTTATTCTAGTAGGTAATATAAAATTTTAGAACTATGAAAAAAAAAACATTTTTGACAACTATTTATAAATAACTTGAAAAAATTTAAAATATTTAATTTGGACGAGCAACAAGCTTGTTAAAGCTTTTACACTTCTACACTAGCAAGTTCACAGAAATTATGTTTGTAAAAGATTTTTAATTAGCTGCGTAATACGGAGTAATATGTACATCATGCGGAAACGTAATTGAGAGCTGACTGGAAGTTCAAAGCAGTGCTTAAAATTAGTTTCAACTAAGTAAAACTTAAAACGCGTTCTATATGTAATAAGTCCGACGTTTAAGTTTTGATCTCAACTTAAAACTAATTTCAGATAATCAGAGTTCAACCGATACTTGAGACGCCTTTTAAATACGGGCCTAGGTGTACTACAGTAGTACAGTGCGAAGGAATAGTACTTCTACTACAGTTAGCTGTATTTAGTAGTCATACTAACTACTACAAACTAAGGTTTTATATTCTGGCATGGAAATATTGGTTATTGAAAACAATATGGTAATTTAGAAAACAAAACCTTAGTGCAAGGGTTCAACTCACTAAATATATCTATTTAAAACTAGTAAGACCTTTAAACTTAGTCAGAATGTATATTTGAAATGTTGTTAGAATATTTTTATAATAACACTACCGGTGGCCATTTATTATAGATGGGTTTAATCACTTGGTACTGACCAGGGGCGTGCATTCCTCGCTCGATATCCTGATTGCGGCTATCGTGCGGAGCGAGAGTGCGTGGAACTCTGCCGTCTCCTTCTGCGAGCAAGTTATGCTCGCAAAGGAGACGGCGGAGCGGGACCGGGAGAGGTTTAGGACTCTCCCGGCCCGCCAGGCTCGGGAACGGGCCAGGTACCGCAGCCGACTCAGGCGCCGGAGGTCGCAGAACGACCTCCGTCCTCCATAAGCGCAGGCCTGGGGGTGACAGGTGAGGCCATCTGTCACCCTAGCAGAAGCAGGCCGGGGTGGCGGCGAGCGCGTTGCGAAGCGCGCTCGCTTCCAGGGAGCACAGGGAACATAGGGTTCCCACACGGGGGGGTCGTCTACTCGTCTGTAGATGACCCGAGGTATGTCGGGGTACCAGGGACTTCCTTTCTAGGGTATACTTGGTTCCCCGGCTATTAGTACCCGAGACGGCGTGCGGTTTTAGTCTGTTCGAGTCCGACATGCCACCGACAGGTGGTATCCGAGGGGATTCTCACTCTACTGGTTTCACAAAAAAAATTGCATAAAAGAAGCATAGGATGCTTAAATATACTTTTCCATGATTAAATTTAGGATAAATGATCTTGAATTAAATATATTACACGATGTGTGGAGGCACGGGTGTCATGTCCCTCAAATACAAAGGGAGGATCCTACGACTAGGTGGGGTAATTGATGTTGGGAACTCCTATACATGCTAATCAGCGTGAAGACTTTTAGACCGTAGTTTGGGGTATGGCGCTGTAATGTTTCTTCGTTTCAATCTATGTAGAAGTCGCCGCTTAAATGTATGATTTCGATGATTTTATCCATTTGATTCATAACTGCCTCGGGAAAACCATTTTAAAACATAATTAACATTTCAGAGTTAATTGTTCATCATTAAAATATCAGGAAAATTAATAAGTTGCGTGATTATAGTCATAATTTTTTATTGAGACATCTTAGCATAAATAGGTAAATGATATTAGAATAATATATTAAAAAAGGTTTTATTTTGGACGGATAAAGTTTTACAATAAAAAATATTTATATACCTAGTTTATGAATGTGTTACATTAACATAAAATATGCTAAAATTATAACATTTAAGTCTTCGTAACAAAGAAAACACTACTTCCTGAATATGAAATTGTCATTGCTAATTTTTTTTACTTAATTTAAGTAACAATGATCATATAACACATAATAGAAATTATAACACAATTTTTCCATTATAGTTCCCTCCAACAGGGACTATTTGAATTCGTGTTATAAGTTTTGTGCTGTATTTAAAAGTTGTTTTTACAATGCAACTAAAAGCGACGTGATGATTACTTAAACAAAATATTGATTATCTCAAAACTGAAAACTGCTCAAAACAGCAGTATTCAATGCACTGTTAACTATTTGTTCATTCTTCTAACAGGTACATTGAAAATAACACCCATAGGCATAGCATAAGATTTTCACGCCTTAATTAGCTGATAGAGTCCACCGATGACTCTAATATTAAAAATGTTAATGTGAGTTTGTTTGTCTGTTTGTTATGCTTTCAGCCCTTATTGTCTAACGTGTCAGGATTCACCAAAATTTAAAGAGTTTTATCCAAATTAAACAAGAGCGTAAGCGAGCTAAAGCTAGCTGTAAGCCTTCACTTGCAGTCTTTTAGCAAATCAATGACATACTCCAAATGTTTTAATTCAAAGTTTATAACAGATACCTCTAAACATACTGATGCCCTGCTAGTTGGTTATGAGAATCTTTCTGTTATATGTCATCTAATAAACATATTAGAATTAGGGGTGCCAAAGACTTTTCTGTTTGTCGTGCTTCATTTTATGGATATGCTGTTTTGTCGTGTTAAATAACGCTTTTCAAGTTAACAATTAAACACTATTTACTTAGTTTATACACTTATGCAGTACTATTTAGGAACAATCTGAAGTAACACTACTATTATTATGTTATGGCAAACACAATTTTAGTGTTACTTCACACTTTCCTTGACTTGACAACTCCATGCAATTTCTATCTTCGTCTTTAGAATAAAAAAACATAGAAATCAGTCATTCTCATATTCTAATGTCATACTGGTCATTAGCTTTTGATACACAACAAATTAAGTTTTTTTAGTGATATAGGGGGCTAACCTAACCCAACACCCCCCTACCCTAATGCTAAGGGCTCAATGGGTAGCAACGCACTACGTACATCACGTATATCTTGAGTTGCAAGAGTCTATGGGTGGCGGTAGTCACTTATAATCAGGTGACCTGTCAGCTCGTTTTAAGGTATAGGTACCCCTATATCATTAAACCACCCATTGAGCCCTTATCATTAGGGTAGGGGGGTGTTAGGTTCGGCCTACGATAACCTTACTCAGTGGAAAGCAACGAAAAATTGACTTTAAGATACCATTAGGTACATTATACTATTATATAAAATTAAAAATTACAATACTGGAGTAAGATAAATATAAAATAATAAGAATATATATTTACACACACCAAGATAAGGCATGTTAAGGCACACACATTACACATCGAGATTCCAGGAATTTCATTTTAATTCTTATCATCTTTAAGTCTTTTAACAGAAACATATTATATAAAAAGGTTGTAAACACAACTGGACGGATAATTAGGACTGGAACTTATTTAGAAATGTTATGTCTACTTACACCATCTACTTATTATTCCTAACACCTATGATAATCGTAATAGAAAAGTTACTACAGTTAAAAGTATCGTCATCACACTGACTGTTAGTTCAGTAGCTGCTCCAGTACCAAAATACGAAAAAGTGAACACTTTAATAAAGTTTTCCTTAGTGGACCACGGATCGCTGCCATCGTCAAAGTGCATAGGACATTGGTCTCTCTCTCGTTCGTACTCTTCCATCTCGACGGCGACTGCTGCGCCCTCTGTATAGTTCCATGACGTTACATCTTGCTTCAAATCACAATAGGGACCTAGAGCTTGAGACATAAGTACTCTGGAAAAGAAAATGATTTCCTTTTTAACAAATCGCCCATAAATAATGGGGCAGTCTAAATACATTTATTAACATATCTTTGTGTTAGAAATTATATTACAACTCTTGCATTTTTATTTATAAAATAAATTTTTGTGCCTGTCTTAATCGGCAATAATATCGAGGTTGTACAATGAAGAAATGAATAATAACAATATTACTAAATTAAAAGAAAGAATATATAAATAATATTCTACAACAGTAAAAAAAGAAAATTGCTTGTGACTTCATGTAAATTATCAACATACCTATTAAGATCAGCCCGTTGATACACCCAACATCTATACTTTGAGAAAGGATCCAGTTCATCATAAGTAACCAGATACGATTTCAGATTCTCCTTCCAAAATCCAATGCATTTCATCCTGTAATCAGGATCACTGTAGATATCCACTGGTCTACCCAAATGATCCACAGACAGACAATAGTTTTCCTTGATTTGTATAGTTTTTTGATCTATATCACAGACTGAAAAATCGCTAATATTTAATTTGCAGTAAAGATTTGGCCGAGGACTTAAAGTAACCCCTCCCAATATTCTGGTTTCAAATTTAACATCTCCTTTCTGGGTAAAGTTGAATTTGCCGGCGACAGGACACCGGATTGGTGTGGGATCTTTTTTCAGGAAGATATCATAGCGCCACTCTTGTTTGTTAGGGAACTGCACCCAAGAGCATACTGTGTGAAAATTACTTTGTATCATAGCTAGGCCCTTTCTATATCTGAAACAAAATAAAAAACATATGAACAGAGTGTCTGATAGACAGATAATTATTATCTTGTGCAAAAGATCCTACTAGATTTAGCGAAAAAATATATCTGCTGATATGAGTCTGCTTATTTATACTGCTCTACTGACTGCAACCGATAAACTGACTTTCTCAGTGAAAAAGTATATATCAGCTGTGTTCACACTTATGCTTATACTTATGTGGGTAAAGCAAATGTTTTACAGGACAGAGAACAGTGACATACAATTTTGAATTGGATTTCGTACCAAAACTCAGTTTTAGCATGAAACTATTTAATAAAACATTTGGTAAGGTGTATAAGTCTCATTATATTAAAGAATAAGTGATAATTATATTTCAACACCATCATTTGTCGGTCTTTCTGCTACATTGCACTTAATCTATAAATAAACTTGCTGTCCCATACTTACCTAATAACATTATGATGTTGTGGTACAAAATCAAAACACACATAATCTTTTTGACATCCATCGACTGTTAAGCGTGCCATCATTACTCTGCTGTCACGTTGCTCTCTATAAGAAATTGATGACAGTATTATTAAACTACATTGTACTATAACTAATCATTAAAATTCCTAAAAAACGAAATAAGACGAACTTCTGGAGTTGATAAAAGTGTTAGTTAATAGAAATCATATTCAAATACTAACGCAATAAGTTTATATAACAGAATTAAATAATAAAATCATACAATAATAATAAAATATAAAATCTGATAAATAAATAAATAGTAGTTTTTTTTATGTTAGATGGGCAGACGAGCAGACGGGTCACCTGATGGAAACTGACCATCGCCGCCCCTTAACGTCTGCAACTCAGGAGTCACAAACGCGTTGCCGGCCATTTAGGAAGGAGTACGCCCTTTTCTTGAAGGTTTGAAGGTGGTATCGGTCCGGAAATACCGTTCCACAGATTCGTTGTGCGGGGCAAAAATTGTCTCGAAAAGCGCACAGTAGTGGAGCGCCAACTATCCAGGTAATGAGGATGAACATTTTGTCGTGTGGAACGACGGCAAAAATTTGCGGCTGGTATTAGACCGAACAATTCCTCGGAGCACTCTTCATGATATATGCGATAGAGAATGCAGAGTGAAGCCACATCTCTACGTAACGCCAAGGGATCGAGCCAAATAGTAAGTGATTCTATATAGGATTAAGAATACAATCAACCGTGTTTTGACAGCTTAAGAATACAGAGTGTCACCACCCCTATTCATCCCGTGGGTGTCGTAAGAGCCAACTAACGGAGCAAACCCTGCAGGACAACAGCACTGCGAAAAGAAGGAAAACTTGTAACGAACTCTATACCAACGCATCTGGCCAGCTTGGTATAGTAGGCCAAAACTTCCATTGCACGGAGAGGCCTAAGTCCAGCAGTAGAATGTAAGTGGCTGTTGATGATGATTCTATATTTACTAAAGAGGCAGTAATAAGAAGATCAATGGATTCTAAATATAAACAAAATTTCAAGACTAATGAAAGCTTACATTACTTAAGAGCAAAAAATTACCTGCAAACATAAATTGTTCTCCGATATCTACCCTCATCCGGATAATAAGTTTCAATGATGTGCGTTTCATTAATAAATACATCAGCGTCGATGTTGGCCGTGTTGATCCAATCCCCAGAGAAATTTTGAGGCAGACGACAACCTGGTTCTACTACCTCTGCCTATAAAACAAATCAATATAATATGTTCGTTGAGCAGTTAAGAAATTCTGTTGTTTTCTTTGTTTGTGGTATGTTATATTCTTTAAGAATTCCCAAAAAGACATTATAAAGCAACATTCACGTCTCATACATTGTATGTGAAACAAAACATGGATAAAAAAGCAGATGGTGCTGTAATCTGGTTTCAATTTTAATTCATCTAATAAGTTAATGAGGCGATAGGAAATTCGTTACACAAAATTAATACTGAGTGCCATTTTAGCAGACTTCACTAAATCGTAATTTTTTTACCTTGACTGGAGTAACTCTGTATCTCTCGGGCGATTTTTCCACAGTCTTTAATGTATTGCATTCAGGTGTGATAGAAGCACCAATGTAAAGATCGTCATCTCTGTTTTTTAGAAAACATCGATACTTTTCATCTTTTCGAGATTCTTTTGTATTTGCAACCGCAAAAAAGTGGTTTTTATTCACAAACCAATGACCTGAAATTAATTACAAATAAAACCATTATTGTGAATTACTATCAATTCTTTAAGGGATATATTTGGTTTAGTTTAACAATAAATTATTAAATTAATTAATAAGCTTAAATAAACGGCGGTACAATAGGCTTCAATTACAAGTCTTTCCGACGAGATATTTTCAGAAATACAATGCAAATTTGACTAGTCTATTAATGGTATAAAATTCAAAGCAAAATGTTTTGTTTGCACCTGGTCTTTTACCTATAATATAATATAATAATAGCCTTTATTTCGGACAGTTTTACATCTACAGTATTTAACATCTTAATTATTGTAAAAATTTTTTACTTATATATTATATATCTTATCTATTACGCTTAACTATTACTCATCGACAACTCTGTCTGTGTGCCACTTATTGGCAAAGGCCTCCTCCAACTTCTTCCATTCCTGTCTATCCTTAGCAGTTCTCGTCCATGTGCCCCCTGCTAAGGCTCTAATGTCGTCCACCCATCTTCGAAGTGGTCTTCCTTTTTTTCTTTTCTTATGACTTGTGAACCAGTTCATTATCGATTTCGACCATTTCTCCATTCCTCTAATTGTATGTCCTGACCATTTCCATTTTAACTTTTTTATTGTTGTTGTTACATCTTTTGTTTTCGTGTGTTTCTTTATGGTTTCGATTCTAATTCTGTCGGATAGTTTTTTCCCCATCATACTCCTTTCCATGGAGTTTTGGCAAGTTTCTAACTTTTTAATGTGTGCTTTAGTGAGTGCCCAGGTTTGGCAACCATAAGTGAGTATAGGTAGTATGCTGGTATCAAAGAATTTTCGTTTGATGGTTATGTTAGTCTCTTTATTTTTCATTATTTCCTTTAGGTTCCAAAATTGTTTCCAGGCATTTCCAATGCGTCTGTCAATTTCTTTTGAGGTTAGATCTACAGGAGAGATTATCTGGCCTAAATAGATATATTCCTTGACATATTCAATTGGGTTATTATTGATCAGAATAGGTTCTTCCTTGCCATTGGTCATAGCCTTGGTCTTTGATGTGTTCATGATCAATCCCACTTTACCACTTTCTGTAACCAGGTCACTCAGCATCGCTTGCAGTCCATCACTCGATGACGAGAGGATTATCAAATCATCCGCAAATCTTAAATGTGACAAGTTTTCCCCGTTAATGGATAGTCCACATTTCTGCCAGTCCAATTGACGAAAGACTTCTTCTAAAACAGCAGTAAAGAGTTTCGGCGATAGCGGATCGCCCTGACGAACGCCTCTGCCTATTATAATGTCTTTACCTTCCTTCTCTAGTTTTATTTTAGCCCTGCTGTTATCGTAGATATTTTTTATTATTCTGATGTATTTGTTTTCAATACCTTGGTTTTTGAGTGCCTGCCAGATTTTTTCATGCTCTATTGTGTCGAAAGCTTTACTGTAGTCTACAAAGCAACAATAGAAGATTATGTTGTATTCTTTGCCTTTTTCAAATAGTTGTTTGATAACATGAATGTGGTCTAGAGTTGAATATCCGCTCCTGAAACCCGCCTGCTCTCTTGGTTGGTTTTCATCTAACGTATTAGTTATTCTGTAGAGTATGATTTTTGCGAAAACTTTATATATATTCGACATCAGACTTATGGGCCTATAATTATTAATGTTGTTTCTATCTCCTTTCTTGTGTAGAAGTACTATTGATGATGTTGTCCATTGGCAAGGTATTATCTCGTTTTCTAAGACTTGGTTGAAAAGATGTTTGAGAATTGGTATTAGATGGTTTCGATTTAGGATGAGGAACTCGTTGCTTATGCCATCCGATCCTGGAGCTTTATCTGCTTTTTGAGTTCTCACAGCTCTTTCCACTTCCTCACTTATTATGTCCGGTACTTCACCTCCTCCTGTTAGGATTGTTGTTTGTGCAGTGATTTTCCTTGAATATAATTCTTTAAAAAATTGAGTGGCTATTGATATGATTTCAGGGCGTCGCTTTTCGCATTCATAATTTTTATTTATTAAGTGTGGTATCCAATCTCGTTTTTCCAATAGTAGTTTAGCTGCTTTTTTGGTGCCTCCAGTTCTTTGTATGCATTTCTCCAGTTGTTCCAATCTGTATCTCTGACGGTCTTTTCTCATGTGTGTTTTAATTTTATTACTTATATTGGCAATATCGTTTCTTATAGTTTTTGTCTTTTCAGGGTTAGATATTAGGTCTGCTCTCTTTCTTATCAGTTCTTTAGTTTCATTTGTTATCCATTTTGTCCTGTTGTTGCCACTGTCTAGTTTGCCCTTATTATTAGTATAGAGAAGTTCTTGGAATTTGTTGTATTTACTCTGTATGTCTAAGTCTTTTGTTTTTTCTATGAATTGTTCTAGTTTTTCTTTTAGTGAATCAGTACTTCTTAGGTCTTTTACCTACATCTGTTAATAGTATATAAATACTCTTTGCAGAAAGTCCTTGTTGAGTCAAGTCAGGCCCCTTTATTTTGTGGGTGTAATTTACCCAGTTCAGTTTGCCAGTGTGGTGGAATCAAATACACTATAAACACACAGGATTCCATAATTCGCCTAAAATATAATTTACAGTAAGTTTATTCTTTTCTTACTCACCTAAACAGCTGTACTCCACAACACCATCAAAAGTATTAGACATTCCTGCACACTTCCTGTAAGTGATATTAAACTTCTGGTTTGTGATCAAAAACTGAGTACCAGCTGTTTGACATGACTTAATTTGTGCATCAGGGTGGTTACATTCACCCGTAAACCTAAAACGGTTCTGGTATGCAAACTGCCATACACCTTCCAATGATGAACGGCAATTGACCTGCAATAAATAGCATACCATAAACATTTGTAAAAATCATAAAACTCGCTTTAAGCTTTATTTTCTTTTAGAGTGGGTTCTGGGTGGTCTTCTAACCCGCAACAGCTGGATAGCCTATAAATTCTAAACGAAAAACCAATATAGCAGTTTCAATGCTAATTTTAAATAATAGAGCTAACTAAAACAAATGCTTAAACGAAAATAAAAAACATTATTCACTGAAACATTTTTAACAGAACGTCCTGTATGGAACACAACACTTGTGAGGCCAGCAGTTGTGGATCGAAAAAATACCGGGTGTATTTTTTTCAGCACTGGAAAAAGTCTCTATAAACACAAGGTGTGTTATTCAGCAGTGAAGGTGTTTTTTTTTATTGAAGTAAAAAAATTACAGAAACAGCCATTAGTCAAAATACTGAAAAAAAAATCTAAAATTTTAAATAAAAAACAATTTTTTTAGTACTTTATTATACATGGCTGTTTTTGTATTTCATTTTTACTTTCAGGAAAAAATTCAGCAAGGGTCACAAATTGTTTATAAAAATTGTTAACTACATAAGCAATGATTTTATTCATAAATTATTTTTTTGTTTACCTATAGCGAAATGCCTATTTAGAATGAAAAAAAATCTTAATTAATAAAACAGTCAAAAAATTAATTTTGCTTTGACAATAAAATGGCAAGATTTTTTTAAAGTGATAACTTCTTACGAAAGTGTAAACCGCTTCGTTACGTAACGCGTTACGGCGCCAATCTGTCTGGCTTCCCTTTCTCTCACGTATACGGCAGTGGTAGGCAGCTCCTCCTCTCTCACTCTAACCGCCAGCGCTAGCCGTATTTCGGACAGACGTTTTACTTACAATTTAAGTAAAAACCTAAGCTTTTCTCAAGATAAACAATTTCAATATTAAATAGTTCAACTTAGATTAAGTTATCACTTGTGTTGGGTGTCCCGAGACCCAGCTTTTTTTTTATTATTATACTTAACCATTTGTTTCTCAATTTACTTGAGAATTTTTTAATAAATGATTTAAACAATTTTTTTTCTATTTCCCTCTTTTTGTTTTGTCCTAATTCCCTCTGTCCAGGTACACAAGTCATATGTATGAGGATCGCAAAGTCGTTTGCGAATGATAAGATGGATTCTGTATATTTTCCATTGGCCTTAAACCTTCTCATTGCTATAGGGCTAAATCAGTTATAAACAATGTTGTCACATCCAAATTGAATTTATGCAGAAACAGGCTTTTTCACAATGCAAACATTTTGTAAAAATTGAAATACTTACAGGTACATAATTTTCAGAGAACAATGTAATAAGATTCTGATCAGGATTGAGACCACGGCATACTCTCTCCACAGTAGGTTCTTCATTAGGACCCAAATCAACACAAGGTGTCTCAATCTTCTCTAGTACATTCACAGTACGTACAAGGAGCTTTACACAATAGTAGCAATTAGTGTACTTGAAAACCATAGTATAATTTACTCGGTATTCTGATTTTATATTCACGCATATGCCTCTGAAATAATTAACACACCAAAATAATTAATAAAAATATGTCAATAACATATCTTCAGGTTTACTTTATTAGTATATACTAATCTGAATCTCCTTAGAAATTAACATACAAAAAAGTCTTTCAAAATAAGATTGAGTCCTCAATATTTCCTTAAGAACTTTATGCTTTTTCTGGTTTAAAATATTAATGAGTTTCATAAAAGAAATTTTATTTAAAATTAATTAAAGCTAAAGAAGTTATATTCTAGATCTATTAAATTATCGATAGGTATAAATTTTCATTAAAAATCGGAGGAACACAATCAAGTGTTGCTTCAAAATCTTATTTTTTTATACTATTATTATTTTCCGTGTGGTGACAGGTTAAGAACACGGAGTTTTACCACCCCTATTCATACCGTGGGTATCGTAAGAGCCGACTAAGGGAGCAAACTATGCAGGACAACAGCTCTGCAAGAGAAGCAAAACTTAAAATAAACCCTGTACTAAGCCACCTGGCCAGGGGGGTATCGCAGGCCATAACCTCCTTTCTAAAGAGAGGCCTATGTCCAGCAGTGCTCTACTAAAGGGTTTTGATGATGCGATTATTATTATATTATTACCTTCCAGTCATTTCATTCGCATTGATGTCTGTGATAGTTTGTTTGCCGGTTTCAAAAGAAAACCATGTGTTTCTTATTACTAGTGGTATTGTACATTCTGCGACAACAGTAGCAACTAAAACATAAAATCTTAGTTACAGGGCGTTTCCATTAGTTGTAAATTTAAATTACTGGATCAATGAAAATACTTACTACTTATTGACAGCAATGATAGCACAATTAACAGAATGTTACGAGCCATTTTTATTGTAAGTATTTGATCGTTTGTCTAACTTTTTCATTTAAATAATTAATAAGCTTTTAAAGCATAATCTAACATTAACGCGCAAACTTTTGATTGAAATTGATTGACATTACAATACAATAAAGAATGAATGATAAATAATCCCAGTGTTGTCGATTGAGAAAAATTACTGTCGCTGTCCTCAAACCTAACCTCAAACCGATTAAATCAAAAATAGTCTTATAGGCTTATTATTTATTAACTTAAAGAATAAATAAAAAAAAAATAGCATCACTTTTGCGTCATTTGTAACAGTTTTTCCTAAGCACTTTTATAATGTGATTGGTGCTTTCCCCAAACTTTTATACCATAAATAAATCCTGTTATGTTTAAACCTTATGCAGATTATAAATAGTTTGTTAAAACTTAGAAAGATAGCTTAGAGCCGGTTTTTCAATCCTCAGATAAACAGTTAGATAGCATTTATTCCACAGTTAGCGTAATTTTTTCGATTTTTCAATGGTCAGTAGCTATTATCTGAAGAATAAACCTTGAATCGGAGGAATAACTATTTATACTACACTAATATATAATCATTAATAAATTATTTGTTTACATTCTCTAATATTCGTTGTAGTAAAGTTTATATACGTTGCCCTTATTGATTATTTAAAGTTTAGAAAGAGAAGAGAAAGATCTGACAATACTTTGTGTGATGATGAATAATTTTATTACAAGTTATTAGCAAATCGGCTGCCCCAATTTAAAACCCAGTAAGTTCTTTTTAACAACTTTTACAGGAGAGCGCAAAAACAACAACACAAACAAAACGGACTAGCCTAACAAAAGTGTTAGAGTTAAAGTAAAAAAGTGATGTTTATTGGATAGAGTACTAACCACTGATTACAAAATGAGTAAAATATTTCGAAAATAATTTATATCGCATGTTTTGTACCCCTTACTAACTTTGAAAATGAACAAACTCAACTTTTACCTCTGTCCTGACGCGTTTCAAAACTTAGTATAAGCACTTGCTGTGTTCTGGAATGGGTGTAATGTATCTTGTCACGTATGCTTTCGGTGTAGTTCCTAAGCAAGGAAAATATTCAGAAAACACTTATTTTGGAATCATTTATTATTAAAACAAATGTGTTTTTATATTAATTTTAAAGAAGAAAAACTGATTAATTAATTTCTGTAATGATTTCACCTGCACTTATTAAATTAACTGAAGAATCATTCACAGGAAGATTCAGCCAGAAAGCCTTCCGCAATTTCCCCTCACGCTATCCCCTAGAATTGAGTTCGTTCACAATTAAGAAAATCTAGTAAGTTGCATTGACCATTTTAAAACGTAGCAAGTATTAGTGACATACTAGGTTTTATAGTTGTGAAATCGACTTACTAGGTTTTTGTATTGGTTTTTAGAGAGCACGTAGAACACTTACTATGTTTTATATTATCAGAATATCCTTAATTTGTAAGATTTTAAACCAGGTAATTTCACAATTCCACGCGACTCACTATCAAAGTTCGAAATATGCAAAAAGAGTGATTTCAGAAAAAAATACCCTTACTGGGTTTTAAATTGGGGCAGCCGAAATGCATGTCTCGAAAAATGCTCGTTTTTTTAATTTATTCTATTTTATACGAAATAATAATAATATGCTATACCACATGAACACAACGCCATCTAGTTCCAAATTAAGAGCTCAGAGTTTGTACTATGGGTACTAAATAACTGATATTAATACATTTTCTATTTTATGCCTTTTTTTGTAAATATATACATATTATAGAAATAGCGGAGTATAGTAGGCCAAACCCCTTATTTCTAAGGAGAGACCTATATCCAGCAGTGGACTACTAAAGGCTGTTGATGATGATGATACTTAGAAACTAAATTAAATGTAATTGTACCCAACATGTTTGAATGGAGAAATCGAACCCACGACCTTTCGATTAGCAGTCCATTACACAAACCACTACACCATTGTTGACGTCACCACCACCGTCCATAAGGACTCAGACGGAAAGGGCCTGAAATATTTTTACCGATAAAGCTGACTTGGGCTGTTAAAAGGTTAAAAGTAATACCGTCTTGCCCGTAACGCCGTGAGTCATTGTAGTAAAGGCATGACACGTTTTTTTAATCGTATTAACTTCGTTTACTTCATTTTAATTTTTGCATGCTATCACCTATGCGTGTTGCGTTCACATTGGCTTTATATTTCTTTCGAAATAATAGAATATTTTATTATACTAGCCATTGTCAGCAGCTTAACTAGCGTTATACTTACGTCCTCAACTGTATTCTGTCTGAACACTTGTAAAATTTCATTATAATTAGGTATGTAAATAAGACGTGAAATCTAACAAACGAGCTTACATTCACATTCTGAATATTATTCATCTCACCTCAGCCGAAAGACGTCCGACGCTGGACATAGACCTCCCCCAATGTTCTCAACAACAACCGATCTCATGCTGCCCGCATCCAACAGCTCCCCGTAATATTCACCAGATCGCACGACCACCTTGTGGGAGCCTCTGTCTAGTATTATCACAGACACTTAAATATAAAGCCCCGATCTTCTTTTTCATTATGTTGATACTCGACGGTGTCGGTGTGACTTTAGTTTAGTCCAGTTATTAATTAAACAAAATCAAACCAATATGTCACACTATGTTCTGTCTGAATTGAACTAATAGTTTATGAGTATTGTTATAGTTAATCTTTAGGAATCGAGATTTCTAGAACCCCAAATTCTTCGTAGAAAATAGATCATATAGAACATAGAAACTAAAGTGAATCCATTACTTACAACTCTAACGAGACGTTTTAATAGTAGATGGGTCAGTGATAAATATTGTTAAAGGATTTGTAATATTTATGGGATTGACTTTAAGATGATACAAAGCAACAGTAGATCAATATGAATCAGTAGAGTAGACAAATCTAGTAACACTCATAACACCAATGTCAATAATATAAAAACAAAAATACTGTCAGTTCAGTCAGAGTCCCGGTAATAATAATTGTAATCTGTGGTTAACCGTATGTGTGGTATTTACTCCCTACTGTCAAATGTCAAAGTGAGAGTTGAAAACAAATTCCATCAGTTTGACACAGACCTCACAAAGTATATTTGTAAGTTTGGTTTACGTGTAGTGAAAAGTAAGTATTGTGATGAAGGAAATGAAACAAATCTTTCATATCCTTTTTGTAATATAGTGTTTTAAATGTCAGGCTATTTATTGTAACTCTTAACTTCTATTAGCGAAACTAGAAGAATGGGTCGTCGAAAATCGAAACGAAAGCCTCCTCCAAAGCGAAAAGCGATAGAGCCGCTTGACCAACAGTTCAACTGCCCGTTTTGTAACCATGAAAAATCTTGTGAAGTTAAAATGTAAGTACATAAGATAGTATTCTGATTTCATGGTTTACGAAAAGTTCTGTATTAACTAAAGTTTATCCACATATTTTAGGGATCGAGCGCGGAATACTGCACGAATACAATGCCGAGTTTGTTTAGAAGACTTCCAAACTACAACAAATGTGTTATCTGAACCCATAGATGTTTATAATGACTGGGTAGATGCATGTGAAAGCGCTAATTAGTTAGTCAAGGTGTTAATTAAAGGTTTACTATAATACTTAATAGTATTTTAATCATATTAAAGATTGTAAGATCGTCAAGATATTATTTAAGGTTATCTCTCCTAAATCTGACTATTTATTTGTGCCTGCTACATTCATGTCATAAGGTGAATAGAGGTGGAAGAAAGGAAAACTAACTAACTAAAACAAGTTGCCGTTTTATTAAGGTAAGTACAGTGGAATCCGTTTATAATGACATCGAAGTGAAATGACAAACATGTCATCTAATGCGGATGTCATACAAAGCATTTGGTACAAAAATAAACAACCATCTGTTTTTGTGAGGTATATATATAATGATAATAATATTTATTCCAAATTGTGTGTGAACAGTTTATATCAATGTGTATGTATTTATTTTATTTTTTTTAATTTATATTAATATGTAAAAATTGTATGTAATAAGTACATTATATATTTTTTGAAATAACAAATCAATGCTGTTTGTCTGCTTTTGTTTTTTCCTTATATTAAGAGACTATAATAATAATAATAATATTCTACTACATTCACACAACGCCATCTAGTCCCAAACTAAGCAGAGCTTGTACTATGGGTACTAGACAACTGATATAAATACATATATACTTTTTTTTTGTAAATACATACATATTATACATAGAAACACCCAGACCAAATCAAACATTAAATGTTCATGCACACAAATGCTTGACTTGAGCGGGAATCGAACCCGCAACCTTTGGAATAGCAGTCCGTTACACAAACCACTACGCCATTCGGTCGTCGACTGTCTAATAGTATTATGTAAAGAAGATCATAGTCAATTTATAATTTTCAATATTGCCATGAACAAATTGGAATAATAATTCTGCAGCCTTTAATGCCTCTTCTGCGTTAGGTAATGGTTCTTCCTTGACTTCCTTCCTTCTGTATGATACATCCATCGGTGGGTTCTCCAGATGAGAGGAGACCTCTATCGATGTCAATATAATCTCACATTCGAGTCATAATAAACGGATTCTATTATATTATATATTTTATACTAGCTTTTTCCCACTGCCTTTTCTTTTATCATTGTAAAAAGTAGCCTATGTTACTTGCAAATAAATGTAATTTTCCATTGGTGAATCGATTTAGTGGTTTAGACGTGAAAGCCTATAAGTAAATACGGATAATCTCTTTCTGCTGTGTCTTTGACAATTGTCTAACTTTGTAATTACTTTATACTTTATTGCCTAGACGTTTACCTGTATTTACCTTGTTTGATAGGATAAATAAAAAAACATAATGTATTTTATAATGGTATAAATAAAAGATAATAAAATAAATTCTGAATATTTAAGTTTATTATTCACTTTATTCCACCAACAATAAAGCTTATAGGGCATTATTACACAGCCACCATAAGCAAGGTTACATATTTTAAGATTTAGAAGCAATTACTCCTATCTGCTAAGCAAATTTAACAATGTATGGACTGCTACATTCATTACTTTGATAATTTAAAATGATTAAACAAATAATTTGTTTAATCACAATAATTGTTTAAAAGCATTTATAAATTAATAGATCATTACAACATTGGGAAACTAGTCATTATAAAGATCAATTATAAATATTTCATGACTATTTAATATTAATTAATTAATTATTAGGTCAATGCCCTAATTAATATTTTATAAGATACAAAATTAAGATCTATACAAAATAAATTATGACCTGTTTTGCAGGTGCTCTTGATTATTCCACATACATGATTCACATTCACTCACAGAACAACAGTGACTTTAGTATGGAAGCTTTATTAGTTTCCGGCCTAACCGCAATAAATGTAAGATAATTTATGTATTTTTAAATGTGCTACACAGATTATTCAATGTAAAATGGAATGTTAAATACTACATCAAGCACAATAATCTCACCTTAACCTTGTACATTAAACTTTACAAAGATGTTTACAATACTACATGGATCTGTTCAACCGTAAATGCAGCAATGGAAGAAGCAATTACATTCAGAAATCTAACAATAAATAACTGATACTGAAGTAACATGCTTGCTAAAGGTGGATAAACACTTTGCAAGACATCTTTATAAAATGGGTTGTGAATTCCAGCAGCATATATTGGTAAGAAAATTCCTTTAATAACGTCTCAGTGTGAGTATTATGTAAGTTTATGGAGGATAATCCGAGCAGGTATTTGGAGACAACTGTTTCATAGCTGATGTTTTGTAAAACATATGCCAACCGGCCCCAGCAAGTATACTGGTTAATACACACTCCTCCAAACGAGGCCTTTACAATGTGCAAGCTGCACATTCTTGCAAGGAGTATCCACTTTTAGATTTATAAACATTACATACTTAATAACTCAAATAACTTTTTGTTTGAAGTCAGTTTAACAATATAGAATGAACAGAACACTATAACATTACATGTATCCTAGTATAATTTGTCATTAAAATTTGTATCTACATAAATTTTATGTAGATGTTTTAGTCTCATCCAATCACTAGACTCATTTTAACCATCGAATTAGAAAATTGTGTAACTCTTAGCAGTGGTCATTAATTGACTGTAAATTTACTACAAGTGCAGTTAAGTACTTAAAGTTTAGTTGTACTAATGCTTAAATGAAAGCTTCACTTTCTACTGAGATATAACAACATTTCTCAAATATTTTATAATACTACATATTATTATTATATTTTCAATATCCCTTACAGCTATCAACATTACACATTGATCAAAATATGCCTATTAATTAATAACACAATAGACAGCATCAAGCTGCATCACATTTCAACAACAAATTGAATAAAATAAAATCAATCTATAAAAATAATATAATACATTGTAGATAAATTGAGCTATTGCCTAGACTTTCAACCCAGGGATATCTGTAACCATGTCATCGTTCACATTTAACAGTATAATATATACTAAAATTGCACACACTATGGAAACATTAAAACAGTAGTTACGAAAAATATCTAATGAATAATTTAACTATAACAAGTTCTAGGGACATTGACATGGTTACTAGAGTCGCATACCACCGAGCCCCTCTGTGCACAAGCTGTGTTAAGAAGGTATACAAGGTGTCAGAATAGCTCACACTTAACTATTAACGATAGACTGGTATACTAAAACAGTACCTAATTTAATCAAATCCTTCAACAATTGAATTGGAATGTGTTTGTTATACAAACTACAATAGAAACACAATAACATCCAAAACATATGAAATATCTTCAACAATCACGGCGTTATGCATGTTAAAATTCATATAACATTAAGTTAGCAATATCCACAGAGAAGCAAATATGTTTATGCAAAAGTTATATTATTTAAACATGTTAAATATAGGTATTAGAATATTAAAATTTGCCCATGTCTATAAAAGAGTCATACTGCAGGTCGTAGCTGTCGCAAACAGAATGATCCTCAGGGGAAACGATACTGGTCAAAAATTGTACTGGAGTGTTGTCACACGTTGCTGTGTCGTCACTATCGTCTGAATCATCACTGTTACTATCGATATATTCATACAATCTTGCTGTACAGCTGCGAGTCTCAACTGAGATATCACAAACATCTACTTCGTAAGAGCTACTCACGGTCGATGTTTTCTCAACATTGCTTGCGCTACTGTTACTGGTTCCAGCTGTAACACGACAAGATTGAGATGCTCCGTAAAGGCTGATCAATATTGTCGGAATCTCGTCATTAATTTCCACACATTTGCTAGTTCCAGCCGAAATTACACCAACATCAGACACTTCGCAAGAGATTCTCTGTATATCAACATTTCTAGATATGTGAGTTTCAGTTGAAATAACTTCGGGTCTATTAAAAGGGTTAATTAATATCGATGTTTTCTCAACATTGCTCACTGTAGACTTACTAGTCTCTGCCGAAACGTTATTAATATCGGACATTTCATAAGAGCTCACCAAGGTTGATGTTTTCTCAATATTGATAGCATCAAATGAATTCGACAGTAACGCGTCTTCGATAGCAACAGTTTCAAAATTAGACGAAGTTGCTTCTTCAGTAAACCGACCAGAGTCCCCGAATTCAGAGACATTGGGTGACAATGTGATATCAATGGGTAAAGTTACGCTTTCGCTTTGGAAATTTGAAGGGTCGTCAACGTCTTGAAAACTTATTTGGGGAGTATCTACTTTAAGAATATCTTCAGCAATGTCTTCTTTTGTTAGGGAAACTGAATTATCATCAGATAGATCGCCGTCCGCGTTTAACGTCACCGAGTCATAATTAGATTCTCTCTCGATTTGTAAATGTTCCAAGTCATCCACACACTTAGTGGAGTCGTCACTGCTGTCAGACACTATTAATTCTATGCTTCTATCCAAAATACCCGTATCTGTGCAAGTGGACATTTCATCTTCGAAAACAATTTCAACGCTTCTTATCCTCATTAGGGGCATTTTAAATGGTGATATTTCGTTACCTTTGGCTGTCATACCTTTCTTATGACTTATATCGATTAATGACTCGATGCATTCACTGATATCGTCGTAATCGATTTCGTAACTCCTGAGGTCGGAGTTGCAGGGTGTGCATTCGGTTATTTTGGCGATATGTGCCTTCGATGTATAGTTATGTGAGTTAGTGTGATCTGGTGAGGGCGATAGAGTGGTATGCGTATCTAATCCCTAAGGTTGCAATGATTCTTATTGTATTGTTGTACCTAGATCTAAACCACCTTCTTCTTGCATTTTCGTCAAGAATTTGAATACTCTAGACTCTTCGTCAGTCTGTTTCACCATATCGATAAGTGCTAATAGCTTCTTGATGCCGATGAAGATTCTGAAAATAATGTATGTCTTGTCAGTAAATTTAAGTCTATAATAAACAACAGTTTTAGTTCGTATTTACCTACTGAATTGCGAAGAATAAACTGCACTGATGACAATATGTAAAGAAATACTTAGTTCAATCCAACGTTTATCATTTCGAAACATGTCTTCTTTGTACGTAATTAAAAAACAAATAAGTATATTTTACTTACAAACCAATGAGTATATTTATATGCGAAACTCTTTATTTTGTGTTGCAATAGAACTGTGTGTCCCTTTTAGATTTAGTTTTATCTATTAAACTATTGGTGCTTAACACATTTTGAACTTTGGTTCGATATTAATAGAAGTATGTCTGTATACTGTGTTTAATTCATCATCATCAGCCTATCACCGTCCGCTGCTGAACGAAGTGGCTGGCAGCGGATAGATACGGACTAACAAGACCGGGATAGTTGGCGCTCTGTGGGGGAGGCCTTTGCCTTACTACATTTTCATTATTAACTACGCAGGACAACAGCACTGCAAAGAGAAGAAAAACTTGAAAAAATGGTAGGCCAAAACCCTCGTTCTAAGGAGAAGCCTATGTCCAGCAGTGGACTATTAAAGGCTGTTAATGATGATGATGATGATATTTCATTATCCCTCCTATTTTATTATGAGCAGGAAGCATATATCTTTTCTTAATATTCTACCACATTCACACAAAGCCATCTAGTCCCAAACTAAGCAGAGCCTGTACTATGGGTACTAGACAACCAATATAAATACTTATATACTTTCTTGTAAATACATACATATTATACATATAAGTAAAAGTGCCAACATACTTTGCACCTCGGATGCTACGACGAATCTTCTGCAAATCTCGTTTAGAGAATGGATTGGGGTTGGTGCCCATTGGGTGGCTTGGGAACGAACTTTGCTTTTTACTTGCACGAGGCGACATGCGCAAGTGCCCCATCCACCAAGGACGCCATACATTCCGTCTAAATACGTAGGTAATGAATAGTGGCTTGCAATTTGCGATGAATCGATGGAAAGATACAAAATGAAATTTGCATGTTTATAGCTCGATTTGTGTATTGTACCTTTACTAGAATGTTTCAAAATTATAACATTCAGCTATAACAATACAAAAATCGTAATTAATGTGATATTGTATAAAATCATAGCCAAATAAATCATAATTAAATTTATAAAATGGAATGTGTTTACCCCGTTATTTTAATCTTATTTCAATACGAAATCGACACTCTGCGTCGCCTGCATAACATTTATTTATTTATTCTTTATGCACAAATGTAGCTAAGGTGGACTTAATGCCGTAGGCATTTTTCTACCAGTCGACCTTAGGGCGATGCAGACATATCACCATAGTCGATTATACGGAATATTAGAGTCTGAACAAGCATTACCTTAGTTTTCGATGGAAGTGAAAGTGAAGTGAAGTGGTGGAAGTGAAGCAAGGTCAAGCTAGCTCATACCACGGTTACTCCCAATAATAATAGCCTGACATTTGTTCTGGTTCATCGATACGCTGAACATATTGAATCAGTGTTTAATGGCCACCAGGTCACTATTAACGACTGAAACCGCGGATGATATATTATATTGCACAATTTTTTTTGGTAATATAACTGAAATTCATCAGCGCAGAGATGATAGGAATACTGAAGACTTAGGGTGATAAGAGTAATAAAGATGGAAAATAAGAGGTGAAAGAATACCGCCCTGAGGGGCGCCAGCAGCAAGACCAGATCAACTAGTGGAAGAATCTTCCATAGCGACTGAGTATTGACGATCGCGAAGGTGAGAGAAGAAACAGTCGAGAGCTTCTTGAGACCGAGAAATAGGATAGGACAGCAAGGAGAAGGTCATGACTGACGGTATTGAAGGCATTGGAAAAATCAATCAGTACTAAGGTAGTAGTAGTATATTTGTATCTTTCATCCCCACTTTAAGATCGCCAGTCACTTTAAGAAGAGCAGAAACCGTGCTATGGTCTGGTCGAAACCCAGACTGAAAAGGGGCGAGTAACTATGGTAGTAACCTTAGTATCTTTCATCCCCACCTTAAGATTGGTAGTTACTTTAAGAAGAGCAGGAACCGTGCTATGGCCTGGTCGAAACCCAGACCGAAAAGGGCCGAGTAGGTTGTTACAGTAAATGAAGTGAGAGAACTGTTTGTGAACGCAGACTTCTAGCACTTTGGAGGGGAAAGGAAGGATGAGTGGAAAGCATGGATTAGGGGTTTTAAGAAGCAGGTGTATATACGGTAACAATGTGGGAGATAGCACGGAGATAGACTAGCAGTGCGGTGATCATTCTCTGACTGATAAGACTGACAGACTGACTAATCTCTCTTTCTGTGACCGGATATAAGTGAAAAGGGCTCAGTTTAGAAACGCAGTAGACTAATGATAAATAAGGTCGTCATAATTAAGGTCGCAATCGATCAGTGCCGCCCAGTCAATACGTGACACATCGTCACTCAATCTGTCGATATTCAGTCGCCTAAAGCAAAGCCTGTACAGAATCTTAGGTTTTGGATTTGGTGGTTTGAGGACATAGGGGAGGAAAATTAGGTCATGATGTGAGACTCCGGGCGCGTCAAGTTGACCATGAATGGAAACAAAGGAAGGATTAGAGGTGATTATTAAGTCGAGCCAAGTGTCCTCGCAGGCATTTACATCAACAAAGATGTACGTACATACACACAAAGTCATCGTATACACTTCTCGTAATAAGAATATAATAATATGAACTTTTCAACGCGGGATTATGGCTCACGGTAATTTAATTAATTAAAAAATTACATTTATCCGGGATAAATAGTAGACAGTAGTCCTATTCTAGACTAAAAACTATCTATACCAGATTTTGGAGCCGATCTGTTGTGATCCCGTAACAATCATCCATTCATCTATCAAAAGTTTCACAGGTATAATACTAATATAGATTTAATAACTCACTTAGCTCCTCGAATATCCTGCTGTATTTTCTGAAGATCTCTTTTGGAGAACGCATCGCTTTCTTCCAGAACGGCCATTACGTGTTCAGGTGACGATAGGTTCGGTACGTGTAGAACTCCCGTGAATGCCGAAAGCATCTCCATGTCTTCTAAAACTTGCCTGTGGTAATGAGAAAACGATACTGTACTAGGTTTGGTGACAAGCTTCGTTAAGATAGTAATATACATTTATTATAGAGATTAATTTTACTATTATTTAGATACATTTTTGGCAAATTCATAGATAATTATTTAAACATATTTTTACAAAAAAAAATAATTATAAAAAAATGGAACTAGGCTGGACTCAAATCCGCGCCTTTAACACGGCAGTTAGAATGAAAGAATAAATTTTACAATGAGTCAATTAAACTAAACTCATAATCTCTTTTGCACACTAAAATGTTATATCATATCTTAAAGACAATTGAAAAACTAATTTCCTAATAATTTATCAAACTGTTTTGTTCTATTCTGCGAGTAAGAGTCATACGTATATTTAACATTAATGAGCGATCAGTACAAATCAAGAGTTTTTTAAATTCAATTCAATGTTAAAATCATTCAACATAACCAGTGTCTCAGTTTATGTACGATCTTGTAAAAATGTCTTCTTCTTCTTCCTTTAATTCAGTGGCTCCATCGGATGTCGATGATTTTGCCAATGTCTAGGTGGGAGGTAGATTTATTAGTTAATAGGTTGAAAATATTTTGAATACCAAAAGGGAATTGTTGTGATTTTAATAGTTTCTGTTTGTGGTTCTGTGGGACAGTAGAGAAAAAAGAAAAAGGACAGTAGAAAAAAATATAGCAGTAAAGGTATTAGGAAACTTTATAAATTTATTTTATTTATACGAATGAAATGGTAAAGGATCCTGACAAATGGGGTATATACTAGAGTTAATAGATAAGCCAAATTAACGGGTCGGGATATTTGTTGAGGGAGTAGATCATACAGAGGTACGACCAATTTAGGACAAGAAAAGAAAATATGTTCCAGAGTGCCTTCATCGAGACCACACTCACATAGAGAGTGATCACGAACTCGAATTTTGGCAAGAAAAACTGGGGTACTGACAAATCCTAATCGTAAACGAATTATAGTAGAGGTGGCTGACTTATTAACATGTTTTTGTTTGAAGAACCAGGATCTAGCAGGAATTAAGGGTTGTAGAGAGCCGTAAAATTTACCCTTGATCATTCTACTGCTTTGCCATGTGTTATTCCAGGACTCAGTCAATGAAAGTTTGGCTAGGGAGCGCAGATCTCGGGCGAAGCAGAATTTGTGGCTAGCGCATCCGGTCTGAGCTGCTATTTTGGCGCAGGAGTCCGCAGTTTCATTGCCTGCTATACCTGAATGACTGGGGATCCATGCTAGAACTACTTCAATACCAGACAATAGGCATCTGTGAAGAACCTCTTTAATTTTAAGAATTATAGGGAAATTATTGCGAGCTTTGAAAGGATTTTTTAAAAGATCTTGTAGGCAGCTCAAGGATTCTGACAAAATAAGGGACTTATCAAGCTTATGAGATTCCACATAGGAGACCGCTTCTAATAAGGCAATAGATTCTCCTGAAAAGATAGAGTTGTAGGAAGAGCATTTATAACTTAGTATAATTTTAAATTTGGGAATCCAAACTGCAGAACCAACAAAGGCATCTGAAGAAAGTTTTGATGCATCTGTATAAAGCGTAACCCAATCAGACCAATCCTCCGCAATGATGTGGAGAAAGTTTTGGTTGGCTGCCGGAGAATGTTTATTGATGCCAAAGTCAAGGATGATTTTTGGTAGGAAGGTTAACGCATTATAGTCGAGCTCAAAAAGAGGATTTAAAGAAGATTGAAAGATAGGATCAGATAGATTTTTCATTTTAATAAAGGAATTAAGGAGCAAAGGGATAGACTTGTGTCTCCAGTACAATGAGATAGTGGTCAGACTAGAAAGTTGAGACAGAATTGGAAGAAGGGGATGGGAATTAATTTGGACTGCATTAAAGAAGTATCTGTCAGCTAAGAATTGGCGGCGAAGATGAAGGGGAGGTTCCAAGCATTCGACTTGGAGGGCATTCACTGGAGAGCATTTCATAGCACCAGTTATGATTCGAAGGCACTTAGACTGGATCAGCTGAAGCTTAGACAGAGCACCTCTATTACATGGTTCCAGAAGGAAAGAACCATAATCAAAGTGACTCCGAACTATGGCATTGTACAAAAGTTTTTGGCAAAAGGGGTGAGAGCCCCAGCGAACCCCAGATAAGGCCCGCATAACGTTCACACCCCCCTCGCTCTTTTTAATAACATGGTTTAGATGGTGAATACCAGATAATTTAGAATCAAGAATGAGGCCTAAAAACTTTATGGAATCTTTTATTGGAATTAGTTCGCCTGCTACAGAAAGGTTGATATCAGGGATATTACGTTTGCGAGAGAAAACAAGAGCACTACATTTAGAAACAGACAGAGAAAGATTGTGGTCCAATAGCCAAACGTTTAAATAATACAGAGCGGAATTCAAACGGGAAGTGGCAGTAGAGAAGGAGGATGACGAAAAATATATGGCAACATCATCAGCATATTGAAGAACTTTACAAAAAGAACTGACAGACTGGTCTAGGTCGAAAGTATAAATATTATAAAGAATGGGACTAAGCACTGAACCCTGCGGAAGGCCCTTCCATACAAGACGAGGAGGGAGAAAAGAACCTTGATGACGAATAGAGATAGTACGACACATGAGCATATTGCAGATGACGTGAACCATCCTCGCTGGAATACTCAGATGTAGCATTTTCTGCCTGAGAAGAGGAAGATGTACATTGTCATAGGCTGCAGAGATGTCCAAGAAAACACCGATTACATTCTCGTTACGAGAAAATGCAAGGCGAATTTCAGAGGAGAGGATGCTGAGGCTATCTAAAGTGCCTAAACCTTTTCTAAAGCCATACTGGTTTTTGGCTAACAATTCGTTGTGTTCTAGAAACCATTCGAGTCTGAATTTAATTAAGGTTTCCATTATTTTAGCTAGTACTGAGGAGAGCGCAATAGGGCGATAGGAAGACGAATTTCTGGGATCTCTACCAGGTTTCAGAACAGGAATGACAATTTGGGTCTTCCAAGATTCAGGTATTTGACCATAATAAAAGATGGCATTGAGGATACTGAGGAAGAAAATTTTGGAAGAATTGGAGGATTTACGAATAAAAGAGTAAGGGATACCGTCAATGCCGGGAGAGGAATCATGAAGATTATCTAGAGCAAAGGATAGTTCTGTGAAAGAGAAGGGATCATCCATGGTATTTTGAGAGGAATCTGGAATAAACGGATAGGCAGGTGGGAAACAATCGAAACCTGGAGCATATGGAGGAGCCAGTTGGCTAAGGAAGTCGTGCAGGAATGAATGAGGGTCATTGCTAGAGATATTTGTTACGTCAAGACTTTTTCGGAATGACTTGAATTTTTTCCAGACAAGTGAGAGACTAGAGCGAGGAGATAAGGACTCACAAAATGAACGCCAACCTAAAGATTTTTTAGCAGAAAGAAGTCTAGTTGTGCTAGCAGCAATTTTTTTGAAATTGAGGAAATCCGACATAGAAAGGGATGCAGCAAATTTGTTCTCAGCCTCCCTGCGCTTCTTAACACTGGCAGTACATTCAGAATCCCACCAAGGGGGAGAAGCAGTCAATTTATTGGAAGGAAGTTTGAGGGGAATAGAGCAATCAGCAGCTGAGTTAATTGCAGAGATAAATTGGTCATAGAGGACAAGAAAATTAAAGGAATTTGTTTGAGGGAGAGTGGTTAAATTTTGATCTAGAGATGTTGCAAATTGCTCCCAATTGGCTTGGGAAACTCTGTATTTGAGGAGGGGTTGTAGGGTTGGGGGAACATATGAAGTAGAGGGGAAGTATGAAATTAAAATAGGGAAGTGATCACTACCAAGGGAGTTTGGCAGGGGGGACCAGGATAGGAGGGAGACTAGGGAAGGAGAAGATAGTGTTAAATCTGGAACACTAATATTTTGGCATGGAGAAACTCTACGAGTTGCGGATCCATCATTAAGGGTGCACAAGTTGCAATCATCCATAACGTCAAGTAAGACAGAGGAGCATGAGTCAATACAGTGAGATCCCCATAGAGTGTGACGGCAGTTAAAGTCTCCTAAAACAATCATAGGGGAGGGGATAGTTGAAAGAATTGTTTTTAATTCAAGAAGAATGCTTGTGTTGGGATGGGGAATATAGACAGAGACAAAGGAAACATTAAAAGCTCTGAGGGCCACTATATTTAAGCCAAGAGAGTGGTTTGGTAATAAGATTAGAGAGAATGTAATATTCCTATTGACCAATAAGGCACAACCAGCATAACCATCACTTCTATCATCCCGAAGACAAGAGAAACCAGGAATTCTAAAATGGAATTCAGGCTTTAACCACGTTTCGGAAACTGCAAAAACAACAGGTTTATGTTGATTGATCAAGTAAGAGATATCTTGTTTGTTACGTCGGATACTCCTACAGTTCCATTGCAGGACCTGGAGAGCCATTGGAAGCATTATTTTTTGTGATAACAGAAAGTAGTTGTTCAACAAGAACTGCAACGTCGTACGGTAAGGCATCTGACATTTTAGACAGCATGTTAATTAAAGAGCAAAGAAGGAGCTGTACAAGATTGTCATTAGGAGTAGCAAGAGGAGTTGTTTCAGTAGGGGGGATAAGACAACAACCATTAGGGTGGATAGAAGTTGGGGACTGAGTAATTGTATTATGGGCATGAATATCATATGTCTTCCCAGACATAGATATACGGCGAGGGGGAAGGTTAACTGTTTTTTTGTATGATTTAGAGGGAGAAGCAGATGGGAGAGGTATGATGGATGGATGAGTTTGAGGGTTTAGAGGGAAATTAGCAGGGGATTTGGGACTGGCAGCAGCCTCAGAATATAGCCGCTTGGCAAACTGTGGAAATCTAGCTGATGCTTCCATATAGCTGAGGTTTTCCTGAGACATGACACTTTTGATGGATTTTTGTCTGTTGTGTTCGGGACATCTGTTATCAGTAGCACAATGGCTACCACCATGACATAAAAAACAAGATATCTCCGAGTCAGGAACCAGGCAGGAGTCACCAGAATGCGGCTGAGCACATTTATAGCAGCGGGGCTGGGACCTACATTGTTTGGCAATGTGGCCGAACCGACAACAATTCCTACATTGTATGGTAGGTAACTGGTAAAGCGACACTGGCAATGACGCATTAAAACAAAAAATTTTTTCTGGCAGACTGTCCTAGAAAAGTTAGGACCACAGAGTTCGATGGGACCCAAACGGATACTCCATCTTTTTTATTCTTAACGTTAAGACGTCTAGCTCGAACAACTTCACCACAATTCTTAGGGACAGATATTCCAGATACTAGTTCCTCTAGAGTCCACTCAGTAGGGATATCCCTAACAACACCCATACGAAATACTTGGAAGCGAGGAATATTTGCCACATAGTTATATTGTCTGACAATTGGGGAGTTAACAAAATTATTCGCTGAGATAGCGGACACAAATTCCACACAGACTTTGTTACGACCCATATTTTTAATGGTTCCCTCTACAATATCAGGTATTTTGTTTTTGTATAAGAACTGGGCGAGTTTGAGTGCCTTAAGGGACAGGCCGGATGATGGATCAGGTTCAAGCCTAGAAACATACACAGAATATGGACCCTTGTCTGATACCGAGTATTCGAGCCTGGAATCAGACTCAAATCCAGGTTTTGAGAAAATTGACTGAATCGATTCAGCTGGTGAACGTATTTTCTTTCCATCGAAGTCAACGGGAAAGACTGAGTCCGATTGTCGCTTTATAGCTTTGGGTTTATCGGGGGGTAACACACCGCCCCCATCAGGGGGGTCTTCCGCGCTCATTTCCGTAGAAATGAGCGCGGTTGTTAATATTCACTAACCTTGTTAAGGATTATTCCTGCCACAGAACCACACAAACACTATTACGAAAGCACAATATGAAATTATATGCCAAAATTCAGAAAATAACCTAAAAACTCACTACTGTCGCTTCAACACACCAGAGACCAAAACAAAACTTAATTTTTCGTTTGACATTGACACTTGACTGTCTGCATGTTTTGACAGCACAGTATCGATACCGGATAGCTGATGGATAATGGCTGTAAAAATGTCAATACTCTATCGTTACTTTGACAGTTTGTAGACAATTAGGCATGGAAAATAAATCGTTAACGTAAACAAGTTTAATTAATTTTGGCAACAGTTTAATTAGTCGAAATTAATGGATAATGCTAAACTCACCTTCGACTGCTAGTGCAAAGGATAAGTAATTTCCTGCCCTTCGGTGGCTGTTTCTTCAACAATACCAGCAGCGCTTGCAAAGTCAAGTTGGAGTACCGAGGCCCGATTGAACCGTAGTCAAGGAGACGTTCGATATTGTCCACTAAGATGCATGACAGACTGGAACGGTAGGCGTCGTCGAAATACTGTGGATTAGAGTATGTTATATAGTACAATGTCTAATGGGTTTTAAAACATTTACATGTCTTTGATTCTCTTTAATCAAAACTAATACTGATGTCTGTTTCGCATCATTTGGCATTTGAGAAGGATTCATTGCACTTAGGGATTCTTATGTAATCTATATTCTATTATAGTTAAACCGCCGTAAGCTTGGCCCTCCTGATGGTTTGCGGGACGCGGGGCGGGTGATGCGCTCGGCTATACATGACACGATGTACTAACTCGATATCTTCAGATTTTTTTTGTTTGAGATTTAATCTACACACGATGTAATAAAAATCGAATTTATTCCATGTATTACAATGTCAGTGTATTGTAAGTATTTATGATTAATTGTAAAATTTAATACTGTAAAATAATTTTAATAAAATCACCTTATCTTCATCATGTAAATTATATTCATATACAATTTAAAAATTAAGTAAAATAATAAATATTCTTTATTAGAACTTTAACAGTAGAACCTCTGTAAGCCGAACTTCAAGTTTTTATATCTTTATGTGACGCAGAGTCGGCAGATTATCCATGTTGCAAAATAATAACGTGTGTAGCAGTCTTAAGAAAAATAACACGTACAGCCATGCTTTCACGTCAGTCACTGCCGCCGGACAGCGACGCTCTAGCTAATTGGTTGAATGCACCCCCGCCCCGCGTCCCCCAAACCATCGGGAGGGCCAAGCTTACGGCGGTTTAACTATAGCTCCGCCCGCATGTATTTCGGTTATCCAGGTAAAAGGTGGTCTATATCCTTCCTCAGGAATCAAAGTATCTCACTCCCAAAGTTCATTAAAATTGGTTCAGCGGTTTAGCCGTGAAAGCATAACAAACAGAAAGACTTACTTTCGCATGTAAAAAATACTAAGGCAGGATTAAGCTTCGAGATTTAAGTACCTATAAATTGTATTTCACTAGTTCAGTATAACTTTCAATTCAGTATGATTCAGCAATAACATTATCAATGACTCAACAATAATCATTATAAAGTCATGATCGATATCATCGATCAACACCGAGGGGAGGTGACGCTGACCATACCCTGACAAGCATATTCTAACAAAAATAGATAATTTTGTCTTGCTTGTGACTCCTGAGTAGCCGACGTTCATGGGCGGCGGTGGTCGCTTTCCATCAGGTGACCCATTTGCTCGTTTGCACCCACTTCCATTTAAAAAAAATGAACACCTGCTTACCTTCCTGATCTGCAGACATTTAGCAGTTTCAGTAAAGCCGACCATATCTTCAGGCGAGCACACTTTGACGAAGGGGAAATCAGACAACTTCGCCAGTTCGGCCGCCAAAGCTGTCTTGCCACTGTTAGGTGGGCCTTCCAAAAGCACTGATACCAGACCTAAAAATATATTTTGGTCGTTAATATCATATGCCGTTTTCTGGATAAAGTACAAAAAGTTGTATTTATTAAATCATGTAACTAAACACACGAAGATTGCTTGTACGACAAAATAAGTCTCTCCCTAAATATGCAATAAGAATATTTAAACAAGCAGATCTTACCGCTGGCTTCAGTAGCTCGGGCCTGCTGGATGTACAACTGACCATCTTCGAGTAAAGACGACACAGGTGTGCCCCAGTTGATAATACCTCTTGACAAAAAGTGTTCCAACGCCTCAGCGGCCGTACCAAAGGCTGGTTTGATATCGTTCTCTAACGCGTGTAAAAAGTCGGCACGTTCAACCATCAGCTTCTCCATGGCTTCAGGGTCAACTTCTACTTTGCTAGATGCTTTGATTAATCGGTTCATGGCAGTTGATTGGGCGGCACGGACTAGACCTTCAAGTTCCGCGCCTGAGAAATTCTTTGTTAGTGCTCCGAGTTCCTGTGTAACGAAATATGGGCGACTGTCAGCTTACAATAAAGACAAAAAAATCCTATTTAAAGTTTTAAAAGAGCTTAATATTATTGGGCATAAGATGGTCATTTTTGTTGGTAAAGATTGAGGCATGATTGTATTTTGACTAGCAATAATACCTATATGCATAAAAAAATTGTCACAAACCTTGGAATCTACATCTTCTGCAATCTTCTTATATTCCTTCATACGTTTAGTATGAATATTTAAGATTTGCACGCGGCCCTGCTCGTCTGGTAGGCCGATTTCCATTTGAACTTCAAGTCGACCAGGTCGCATTAGCGCTTCATCAATCATGTCCCGACGATTGGTCATACCAATGACTAGGATGTTATTAAGTTGGTCCACACCTACAGTTTAATACTTATTAGTAAATGATTAACTCTAAAGAAAGCATGTCCAAATGAGCAAGATCACTGAGCGTTGAAGCAAACGGGTCCTGGAGCGGAGACTGAATATCAGCCAGCAGATAGATTGAAGGTCTAATATTAAAAGGGGAACGTTAATTTTTCCTAATAATTTAATACTCGTATTTACTTAAAATTGTGAAATTGTGAAATGCGACAACACCATTAGGAATAATTATTTATTTAACATTATGCATTTTGTACATCGGCGGAGTTAATGCCCACGGCATTCTCTTCCAGTCAACCTTTGGGTGGTGTAGAAATCTTGTAAGGTAGGGGGCACAGAAGTTACGTCATAATATATTAAGTAATCAATGAAAAAATAGCTACATACATAAACTTATACAACACAACACATCATAAATACACATCATATATATACAAATATATTTATAGATACATAGACATATTATATTCGTACACTATGAATCCCGGAATATGAGGTATACTATGGATTAGATAGTTCTGCCATTGTGTTAAGAAGATCATACCTTCTTTTTGAAACTAAATATTATTTATTATTGAACATTATTTATCAACACCTTATAAAATATCGTCACCACCACCGTATCAATTATTTTCGTGCTAAATAAACATTAATAAATTATTTTAAGCTTCTTTCTAAATTCAATTAATCTACTAGACAAAAGATTAATCATGGCTTTGCCTACTGGATAGACGTGAAGACCTAGTTTGATGCTTAGCTACTTACCATCAATCTTTGACAGAAGCTGGTTGACCACAGTATCGTGGACGCCAGTGTTCCCACCAACAGAGCCTCTCGCTTTGCAAATGGCATCGATTTCGTCAAATATGATAATGTGAAGACCACTGTTTGGTCCAGCCTGCAAAAGTTATGCAAGTTAATATCGAAAAGCACAACACGTATAAAATAAAAAATCCTATTATATATACATAAATCAGGAAAAGCATGGCGATCTTGAAATTAGATAGCAACAATCAATATATTTTTAATTAGTGTTAATTTGATTTGAGTTTGAACAAAGGCTTCGGAAAACATACCCTCTTTTCTTCTTCCTCGGCATCAGCAAATAGTCGTCGAATATTGGCCTCACTCTCGCCAACATATTTGTCCAAGATTTGAGGACCGTTCACAATTTTGGGTTCGCGTGCGTTTAACATCTTTCCAATTTGACGAGCCATGAGGGTCTTACCGGTACCAGGTGGGCCGTAGAGTAAGATGCCCTTGACGTGTTTGCAACCTAAACGAACATTCAGTAGCTTTAAGACCCAGACCAGAACTCTATGGTTAAGTGTGTATATGTTATTAATCTGACGGTGATGTGACAACTGCACTATGAACAAGATGAACATATTTACCCATTATAAGTGGTAACTTTAAATAGCACTAGGCAAATAGTAAGATACCTATGCTGAGAATATATTCAGAGTTGGTTTTAGCTAAAACATTAAGGAGGCCACTATATCCTGTAATTTTTTTTATATGAAAGGTTACAACGACTTATATTTTCATTTAATTTATGTTTTCATCAGTGAAGAATCTTTAAAACCCTTACATGTTTTTTAATATAACAAATATGTCATCTAAATATATTGAATATAGTTACCTAACTGCTCCACAACTTCTGGTGGAAATACACGAGAAGCGAACGCCCGTCGGAAGATAGCATTGAACTCTTTATCTAGACCACCGATACCCATTTTGCCAAAGTCCCAGTCAGGGTTGATGATTGACTGCCGTGGTTGCTTTCTGTGCAATCACACAAGGTGAATTCTATTAATATTGCGTTTTTTGGACTGTACATGATTTGATGATAACATTTTATAACGAGTGTGTTTAGTCCAGTTTATAACGTGTGTTTAGTCCAGCGATCGATATTGCATATCGATCGCTGGACTAAACACACGTCGCTAAGTAGTATCAAATCGTTGATTAGGTAATTTTTTTATAATTATCTCAGTGAAAATAAATCGGGTTTTACGTTAGTACACTCTTATTTTATCTGAACATCATCTACAACGTAAAAAACTTCCACTGCTCCACCAGCTATCTGATGTCACTGTACAGTACATGGTTATTATTTTAATTTAAAAATTAGTTCTGATAATTAAGCAACAGATTGACATACCCTTTAGCTTTTCCAATCAAGTTCAGGGATGAGTTCTCAGCCTTATCAAACTGAATGCAGGCATCAGGCAGTAAGCGTCCTATTCTGACCCGGCGCGGGACAGCATTAGCGCCGGCAGCTAACGCTTGAACATCGACAGCTGAAACAATTTTATAACAAATGTAAGCTTTAAACAAATTATCAAATACGCAAGTCTATGGTACTGGGACGAAAAATCACGTACAAACGTCGAACGAAAATCAACGAACCCTAACACGTAACAGTATTATTAGACTTAAAAAGCGAATAAACCATATTTTTATATTTTCTGAGTCTTTCCCGGGTACGGCGGAAGCTTAAAGCAGGTTAAGCGCCTGCGCTTATTTCAAAGTAACCTAATTGATACGGTTTACGTAACCGTTACGTAACTTCGTAGGCAAACCGTAATTCTGAAAGAAAACGCTCAGCTATGTCACTTACGAGGTGGTACAGGAAAAATAATGTATAATTAAGATTTTAATTAATTAAGAAAAATAATAATTTTACCTTCTAGGTTTTTCACTATCAATGACAGGACTTTCTTCTCCTGGAACGAGAAAGCTAACTGCTGCCCAACCGTAAAGATCTGATTGGAGAATTGGATTAGGAAGTCTCGAGCCATTTGTTCTGAGTCGTAGGGCTCCGTAGACGTGCTAAAACAAAAAGATATTTAATATAGATTAAAGTGGTGCAGTTCTTGGAAACATAAACACTTAAAATGTTTTAGTTTTGGTTGATATTAATATAATGAAATGAATGTATGAGTAAATAATAATGAAATTGTTCTCATATTAGTTTAGTATTAGACGAATAACTTCAACCAACATGCCCCGCCCACATCTCATTTCTAATCTTATTCTTTGTTCTGTGCATACGGTCCATAAGATCCTCTGAATATCGTATCAAACCTTTTTAAGAAATTATTAATTGGAACATAATATATAAGTTATAAATACTTAATATATGAGTTTAGAAATTATGAGCAAACAAAAGATGTGCATATAAGATGTATTTAGACTTATCCATTTGTCTCTCCCTGTTCTATGTTCACATTATTTCCCTTTCCATATAATTTTTATGTCATGCATAATTATATACAGCATCATTTAATTAAACTAGTGGACATTCTTACTTAATAAACTATGTAGATAGAGATTTATTTTCTACATTCTTTGCAAATATCTTAAATATAAGAATTGTCCTAAATAAGTATTTTACTGAATAAATTATTATATGGCATATGGTAATACAAGGGTGGTAAATATAATACAAAAACACATCCAACACATTTTGCAGTCTTAAATTCATGGCGTATAAATTATTAATCACTAACATTACAATCACAGTAGTCACCTCAAGCGAATGCGACTTACGCCGCCCATGGACGCCTGCAACTCAAAAATACCATCAAAATTAGGAGGAGGGGTGTGGTTGGGCGGGTGGCGGCGAGCGCGTTGCGAAGCGCGCTCGCTTCCAGGGAGCACAGGGAACATGGGGTTCCCACACGGGGGGGGGGGGTCGTCTACTCGTCTGTAGATGACCCGAGGTATGTCGGGGCACCAGGGACTTCCTTTCTAGGGTATACCTGGTTCCCCGGCTATTAGTACCCGAGACGGCGTGCGGTTTTAGTCGGTTCGAGTCCGACATGCCACCGATAGGTGGTATCCGAGGGGATTACCGCACGGAAAAAAAAAAAAAAAAAAAAAAAGGGGTATGGTTGGGAACATGAATGCGGTCATGGTTCGAAGCGAGAGTGCGTGGAACTCCGCCGTCTCCTTCTGCGGGCACGTTATGCTTGCGAAGAAGATAGCGGTGCGGGACCTGGAGAGGTTTAGAACTCTCCCGGCCCGCCAGACCCGGGCACGGGCCAGGTACGGCAGACGACTCAGGCGCCGGAGGTCGCAAAACGACCGTCGCCCTCCATAACTGCAGGCCTGGGGGTGACAGGTGAGGCCATCTGTCACTCTAGCAGAAGTAGGCCGGGGTGGCGGCGAGATGCGCTGCAGAGCGCGCGCGCCCTTTCCGGAGCACAAAGGGAACATGGGGGTTCCCACACAGGAGGGGGCATCCCAACACTCGAACCGGTTTTTAGTCAGTTCGAGTCCAACATAGCCACCGGTGGTTGTCATCAGAGGGGATTTCCGCACAGGAAAAATGAAAAAAGGGGGATGGTAGGGCTCTGGTTACAATTCAGCAATAAAAATATTCATTTTTCCATTTTCAGTAATAAAAATGTTCATTTTGCAGTTTTCTGTTACTCCCTGGTATCATTCCGGTCAAGCGGCTCAAATATGCCCAAGACTAGGTCTCCCACCATATTAAATATTTGAACATAACATTAATAATTGACACAAATAGGATAAAAATCGATGGCTCGTATCCTTAACTGGTAAGCCATAGTAAAAACCAGCCATAGCCATAGTAAACTTACTGCATTACATGATTACAGTATATGACATCAACATCATATTTACTGATCTATTTATATTATTAGATTACTAGTGACACTTACGTTTTCTTCAACATGAAGTCAGCCTCCAAGGTCACACTGCATAGGCAGTCAGCACTTTGCGGCTTGAATATTTTCACGTCAATTGTCTGCAGGAAAATATAAAAATATTTTCAGAATTATTACACACAGAATAAAATCTACAAACATATCCAAGTTATTTTTATTGAGGTTTTTGCAATCTATATCAGTGTGTCATTAAAATATTATGTGATAAATGATGCAATTAATTAATTGATTACAACTTATGAACAACTAAGGAAAAAGTTTTCAATACAATGAAAATATAATGATATTATTAAAGTAAACAAAATCCATAGACTCTCAAATTCAACTACTAAGTGACTGTGAGAGACAATCAATTAATTCTTTACAAACAATTAACAAGTAGAATTATAAAGAGGTATAAAATTTATAATTTCAATTGATGTATACCTGGCCAATTGATAGAGTAGCCCATTTTCTCTGTGGAGCAGAAAAGCCCACAGTTCCACGATCAACACCACTGTAGAATCTGATACTGAAGACAAAATGCTGTGATGGTCCTGTGGTCACTTCAATATGCCTAAAATAACCAGAACGATTATGAATATATTTATATGTTCAACAAGAAAATCCTTCTTAACAATACTAACAAAGAGTACTAAATAAATTGCAGCAATATGATAGTTGATTTGCTGTCATTTTTTAAGAGATCCGTTGTCTGTCTCCAAAACTTATCATCAGATCTATATGAAATATAAATGAGACCAATTCGGAATAAACCCCTTTCGAACAAAAATAGAATTTTTAAAATCCATCTACATATGACAAAGTTATATTAGTATAAGTTATATAGTTACATCCAAAAAAAATATGTATAAAAATCTGAATTGATAACCTCCTCTTTTTTGAAGTCAGTTAAATTGGTTTCATATGTAAACTTGTGGAATAGTAATAAAGAGAATAATAACATTTTAGGACATTTTCATGTAAAACTGCAGTTTTTCAAGTAATTGCAATATAAAAATATTAAACTGATTAACTATAACTGATTAGCTATATATAAATGACAAGCTTAATGAAAAAAAATTCAATATCTTACTTTACATCACTGTTGAAGTCATCTGGATTGACAAGGGCACAGTTGGTAATAGCCAGTTCGTCCGAAGGACATTTGGCTGCCTTCATCCGCTGGGAATAAAAGTTATAAATATACTAACATAGCATATAAAATGAGTGTTCCGTATATGTGACTTTACATATGTATATCTTGTTAGTCTTAATAGTATAGAACTACACTAATAGAGTCATTTGTAAGTAATTTTTATCATAGATTTTTTTAAATATATATTGCATAGAATTATTATTAGGATTCGAAATCAAATGTTCAAATTTAAAAGAATACTTTTCAGGATAGAGTCAAAAATGCTATTTATGTAAGTACACCTATATTAAATTAATCAAATGCAATGAGTTCAATGAAAAACTAAAATTTAAACATTTAAGTGGGCGTTTTTATCTAAATAACTAAGTTAAGTTCATTACAATTAATTTGAGATGTATTACCACCATCAACAATGAGATAATTAGTACGATTTCGCAATTTATATAAATGAAAAATCAATCAATCCCTACTAATGATAATTATTACTTACCATTGAAGACATTTTTGTATTTATTCCTTTATTTCTAGTTCTATTTTGAGTTCTTCCTGATTTTTGACAAATGATTCACGTCGACTAGTTTGACATCAGATCGCCAAGCCGTCACCTAAACAACGAATGACTGCATTGAAATTTATTTGGTATGTAAGGTCCACGGGTGAAGCGATCAATACTAGGTACGAGCGTCGTTTTCTGTCACTAGTTACAAAAACTGGCTATTTAACATGCAACCGAAAAAAGGGGGAATAAAAAATAGTTTTTTTTTTAAACAAATAATAATTAAATTAACATCTTCCGAGATTAATTTGCAACATCACACTTAAAGTTTAATAAAAATAATAATTAAAGTAAACAAAATGCACTTTTCTTAGATTTCGTAATGACAGAGAAACAGTTAAAAATTTAAGAGTAATTAAATGAATGTTTAACATCGAGTGTTTCCCCCTGTGCTCTGATTATGGCTTCCATCTGGCATCTTGGCCCATCTGGCCAAGCTGCAAATGATGTTGTCAATTATTTCTGGGGGCAAACTCTGGCATTCTTCAAGTAATTCGTTTTCCAACTCGCCCAGATTGTTGTAAGGTGACATTCTTGATTTGACAGTCCACTTTAGCAAGTCCCAAACGTGTTCAATTGGATTCATATCTGGGGACCGTGCTGGCCACTCCATCCCCGTTACACCAACATGGTTTAGGTGTGCCTGTACTGAGCGAGCACTGTGAGCCCAAGTATTATCCTGCATTAGAATGAAGTTGTTCCTAATAAAGAGGCAATTTTCTTCTAAAATCTCCCTAAACCTAAAGAAAATCTAAAAGCAGTCAGATTCCCGCCGTCGAATACCACCAACCCACAAGTTCCTAAACATATTCCTCACCATGCAATAATTGAGCCTCTGTATTTTAATATTTAGACTAGATAGACGCAAAGGAGAGCGTTACTCTCCTTTGCGTCTCCATTCTTGCTGCCTTCCATCAATCTGATAAATAGAATTCTGCATTCATCGGTGAAGAGAACCTGTCCCCACTCGTCGAAGTGATGTCGTAAAAAACATGTTATGGTGCGCTTACATTGCAAACGCTGGGTAAACCTTACAAGATACATCTATACAACAATCTCTTACAAGATATATCTTAAAAGGATCAATCTTCTAAGGATAACCACGGTAATCATTTTTATCTTTTACATATTACAATAAAAATGATGGGTTCTTTACAAAGCTATTCTGAACAATACAGTTTTATGCCTTATCTAATTGAATACTTTAGAGACACTGTGCATTCAATGTAGATCACAATTGCCCTTTTTGCAGCATATCGGATGGTTGCTAATATTTTATAAAATGTAACTGTGTGTGGAATAATAATGGTATTATTGTGTAAAATAATTTTATTGTACTTTTTACTATTTTTTTTATAAAATATTGTTAAATATTTAATAAAAAAAGTTATTAATGTTCAGGTAAACTTTACACAGGCCAATTTATATCAATAAATAATAAATACTGAGGAATAGCAATAAATTCTCTCATGCAACCTTTGAAAACTTGGTGGTGCTTGAAACCGTTTCTGATACACGTTCAGCGCGCTTAAAGAGCTGAACTAAAGGTGTCCACTTTTATACCATTTCGGTAGCCTAGACCCGGTTGTTACAATTGAATGATAAATATTTATTTATTTTTATCTTTACATTTAAAAATTAAATAAAGACAAAAGATGAGTTCACGGTGATCTCTTACAGACAACCTTAAAACGGATATTAGGTATTTAAATATTTTGTAACTGCAAAGGATTGCTGATACTTAAAGCTAATGATTACTTATTTTAAAAATCGGCTATGTTCTTTGGGGTTATCAAACCCAAAAACAATCATACACCACTCCTACTCATCCCGTGGGTGTCGTAAGAGAGTAATGACGCAGGACAACAGCACTACAAAGAGAAGAAAAATTTAAAACAGACCCTATACCGACTTGTCTGGCCCGATGGCAAGATGGGTTGGTGTAGCTACAACGCTTAGTATAGGAGGCCAAAACCTCATTTCTAAAGACTGGCCTATGTTTAGCAGTAGACTACTAAAGGCTTTCATTCACAATGAATATAAAGTCTAAATCTGCAGCACGAGCCTAAAATAAAGTACCGTGACTACAGTGAGACATATGTGGCTTTAAGTAAACTAGCCATGCTTTATCTACTTTTATCACTTTCAGATTAGATCTGAGTCACACAAGAAATTCATTATGCCAGTTTTCAGATTATTTATTAATCATATCCTTTCTGTTTGATCAAAAATATATTTATGCAATTTTATTGTAATATGTAATTTCGACGTTGACTGATTTAAATGTACAGCCACAAAATGGTAGATTAGACTTGAGTTAGTGAATCCTTTTAAGAATTTTATTGTTATTATTTAGTCAGTAACCCTTAATTTTCGTAACGCGTGATTTTTATGACTGTTTTTGTAACTGGTTTTAGTAGGCGGCTACACCGCTTACTAAAACCAGTTACAAAAATCACGCGTTGTCGAAGCTAGTGACAGCTTAAAAGTAACTAGTTTTATCTAATCAATACCAAACAAAATCAGTGTTGCCAATGCCAGCTGAAAATAGATAGAAAATGGAAATAAGGATGTAGCCAAAAACAAAAATGATAACCGATTACCGGTTATCACTAAAAGTGACAAGCCAAGTGCCAGATTTAGATAATACTTATCTTTATACGCAACAAACGTGTTTTAAATAATTTTTAATATTTAAATCATAATTAATATAGTTTTTTAGACGTCCACTGACTGACTTTCCGCTGATCCCAAAATAATGCTGTTATTTACCCCCACCCGTCTGCCTTCCCCTCAAATTACAAATGGCCGAAAAAAGTACATCGTCGTTGATGTTATTTTTATGACAAGTTTTAATTCCCATTAAAGACTTACGTGAATTAAACAACGTTATTACTGGAGGAAGAATTAGTGTTAGTCATGTTTATAATAATAAAAAATACTTGAAAGTCTATATAGGATAGAAGATAAAGATTTCTGATAACATAACCTTTTAGTAGATATAAAATGGAGCTTCCGCAGCCACCACAAGGTATGTCTTTTCATATAATAAAAAGTAATATTTATATTACGTTATATATATATATTTTGTGATAGTATCATTACTATTATATTAAAACAAAATACATTTTTAGATCAAGATCTTCGCAACATAATTGACAAACTCGCCCAGTTTGTCGCTAGAAATGGACCTGAATTCGAGAAAATGACCAAGAATAAACAAAAAAACAATCCAAAATTCAGTTTCCTTTATGGCGGAGAATACTTCAACTACTACCAGTACAAAGTGACAACGGAGCAAGCAAGTAAGCATAATAAAGTGACAGTGGAAGACATTTGAATGTTACAATGCTCGCTGATTGCTTGTCGTTATAACCGAATTTAAGTGAACCTCCGCTGTTTATAGTTCTAAAGCAATCGGCCGGTGGCCAGGCGGCACCCGCGCCCGCCGGGGCTTATATGGCACAGAACAGGCAATATGTAATGCCCCAACAGGCCAGCGCGACGCCGGCACAGCTGGGCCTAGCAGCGTCGATGGCGGTGGCACCCGCGCTCCAGCAGTGGCTGGCAGCCAACTCGGCGCCGCCCGGCTCTACGCAGCACTCACATCATGACCTCGACAACATCTCTGCCCAGATCAACATGCTCAAAGAGCAGATTACTCAGTCTGAGAATAATCTCAATGCACAACACACGGTAAGTTTTATATTTGTTATAATACATCTAGATTTCTAGAATAATACATTTCACTGGTCATCCAAAAATAATGCAAAATCCAGAACAAATAATGGAGATGTGAAGATTTCTCATGTAATGAAAAACTTTATAAAACTTGCGATGCATTGTAACACCTGTACTTGTGCCTTGATACATATTCATTTGACAAAAAAAAATGCCAAACATCAGTAGATATTTATTTATTAAACAAATTAAGACATGCATATTAAAGCAAAATTAATATTACTTAAAATATTGGTTGCTTCTTTTTACAACTGTTATGAGCTATTTCTCATTTTTTTTATTTTCTTAGAAAATTAAGTTGTCTAGGATCCACTTGCCATTGTATGTTTCTTACATGTATGTAATTTTTTGGGGGACTTATTCAACATTCCCCAGCATTTCTGGGAAATAATCTTATTTTTTTTTATGTCAATTAACAAAAAGTAGTTGTCTAAAATGGTATTGTAGCTCCTTCGAAATCACAACTAAATTATATTGATTTTATAGTACTTTTAAACCAGAGTTACTGCAACTGTTTTATATCATGTATCAGCTTATTTTGTCTCTATCCATTTATAAATATAATAATTTAAGTAAGTAGTCAGAATTGTTGTTATTAAAGGAATGGAGTTTCTATAATATAAGATTATTACAAAGTAACCAAAAACTAACAAAAAAAAATTTCAATAATAGTGGTACATTGAATTGGTGATTGAATTAATACTGAAGTCAGTCATTAGGAAACAAAAGCTGGTTTATCTAACTATATGTTTTTGCCTGGCAGAGGTCAATATTGAATACAAATAAAAAGCATATTCAAATTCAAGGGAAAACAATAATATGTTGCATTAAAATTAGATGTGTTGATAAGTTATACTAGTATTTAATGTAGTAAACTTACCAGTTTCTTTTGTAGGGTTAAGTCTACATAAAATATGGTTCTGCTCTTTATTTTCATGCTAACCTCTGTCTATTTTGTTCTTTTCAATTATATAGTTCAATTCTTAAATTTCTTTTTTTATCTAAAGTTTCTTAAAATGCTAAAGATTATGTTTGAAACTTAAGTCAACAAACACATATTATGACATTCTTTTTTTACATAAAATGTGTATGTATATGTAAAAAGTGTTAACCATAAACCCTTACAACTGTATAAAACATTTATGAAGAAGGAGTTGTCTTTACATACCTATAGCAAAATAGGAATGTCCTTTGAATGATATTTAATTTGAATAAAAATGTGTTTACAGTACATAATGTAATATCTATGAGTTATTAGATAGCTTTCTATGTTATTGTTAAAATAATATATGCACTTGTATACAGACATTTATATAGTTTTAGTAGGTAACTCTTAAGCATCTACATTTATCTACCACTTTCATTATTTTGCACAATTTATTTTTAAATTGTTAATTCCTTTAATTGTATAAACTTTTACATTTATTTACAGGCTTTTTCATTAAGAATGCAACAAATATGCATATGACTGATATATAATTTCTTTAACATTTTATTACTATTTTTTAATTATATAAAATTTTCTGTTAAACTATTATTTTTATAGTGTAAAAATATTGAAAGTTATGAAATATTTTAGGTGTTGATTCAACAACAGCAAGCCAAGGTCAACGAGTTGGTCAGCAAGGCTCAAGTGGAGACTATCCAGATGATGGCAGAAGAGAACAATGTCAGCCTCAGTGAACTGGACACCATATTGCAGCCAATCATTGACACATGCACAAAAGATAGCATATCTTCTGGTAAACCATTGTGATATTTTGATAATAGAGATGAGAAAAGATTTAATCAATGTGATGTTTAGTTATTGTGCTTTCTACTCATCCTTTTACAGGCTGCCAAGTAAGAAGGCTAATAAAATGACTATAGCTATGTATTATACAGTGACTACGAAAAGACTTAGTTTTTTTATAATCTGAACATATGCTGATGTTGATCAAATTAGGTGAATCAATTCACTTAATTTAATCAAAGCTGAACAAAACTGAAGTAGAGAATACTTTGACGCGCAGCACTCAAATGCGGTCCAACCTTTAAATGTATGGAATGGATTTATAAGCAAGTGAAAATATAAACTAATATTTTGAATATTAATTTTTTTCCAGGCAAAGGCTGGATTTTACAGCACGCATCGACACATGACGCGGGAAAAGTCATATCTCAACATCTGCTCCGGAAAGTGACCCAGCCGGGCGCCGCTTTCACACAGAAACTTCACATCATTTATCTTGTGAATGATGTGCTACACCATTGGTTAGTACCCACGACGGCTTATCATAGCCCTAAGCCCATTTAATTCATAGCCAGGGTAATATAACAATACTTCTACTAACCTTGTTTTTCAATACCATTCGATTTTTCTTGTTGGTTTCTTAGCGTAAAGATTGCGCATTGTAATATGGGGACAATTTGTCTAATTGGATTCTTACTTATGATTTTTAAATTTATCTTCAAAACTAGCAATGGATGTAAAGTGTCTATGTTATTTAATTTCACAATTTTTGTAATTAAAACAATGCTATATTAATTTATTTTACTTATATGTACAAAATATTGAATGTATCTGTTACCTCTTATTCAACCATTATTTTGTCTCCCTTTACTTCGTGTCATTATCAATTCGGTGTCTATGATGCTATTATTCCTAATTACAGTGCACGCAAAAACGCAGAAGATCTCAAGAAAAATTTGGAAAATGTGGTGGTTCCAATGTTTTGCAATGCCAGTATAGGTAACATATTTATAATAATGCCCTCAAGATGTAGGTCTCTCTTGTCGATTGTGCATTCTCATCTTCAATTTGAAGCATTTTCTAGTCATCATCGCCTGTGGTTTGTGCCAGTCAGGTAACTTGCTTAGTGTCACCCAAGCTCATATGACAACTCTTTAATCATTTTGCTGTTTCAGCCGTTACGGAAGAACAGGAGGCTAAACTTAACAAATTGCTGCGCCTTTGGGAATCCAAGTCTAACTATTTCGAGACAGCAGTTATAGAGAAAATGAAGAGTCCAACCAGCTCATATCAAGAGTACCAGAACAATCTAATCTCACAGCACTCAAATGCTATTGCACACTTAACACAGCAAACTAAATCTACATTTGAAAAGTAAGTTTTATGTTTATACAAATTTTGTATTGTGAATTATAATCACTAACTCAAAATATCACTTTCCAGTTACCAAACCCAACATCAAGCTTTTGTGGCACACACAATGCAACAGATTCAGCAATTAGAAATGCAGAAACATGCAATAGAAATGCAAAATAGTCATGATCAGAATAAAGACAACATGCAACAACAAAATAATATGCAAAATAGTTTTTCAAATAATAGTTTTAATGATCAGAGTTTTCCGCAAATGGGTAGTTATGATCATAATTTTTCAAATAACCAACAGTATGGCAGTGATAATGGTGACAATTATGTATCAAATAACAGTATGAGTGGCAATGAAAACAGTTATGACAGTCAAACTTTTGATCAGATTACAAGTCAAAAGAAGAATGAAGTGATTGAGGAGCCCCATTTGTCTAATCTTCCAAACATAAATTTCTCACAACCCCCCCCTGGGTTCCAGCCAAATGAGTCAGCACTATTAGCATTCCAGAATGGTCTTCCAGATCTGAGTAAACCACCGCCTGGCTTCCCTGTATTCCAAGAAATAAATAATGAAGAATTGATGCCTTCTGTACCATACTTCGAATTGCCAGCTGGATTGATGGTACCTCTTATAATGGTAAGAAGATAGACATAACATGTACTTTTCAGTCTTTAAATCACCTAATTCTGTTTGTTGAGTTCTTGTGAAAAACAAGTGCGGGTTTTTGTTGGGAATTAGGATAGCTCACATCCGAAACCTGCTAAGGGGAATATGATCATAACATACTTGTGATTTAATTTTAGAATATTTTACGAAGTTATATTTTTTTTTTAGTTAGAAGAAGACAGATACAGGCCACTAGATCCCGCAAAGATTCGTTTGCCTCCACCTGCTCCTCCTAATGAGAGATTATTAGCGGCTGTTGACGCGTTCTACGCCTCACCTAACCATGAACGACCTAGAGACAAGTTAGTATAATAACATAAATACACGCATGAGTTTGTATTTATCATTATTTTAGGAGTAAAGAATGACCTTTCAAGGCCATTTGCCATCTTTCTTACCCACTTTCTTCTTAGTATGGTGTTAAATGTATCACTGACTTCAATCAATTATGATGAATTCATCAGTAAACTTGCTTTTTTATTTTGCAGTGAAGGCTGGGAAAAACTTGGTCTCTATGAGTACTATAAAGCCAAAAATTCTGCTAGAAAAATGAAAGAAGAAGCCATTTCACAAGGGTTCCGAGAAAAATCCAAATCCCCTAGTCCTATACCGAAAGATTTACAGAAACAACCCACCCCACCAGGCAGAAGATACAGGTATTGTTAAAAAAATATATACAGCTGAATTGAACTTTTATTTTTATTTTTTCAGTTATTTGGTCAAGTCAGTCAAGTCAAACTACCTATAAGGTCACATAAGTTTGACTGGTCTAAACTAGCTCTCCACTCTCTTGCTTCAATAACATTTAAGAGAAAAGTATAATTAAGAGTTCTAATATCTAATCAGCTCTATAATTATAGTTTTAACATTTAGTTTCAAACTAAGCAGGGCTTGTGCTATGAAAGTTAGATGGAATGATAGAATACTTATGTATTTTTTTTTTGGGAAATACATATTATACATAAAAACACCCGAATTCCGGAACAAATATTTGCAGATCATACAAACATTTGGTTCGACCCGGGAATCAAATACGAGGCTGAGCAGAGCAATCGCTTACGCTACCACTGCACCACTGAGGCAGTCAAAACTAGTGATTAGTGTCATTATCTCTATTGTACTATTATATTTTTCAATATTAGTCAATTTTATTTTGCTGGCAACTCAACGGTAAAAACTGTATTGCCAGCGGAGAAAAAAATTACATTTTATATGTACGATATTGTATTATCTGAACCACTTTAGGTGTCTGCCTTAAGAATCACTAATTTAAAGATTATTATTAACATTGTTGTTTATTCTAACAGATCAAAAAGTAAAACCCCAGAGAAACCTTCACCAGTGAGATCAAGATCTAAATCATTATCACCACGTCGGAAGTCAACATCATCATCAACATCATGGAGAAGAGACAGAGAAAGGGACAATCGAGAGAGTAAATATATTTAGTTTCTTTCACACGAACATTGTGGTTTCTTAAAAACTGGTATGTAAACTTTAAAACTAGATACGATAGATATCTGGTTCCCAGCAAAAAGTCTCGCTCTCACTTCCAAAGTGACAGATAGTTTAATAAGAGATCTATATCGCACTGTTTGAAAACCACACGAAAATATAACATAAGACAGTATGAAGTACTATTAGGTTTTATAAATAACATCAACTTTAAATTCTGATAAATTGCCAATTGTGGTACCAGAACAATTTATCCAAGGTACATCTAGAGCTATAGAGCAAAATATTTCAGAATATAAATGATATCATGTTTTTCTTAAATGTGGAATGATGTCTTTATCGTCTATCGTCTTGGGTTTTTTTATGTCACAAAAGTATTTTAAGGTATGGACTTGACACTTAAATTGTTAATTATAATATTAATAACAACTTAACACATTTCATACACGGCACTCTGCTGCCAAACTAGACAAAGCCTGTACTATGGTACCCAGACTGTTGATAAACATACTTATCTATTTCTAAATACATGACTGCATAGATGGTGTAGTGGTTTAAGCGGTCGCCATGCCGCTTACTACTACGCTGAGTGTTGTGGATCCGATCTCCACCATGGGACGATACTGTGTGATCTACAAATGGTTGTTCTGAGTCTGGGTTGTTCTTTGTATCCGTTTCATGTATGTTTGTAAAGTCCCGACACAAGATATATTCCTAGTGCGGGAGTTGTCTAAAATAAAGAAAATATACATAAAATGATTAGTACTTCAATAGTCTGCTTCAAATTTACAATGTTTATTACGTGTTTGTTGTTATATTTCAGGTCGGCGTCGGTCAAGGTCCAGATCAAGATCACGATCGCGAAGCAAGTCACGGGAGCGTGATCGACATCGGGAATCTCCGAGATCACGTCGCGTCGAACGTTCTCGATCACCTACACCGCCTAGCTTTTTGTTAGTATATGAATACAATATTAACAATATCTGGACTTGATAAACATCACTAAAACTGGCTGGCATTGTTGGTACATTGTCCAGATGACAAAAGGCTTTCTCACAAGTCTCAATATACTGCATTATATTTTATTCTATTAGTATTTTTTTATATGAGATCAGCATAGTCTACTGTAATAAGTTCGACTGCAGAATATCTAGGATTATGGATCGTTTGTTTCTGTGTTTCTATTTCTAATAATATTATGAATAAATTGGGTTTTGGGGTTGGTATAAAAGGTGATAAAATTATGAAAATAGTAGTAGAAAATCTATTATTTGTAGAATTTTCATTGAATGATAGATGATATATAGCTCAAATACGAAATTATCAGTAACATGATATCGAAATAAACAAATTACAAGTCTCTACGAAACGGATTCACTAAATAGAGACACAAGATGTTTAGTAACTGGATACTTTTTTAGTGCTGCATTGTCATTTTTGCTGTCGTAATTGGCCTCGTCAATAAAGCAAATACACTATATTAATACAGTCACAGTAATACACTCAAAAATAAAAAAATATAATTTCTAATCCTGACTGAACTATGAATGAATCTAATCTCTGGTTGAGCCCCCCCCCCATACATATTTTATTTTCTAATATTTATTTTAAACAGGGGAGGAGCATACCCCAGCGCGTCGACGTCAGGTTTAGACTCGAGCAACAAAGGCCACCAGTTACTGCAGAAGATGGGTTGGCAAGCAGGTGGGCTGGGCGCGTCTGGACAGGGAATTGCTGAGCCAATCAGCGGCGGAATTGTTCGAGACAGACAGGATCAATATAAAGGTTATCATTTTAAGATAATGCTAATTATTTCCCACTAGCTTTTGTCTGCGGCTCCGCCGCTTAAATGTCGGTTATCGCGATAAAAGTAGCATATGTCTTTCCTCAAGAATCAAAGTATCTCCATACCGAATTCCCTTTAAATCGGTTCAGCGGTTATTGATTCCTCATAAAAACTTCCACCTCTCTTTTAACCCCCTTAAAGTATGATTTCTGAGATAAAAGCTACCCTATGTCTTTTCCCGGGAATCGGACTATTTCTATACCAAAATTTCATGTAAATCGGTTCAGCTGTTTAAGCTTGCAGAGGTTAATGTGTGAAACAAACACTTTCACATTTATAATATTAGTATGGATTTGTCTTAAGTAAAGTCATTAATTAATAACTTTGTGGAGATACACATACATACAGTTGTTATGTTTAAATTGAAATCGCAAATATGAATATAATTACCACCTTTTTTATTTTGCTAATCATCTATCAATATATAATATTTATATATGTTCTATTCTATCGTGTGAGTTCTTTTTTTCCGTGAGAACAGACCAAGATTCTATCCTTCTCCCTACCATAGGCCAAGTTGTATTAACATGTAACGATAAAATAAGAAATAGAAATCTAAAGTCATATTTATCCAAAAAGTCATAACTTTTTTACTATTACTTGTAATTGTTTTCGTCACAAAAATCATAGGTAATATTAAAAAATATCTGCTTCCACCAACTTACATAACAACACAACATATTTCTTTTCTATAGGTGTCGGCGTAAATCTTAACGACCCTTACGAAAACTTCAGAAAGAACAAAGGGGCTGCATTTATAACGAGAATGAAGGAAAGGGCACTAGAGCGCTCATCGTGATTGCTGGTTCAACTCATAATATGTAAATGTGTACGAATGTTACGATTGTGTGGATGGGATATGATTTATTTTATTTAAATCATCTTGAATAAAGTTATATAAATTTTACAAACTCTTTTAATTAGAAGACCGTAAGTATTAAACAACCATATTTTGTAAATTTTAATGTGGTCACACATAGCACCGGAAGGCCAATTCTCGTAATAAAAGTTTGGTCTCAATCCAGTTCAACACAAAACAACAACTGTCATAAAAGGTATTTTCGTAGTAAAGTATTAAACATCCGACCTTGACTGTAATGTGATTATATCGTATTGTAATCGAAAATTGAATCGGTAATCTGCTAGTGTTAGTAGTACTTTGTAGTACCTGCTATTTTACTAAGAAAATATATGACAGTTGTGAGATCGAAAGTTGATCGAAACTGAATTGTGACCGAACTTTTATTACTAGAATTGGCCTTCAGGACTTTAATTGTTTCTGCATAAGAAAGCTTTGGTGACGTCTTGTACATTTACGTTTTCTTCGACGCAGCAGATAAACTGTCTGAAACAATAACAAAAGACCTTGGAGACAAACGTCGCGTTAGGCGCGAACTGCGAATAGTTGTAGCATGTCGATGCTCGCATGGTGTAAACTACATTTTTTTATTAGGGCAACTAGGAATATATCCTGTGTCGCGGGCGAATACAAACATTAAAGAAACGCACCCAAAGAACAGTCTGACTCAGAACAACAATTTGTGGATCATACAAAGTTTTGTTCCATGTGGGGATCAAACCCACAACACTTAGCTCAAGAGAAAGCGGCGAGGTGACCGCTTAAACAACTACGCCATCCATGCAGTCATTTGATCGCGGCTGACAAACGTATGATCGGAAATCCATATCGGAGTTGTAAAATAGGCACTATTGGTCTAGTGGTTGGTGCTACTGACTGCTAAGCGAGAGGTCGTGAGTTTGAGTCCGGTCCAGGATAAACAATTGTGGGTTGAGCACCATCATTTGTTCTGTCTGAGTGTAATTTATCTATATTATGTGGAGTCGATGAATATGCTTAGATCCTTCAAAGTGACGTCATCAAAGGTCCGTCGGGTTCTGCGTGTGCCCAAAAGACTTCACTAGGCTAGATTTTATTTGGTAAAGTTTACAGTGACACAACTCCAGAGCAGTCAATTATAGTGATGACAAATGATATTTATTTCTGTAAGTAAATCTTTTCAGATATTTTTACAAGTCGGACTTTACAGCTAGAAGGAGCCGTTATGTAGCCTAACCGATATTGGTCAAAATCAACGACAAGAAGTATGACACTACCGCCAGCAGGACATTTAGGTAGGCCTTGGAAACCATTGAGTTAAAACAACACTAGAGAAGCAAACCTCATTATCACACGTCGAAAAAAGTGTAACCACTTTTGAACTTTGACGACGTAGCTTTGATACCACTAAACATTTGAAAGTAAACATATTTATGTCTCATTTACACGCGATACAAGAACAATACCATCGCTCGGATTAGACAAAGACAAAGATATAACTTTACGATGGTGGGCCAGTGTTGACTACCGTATGAAATTTTACCCATAACAACTAAGAAACAATTTTTTTTTAAAACAATTTTGTAATAAAATAAATTAATTTAAATATTCTAAATAATATATTTCGAATTGAATAGAATAGGTATAAATAATAAAATAACTGGAAATATTTGGTTAAAAGGGTTTATATTCAGTGTAAAATCAAACTGCGCTGTGAAGCATCAGTTTTGTATACAATTGTCTTTTAGACTCTTTTTTATAAGTTTGTGTGGATATTTTACTTTCATGATACACTCTTATTTTTACGTATGTAAAAATAATAGCAATAATAAAAGTGAATGATCAACTTGTACTGATAATAAATAATCCCCAGGGTGTATTGCAAATTCTATTATAATTTAAAAAACAAATAAAAAAAAAATAAAAAAATTATAAAAAAATATTTTTGTTTATTTACTTTTTTATTTTATATTTTTATTTTTATGATAAACATTTATTATTATTCTCTTTATTAAATTTTATATATACATATTAATTACATTTTTAAATATATTACAAAAGAAATAAAAATACATTTAAAAATATAAAAAATAGTAGACCACCGACATCGGGTACAGGTACCAGGACACCAGTGGTTAGGACTGCAAAGATAGGAACCTCCTCACTATACGAGCCGTGTCAAGGAGGACTGCCTTCTGTATCTTATTATTATTATTATTTTGTACAATTATTATTTAAAATTGATAATAAATTAAGAAAAACAATGAATTATTTTTTTCGTACAAAAGTCAGTCAGGTATTGTTCTTGTCTCGCGTGTAAATGAGACATAAATATGTTTACTTTCAAATGTTTAGTGGTATCAAAGCTACGTCGTCAAAGTTCAAAAGTGGTTACGCTTTTTTCGACGTGTTTTTTTTCAACGTTCAACGGGTCCCTAAAAAAAGGGATCGGTCCAGCCCTAACAACTACCGTTCTTCCTATATTTTATTATTATTGGCAAAATGTTTAAAAACAGTATAAAGCATATTATTTCATAAATTATAAATTCTCCCACTAATGTGGGAAAACCAAAATGATTTTTTAATGGTAACACTGATTCTAAATTACAATTATCAGTGTTTTATTTCAATTATAGCCTTATTTACGATATTATCAATACAAAAACCATAAACTTACACGTGAAAAGTAATTCCGCATGATTTATTAATGTTTTGTGACCTTGAATCGCATTCTTTCACTACGCATTTAGCCATTTTGGCGATTGTTACTGTCATGTGTCGCTATGTTCAACTCGGTTGACGCCACATTGAATAATGAATTGACGTTTGCTACGCATATGCCTGTGGACATATGTGCAGTAGCAACGATTTTAGGCGGTAATTACTCATCTATGTAAGTATTATATCAATGTTGGAAACACTCAAAACCACCAGAAAGGTACTAAAATATGAATTAACATTACAGGCCTACACTATACTCACATTTACATACTTACACAAAAAAATATATTATACAATTCAAATTCAACGAAAAATAAACAAATTAAAACAAACGAAATACGAAATACATCAAAAAAATTATAATTAAATGTCCATCACTTTTAAACTTAACAACAAAGATGTCAGTTGGGAGTGAGCAGTATGATGTTACATCGTTTTAAATGCTAATTCAGTCAATAAGTATTTAATTTTTAAAATTATAATCAAATTAAGATTTTCTTAAAGTCAGTGACCTCTCACCGATTAGTTAAAATCTCCGAATCTAAAGGAAAGTTTTTAATAATTCTTTATCATGACTAGACCCCTTAAATAGACGCACAATCCAGACATGGCCCCAACTTCGCTCTTATAATACTATGCTGCGTTATGTGGGTGTTCCTTTTTTTGCATAAAACTTTTACTTCTATTTTGGTAATAAGTTGTTTTATTAAATCATATTTTTAAAAAAACTTTTTAATGCGTTTTGAAGAACTATAAAAAATAATTTTGTTTAGTCTATTTATTTTTTTCTTTAATAAAAAGAAAATTTAAGTAGGTATTAAAAGTAATTTCTCCTATAGTTAATACTAATGGCGTTCTTGTATTTGCCAGTGTTTCTTATTCAAAAATATCGATAAACGGGTAATAAATTTCGGCAGCATTAAAAATATGTGACTTGGGTCACATTTTCAATAAGGACCATCCATTAATTACGTCACAGTTATGGTTTTGTGACCCCGCCCCCCGTCCTTGTGGTCCTCCTGGTCTGATGTCACATTTTTTCAATTTTGTATTTAGAAGTACCTAATTAAAACAACCAGTTAATTGTAGTTTTAATAGTATACTGTAATCCAATTTTTATCTTCCTTTTGCAACGTTTCTTAATAACTGAAATAAATAAAATTAAAGCAATAGGTTCCCTTATCACGTACAACCCTTCCACTAAATATCGTAACGACTTATGCTTTAAACTACCTGCAGGACCAGGCCTAGTGACCAGTATTACAGGTTTTGAATTAGCACAAACCTACAACAGACACCAGTCTCTCACAATGCGCTATATAGTAATATATAATTCTACCTCATTCACAATATGGCATCTAGTTCCAAACTAAGCAGAGCTTGTACTAATGGTACTAGACAACTAATATAAATACATATATACTTTTTTGGAAATTCATATATATTATACATAGAAACACCCAAACCAAATCAAACATTAAATGTTCATGCACACAAATGTTTGACTTGAGCGGGCATCGGACCGACCTTTGGAATAGCAGTCCGTTACACAAACCACTACGCCATCCGGTCGTCGAAATTTGGTACAGTATTGTTGTTTGATGTTGAGAAACCCATTTTGATAAGAAATTGTCCTACTTCAGATATTGCACGAATTACTGACACTAATAGTTTAACCAGTTACTCGGTACGTATATAACCGCAATACTCTAGAGGATTAAACATTTCATCACAGAAAGTAATAATTAACCCTGCAAGAGCGGTAACAACTAAACTTAACATGTACCGACATCTATTCTAGTTAAACACGTTGGAACAAGGCTCTTACCTAAACCAGACGGTTCTGGACATTTATTCTTGGTAACAATTCTCTCCCATTGTGTTATCCGTCCCTTTCAGTATTTTTGGGCGCGTGCCAACCTATGTGCATCTATTATATACGGGTATTTGAAGGGTTAGCTTTACGACGCCCGACTTTGCGGTTTGGTGGACAAAAGTATATTCTATCATGGCTAACAATAATTTTGCCAATTGTTTTCATTTAATTAGAAAGTTAACAGTACAAACACTTCTGGTTTCTAAAATCCAGATTTTTGGTTTACATACTTAGAGTTTTTTTAGAGTATTTTTGATTTAAATATGCTTCTTCTGGACTTCACAAAGCTTTTAACCCCCCCCCCCCCCTCCCTTGTCACACAAAACATTTCATTAGCCCCCCTTCCCTTCCTAAACGCGTGACGTAATTAATGGATGGTCCCTAATTCTGAAGAAGCAAAACCCTTGGAATTAAATGCGATCAGGATCAAAAGAGTGAGCAAAGCAGAAAAAAGAAAGAAGTTATGCACTAGCTGACTCGCGCAACTTCGTCCGCGGATAGAAATATTATCTTTCTCTCAAAAGGACTATTATCCCCGCTTCGCAAAAAAACACAGTCAAAACTTATCATTAAATTATTTATTTAAAAATAATTTATAATACGATGAGATATCGCGTTTCATGTTAAAAGAATTACCCTATATAAAATTATAAGGTAGAAATTCCAAAACAATACAAATGGTGTATTATTTTAGAACAAATTTAATTAGGTACCATAAAAAAGGTTAAAGGATATGTACCTTAAAAGATAGACATATATGCTGTCGCGGACTTATTTTAGCACTGTTAAGTCAAACATGATTTTTGAGAAACTAACCGTTTATGCAGCGGACGCAACGGAAGCTCTCAAAAGGAATAATTTTCCTATTGGTCGTAGCGTCGTGGTAAATATCCTTCCTCGATAAATAAGCTATGTAACACTGAAGAATTTTTCAAATCGGACCAGTAGTGCCTGAGATTAGCACGTCCAACCAAACAAACTTTATCTTATTATGTAGAAATTCTTTTTATTAAATTACATTACAATATTGTAATGTAATTACAATATTTACATACACGCATTATAAAATTCTCGTGGTAGCATTCCCAAAAGACTGGCAGCATTGCTACGTTGAATGGCAAAGCTAATTCTTTGTGATAGAAAAAAGCCGGCCTTCTGACCGCCGGAAGTGTCGATCAGTTACTTAACTAGTTGTTTATACATAGCACGAGCACTCGGACCCCATGACCCAAGCGTATCAACCCCAAATGGTTCAAAACTATAATTTCCTACTTGGTATTTACGCCGTTTCAGGCATTCCGATGCAGCAGCAGTGCCGGCATAACCAGCTGTGCTTGGAAGATGTGATGGCACAAGAGTGTCGACATAAGTTGCGTCCCATACCAAAGACTTACCCATCTTCCATGGCAGCAACAACATACCGTCCGGTCTCATCCCATCGTTTCGTACCAGACAATGGTCTGGTACGAAACGATGGGATGAGACCTGACCGGGTTTGCGTACAGCTGGAACGCCGGCGGTAACAAGAGCACGATGGATAATGACGTTAATATTGGCATGTCAAGATATACGGTAAACGTTTCTGCTACAAGAAAGGCCATGATGTCCAAGACTGTCAACAGATTCTTCACAGTGACAAAGATGCGGAAAAACACAAGGCGCACCTAACCGCAGGCAAGTGGCAAATATTTATTTTTATCAAATATTTAGTGAAATAAATGTAATATAGTTTTATATATGAATGAATTATTTTATATAGAATGTCAGAATATGGAATGTCACCACCCCTATTCATCCCGTGGGTGTCGTAAGAGCCGACTAACGGACCAAACTACAAGACAACAGCACTGCAAAGAGAAGGAAAACTTGAAACAAACCCTATACCAACCCGTCTGGCCAGCGTGGTATAGTGGGCCAAAACCTCCTTTCTAAGGAGAGGCTTATGTCCATCAGTGGACTATTATAGTCTGTTGATTGAGTAAATAAGTGTAAATGTACAACTGTATATCTTTAATAATTGTAAATAGCACTTACGAAAATTATCATTCTCATGGTTTACCAATATGCTGTCTTTTTACCTATATTTTAGAATTATATCAGAATAAAGTAAAGTTATAAAGTAAAAGTACGTGATTTTAAGAAATAAATTCAATAAGAGTAGTTATAAGCATTTATTATAACTATATTACTTACAGACAATATAACTTTTACAGTTCAAAATCGTCCTCATAATTATCTTTGAACTCTGCAAGTCTTTCTATACTTTCACTGTATTCAGAGGCTTCTAAGCCTTCTTCCCCGAACTTGTGCAGCTTTGCAAATTTTATTCTACTGACTTCTCTGTGTAATTTTTCAATCATATCTGACAGAAAAGTGCCATTGTGATATCCAGCAATCACAGCACAATTCTCAACCTTTTCTTGACTATTATCATTTCTAATAAAACCGTATTTATTAAGATCACTTGAGAAAATATTTGGGTATGGTGTTTTTACTTCCAAAGGCTTCTCACACACTGTCACATTTGTAGCAGAAAGAAAATTATTTGCTTGAAAGTACAACTCAAACATTTCTTTTACATTGCTACACCTGTATGCAGGCAAATTCATCTGCTCTTTAGCTTCTTTTAAAGGTGCTTTCAGGTAACTTTCTGGTATACCTCTTACAGTAATCAACTGGAATATTTTATCTGTAGCAATTTTACAACTTGGTGTGATGCATGAGTAGAGTGGCCTTGTCATGTTATTTAAATAGTCTATTAAATATTGCGATTCATTTAATGCAAGTGGAATGCCAAAAGAAGCTGCAGCCATCTTCCTGCCATACCCTGTTAAGTCTGCACAAACATCAGACAATGTATGGACATTGCTCTTATGTCTGTATTTCTGACTCAAAGTATCCATTGCTGAAGCTAATATTGCAGAACTGTGGTAGTACAAATCTGGACTATAATTTATGTGATCAAACTTTCTGGCGTTGCCAGGTTTACGCCACCCCTTTTCTCCAGTACTAAGTGGCACAAAGAAAGTTGCATGCTCTGAAAGTTCTTGAAGAGAAAGTGCAATATTGACTAGCCTTGTAGAATCTTTCAAATTGGATTTATCTCTTTCCTCTTGTGTATTTAAAATATTATCAGGAAAAAATGAAGCTATTATAGGATGCGCCAGTAGAGTCTTTTTGTATTCATCTGCAAGGTATTCTACACAGCCAGTACCAAGCCCTGCAAAGCCATCTGTGCAATCAAAATAAACATGGAAGCCTTGCATGCTGTCACATTCTTCTACATACTTTCTAATATTATCAGTAAATGCATCACCAAAGTCTCCTTTCCATAATGATTTACCAGTGATATTGATGTCAAATGATTCCTGAAAGAAATTTTAAAAACTTATTAGGAACGCTACAAATCGTAATTCTTGCCTGTTTCACAAACACATTTTCAATTGTATAGTTAGTGGTAATGATGGAATAATTAGTCTTTACACTTATGCTTAATTGTGAATTATTCAGTTAGCAAATTGATTGTAGTCGTGAAATTTCGTGAACGCATGAATTAATACGTACACGAAATTTCGTCGCTTCGTTCCTTACTGCTTTACATTCACACAGCTTGTGCTTTCTCATTCAACGCGAAGATTTAATAAATAGTCGTACTAAAATATTAATACAACTGTTATTTATGTAAAATTAGTAGTAAGTGATATACAAGTTACGATCGTTTTTAATTTGAAATATTAGCAAATAATATTAGCATTAGCAATTAACATGCTAAGACATAATAGAATTCGCAATGAATGAAATTTAATTTAATTAGCATTGATGCACATTTAAATATAAAAAAACATTTTGGACTTTAACAGTAGACTTTTGGTAATGATGATGGTGTTTTTTTTTTAAATGCAGCTACTAGAAGCGCTCATAAAATCTCAAAAGAAATTAAGCTCACTTTGCCTTCTTTTCCTCCTAGTATTCCCTCTCAATCCCACCCTATCTTATTCCCTATATCTTTCATACCTGTTTTAATTTTTCTGTGCTTTAAAAGCATTCTTCTTCGTTTTACAGCTTTCTGTACCTATATACGTCGCCACCAGTTATCTCTAACAATAGTTACCGGCACGAAGGGCAGAGTGCAAGTTGATTTCACATCGACTCGGCGAGCGCGTTTAGCGTTGCGATTGGTGGAGATTTCAGTTCGGGCCAATCGTAGCGCCGAACGCAGTCACCGTGACGATCGAGTAGATGTGAAATAAACTCGCACTCAACCCTCTGATCGTGAGCGCTCGGCAGCAGTGGCATGGCATATAGCAAAATAAAATGCACACCCATTTACTATTTTTTCGTAGTTAGAATAGAATAAAAATAGATCAAAACCATTAGACGTTACATAGTAAAGTTACTATTTAAAGTCCAATGCTTCTATGGTAAGACAAAATGGTTTTTATTAATATTTTTATAAAAAACGTATAGGTATTTATTTTTGTCTAACAATTATTTTTCCTATAAAAATATTACGGTGAAATAGGACTGACACCTTCCATAAAATCACTTTATTATACAAAACTGGTATTGGTACGGTGTCCATTCCTTCTTCATTGTCATTTCATTTCTTGTGTTATAGGTGCATATTAGAGAATACATTACGCTGTCTAATATACTCATATTTTTTTTTAACTACAGGAAAATTAAATTGATAAATAGCTAAAAAAGAAATGATTAAATTATCAATAAAAAAAGAAAGACCCTAATAATAATTTGCTCGGAAGTGTACTCGTCACAGTTAAGTAAGAGACAACGAATCAGGAGCAGTGACAATTTCGGTGAGCCCATCACTGGCCGACATTATGATTCAATATTTAAAAAAATGGCCCTATACTTTACACCACCAAAGGGACCCAAAAATCGACTTCTGCACAGGCAAAGGTCAGCGCTCAAGATCAGTGCCAGTACCTACACCTTTCTCTGTCATTTGTGAAAATACTTCTCAGACTATCTCTTACATAATTAGCCATTTTATTTCAACATTCATCAACATATCTTGCATTCTACTACTTTTTCCCCGAATGTACTTGTATACTGTTCCTTCTCTAACAATCACCATCTGATCCTTGGAACACATAGACCATTCTTCCTGTTCTGAACCATAATTTTAATATCTATATGTCATTAGTAGTAATGGTGATGACACCAAATGTTTTCCAGGCCCTGCAGACAGACACCTACCAACTTATTTTTTCTGAAAAATATACAATCTCTGTTATGTGGTGACTATCTCCTATCCCTGTTAATGTCTTTCATAGTCCCAACATCCTAAATTACATACCTCAACTTGCAAATTACATTATGTATGTAGGTACTCACAATAACCTCCGAGGTTACTACTACTCTATCTCTGATGTTTGCATCTTATATCTGTATGCACCCATTGAGATTGGTGCAATAACCCAAATGTTGCTTTACCATTTCCTATTAAGTGTGTAGACAATATGTGACTGTCTACATGCCCTAGCCCTGTCACACTCACTTTTTCTATGGTTGGCAGCATACCAGACAACTCTTTGAGAAAATATTATTTATATATGTGTGTTCCATAGTGTGGTTTTTGATTAGTTAGCCCACTAGAAAAAATACATAAAATGCCTGAAATATATTAAAATACATTTCTTTTCCACAAAAAAATATTGAGAAACATCTACTTACATTTATAACCTACCCCTTTTTTTTTTGTTTTCCGTGCGGAAATCCCCTCGGATACCACCTGTCGGTGGCATGTCGGACACGAACCGACTAAAACCGCACGCAGTCGCCGGGTACTAATAGCCGGGGAACCAGGTATACCCTAGAAAGGAAGTCCCTGGTGCCTCGACATACCTCGGGTCATCTACAGACGAGTAGACGACCCCCCCGTGTGGGAACCCCATGTTCCCTGTGCTCCCTGGAAGCCGCCACCCCGGCCTGCTTCTGCTAGGGTGACAGATGGCCTCACCTGTCACCCCCAGGCCTGACATTTATAACCTACCCCTGCATTACTTAAACTCATAACCAACCTCTACATAGAATAATATTGAGCCAATTTCTATAGATCTAACAAAAGTAAATAACTTACAGTGTCATTCCCATGCACATACTCTCTAATTATATTTACTGATCTTGAATGAAACCTGGGATATAAAAAATCAGACCAAGATTGAACTTGTTTCTCTAAATGATATTCTTTTGTTTTTTCAATATTTGATGGTCCTTCACCGTCAATGCTGGTTAAATACTTATTTTTCTCTGCAACTGGATGTTCGATTTTCTCAATATTATCCCACTGAAATTCATTTTCTTTTACTTCATGGGGTAAACCACCATGCTCGGGTAAGGTTTTTAAGGAGCCTTTTAAATCAGCTAGCAGTAGGCGTGGGGTGTATGTAACTTCCCCCGTTATAGTTCTACCTTCCCGATAAAGTACATCGTGATTAACTTCTGTTTTTACAGTTCCTGTATAATCAAAACTGAGTTCTTGTAAGTTCCAAAAGTGTGCACCAACAAAGTTTGAGTAGTGTCCAAATTGTAATGTTAAAATTTCACGAGTAGACATTTTAGATAATATTGCCTGTCTCCGTTGTTTATAACATGATGTTCATTTAGAATAGTCTTGGATAGGTATCTATCGAAGATGGCAAAAACATGAGTCAATCGACACTGTCTGTCAAGTGTCAAAGCAGTAAACATATATCACCTATATCACAGAGTATATTAAATATTGTGAGAACATACCTACATAGTTTGTGTCAAAGTCAGCTACTTTGCCCGATAGTAGTATTTACAATTAATTAAATACTTGATATTTACCATTATGTAATTTGGTAAATTTGGAGATTAACATTGGTGGAATCAACACCACGTTTTCTGCATGAGGGATAGAAGTGGGATCTATAAAATAAAATAAACCATTTCAATTGGATTGGAGTGCTAAGCTAACTATTTAGTAGAGGAGTGAAGATCTGGAGAAGGAATATTCTACACAATAATGATACTTTTGTCTATGCAGGTTTTGTTTTATGCTTCACTTTCATCCGACTTGACCACAGAGTACAGTAATATGACTTGACGCTCTCGCGTCGCATTGTGCGTTTAGTTGGGGTGTATTATTGAACACATCAGATACGAGTAAGTACTTACAGAGTCCGAAACAAATAGCGTATCAAAGGGTAAGGAGAAATTAACCTTAATATGGCGAAGAGTCGGCTGCATATGGAATATCAATTCTCCCAGGCACTCCAAGACCAGTGGCTCCTTCACGACGGCATGCAACAACCGAACAAATTATCTCTTGTGCTATTTGCGAACTGGCTTTAAGCTTTTAAGAATACACCGTACTGCCTCCTTAAAGGTCAGCAATGTTCTTGTGATGCTTGATTTGATGGTGTCCATGGGTCGCGGTGGTTTTTTAACCAGAAAACCCATATACTCGTTTGCATCCAAGACCTTAAAAAACAAAAATCGAGATTCATATTTAAAATACTAAGTAACTTTTCCAGTTTGTGCCTTTATAAAACCGTTGCTCATGGTTATAACACTCCAATTTGCTTAGTTTTTTATAAATGGCATGACATACGCCATAGCGGCTTCATATTTGCAGAATAAATAAATAAATTGAAGTACGAAGTTCCTTTCGCTTTATAGTAGACGTTTGCCATATACCTATGTTATATAAAAAAACATGTTTGAACGGTTAAAAAGTCGCCTACACAAAAAAAAAGAACTGTGTTTTACACTTCATTCTGGGCAATTTTTGGTCACCTGACGTCATGTTTCGTTTTAATTAGTTTATAGAAAATCAACAGAAAGTACCTACCTACATTACCTACCAAACAAAAACTTAAGCATGTAGCTTAAGTATACCTACCCATACTTAATTATTGTACTACATAACTGGTGTACAAATATGATTAGTTATAAAGAACTTTTCTGTCGAATATAGACTTATAAATACCTTTTACGGTCTAATATTTATCATATCACATTCAAAAATAAAAACTAAATTAATTAACCACATAAAATTAATACAAATAAACAAATAAAATTAATACAGACTGGAATTCGACAAAGGCTTAGCATAGTACTAATCGAGTTAACATATATTAGAATTTTACAAGAGAATGGGATATCATAATAGTACTATTGTAATAAAAAATTGTGATATCTATCGGCCAAGTGCGAGTCGGACTCGCCCATGAAGGGTTCCGTAGCAGCAAGTAACATAATATAAAAGTACTTGTAGTGCGTTGTAACTATGATCGAATTGAATTTTGATTGAATGAAAGGTAAATTGCGGTTTACGATTTATGACGTATTAAAAAAACTACTTACTAGATCTCGTTCAAACCAACTTTCGGTGGAAGTTTGCATGGTAATGTACATCATATATTTAGAAGTTTATTTAGTCTCTTATTTTAGAAGTTACAGGGGGGGAGGGGCACACATTTTACCACTTTAGAAGTCTCTCGCGCAAACTATTCGGTTTCGAAAAAAAATATATTATAGACCTCAATATATGTACCCACCCCACACGTATGGGTTTGATGAAATTTTTTTTTAGTTTCAGTTCTAAGTAATGAGAACCCCCAAAATTTATTGTTTTTTTTTGTGTGAAAATCTTAATGCGGTTCACAGAATACATCTACTTTCCAAGTTTCAACAGTATAGTTCTTATAGTCGGAAAAAAGTAGCTGTGACATACGGACGGACAGACAGACAGACATGACGAATCCATAAGGGTTCCGTTTTTTACCATTTGGCTACCGAATCCTACACTGGCATGGTCACCATCATGGATTTTAATTTTGATAACTCTGATATTATGATTAACTTTGATATTATGTATGTGTAGGTACGTCTAGTTTTAACACAAAATTTTGGAGAAGACAGAACTTGGCTAGGTGCCCTACTGTTTTAGGATATTAACGTGGCCAAGCTGGGGCGATTATCCCCAAATTAGCTACCTATAAAAGAGTATAACTTTTGAACCAGTGATTGACGTGTTCTGATATTTGGCGACTGATTTCGATAATTAGCGACTAAATTTTGGAGAAAACAGATATTCGCTAGGTACCCTAGTTTCTGAGATACAAGCGTGGCCAAGCTGGGGAGACTAACCCCACCAGGGCCACCTATAAACGCTTATAACTTTAAAGCAGTGACCGAAAAATTCTGATATGTGGCGACAAATTTCACTAATTTTGTGTTAAAATCCATGATGGTGGCTTTGTGACAGTCATCGAAGTGGGAATTCTCTCGCTCGGTACCATGATTTCGGCCATGCTACGGAGCGAGAGCGCGTGGAACTCCGCAGACTCCGTCTGCGAGCAAGATATGCTCGCGAAGGAGGGAGGAGTGGGACCGGGAAAGGTTTAGAACTCTCCCGGTCCGCCAGGCTCGGTAACGGGCTAGGTACCGCAGACGACTCGGGCGCTGAACGACCTGTCCTCCATAAGCGCAGGCAAAAATTGTTAATTTGCCAAATAAATTTGCTAAATGTGACAAACGAAAACTTACCCAAGTTTTCGTTTGTCACATTTATATTATAGTAGCCTTCAATAGGTTAAATATCGTGAAATAAAAAAGCAATATAGGTACTGAATGAATTTTATTACAAAAATGTTATTAAAAATCGTTCACTTCACTAAGTTTTTTTTTTAATTTATATACTAACAACTACACTATTTGCTACACTTACTCTCTTAACGCTTATTATTCTGATGTTGAAATACTGGCAGTGGAAAAATACATTAACTATTTTATTGTACAAATTCAACTAACGCTTGGCTAGTATTTGTAGGTGTGTATAGCAGATATAAATTATTTTTTTGCTTAATGTTGATTGACAACAACATCTAGCAGCCGTTTAAATCTATGGGGCTATTAAAGTATTTTGGTTTTACTACTAGTAGTGTACTAGGTTTTACAATAATTGTTGAGGATGGCATCTACGTATATAATGATAAACACGATTGATTTTTTTCACAATACGCATGACATTATAATACCAATAGAGGAAAAGGTACTCAAACGCATTATTATTTAGTAGAAATATTTACACAATTGCACTGTTGTGTCTAAAAATACAAAGAGCACCTAATTTAACTGTATAACATTGAGGTTTTTATTTTGGATCTTCAGTTTTAAAATGTAAATAAAATCACTATGCGATATCTACCGGTATATAACTAGTTTGACTTTACAAAACGGTTTGATAGACAATGCCGTGATCGCAACCGCTATTGATTATTTCTATTAAGAAAAATTGATTTTTGATTAGTAACTGGCGGTCTCAGATCCCCATTGATCGACAAAGCGTTTAAGTAACAGATAGAGTATTAAGCAAGCCTTTAACCATTTGACCTTTATTTCCAAAGGTAGCAAATCTTTAAGTAGATGAGATCTAGGCGTTAACGATTTCACCACAATGCAATTGGCTATACCGACAGACCTCATTCATACTTACTTAAAAAAAGGCTTGCCGTTAAAGTTGCCGTTTAGAATCAGAACACGCATGCAGTTACGTTATCTCAAGAATGTTGTAGCTGATCTGTAGGAGCAAGTCCTCCTTTTCACAAATAAAATGGTGATGTTAGGGCTTCACTCTAAGTACCAATCAAAAACCTAATTGACATTGGCACTAGGCACAAGAAAATGCAAAGCAATTCAACTTTGATTAAATGAACTTTTTATAAAAGCTTTTCGTAACGGGCTTTGTTAACATTTATAAATTAGGAGGTAACTATGTAGATCACCAAAATGCACAGTATATCAAGAGACCTTAAAATCGGACATGCTCGTTTTTTTCAATCTAACGTTTAGGGCTAATTTTTACAAATGTTATAGTAAAACTCCTGTTTGAAATTCCACATAGTTTTCTAAAAATAAAAATGATTAAAAAACGAGCATGTCCGATTTTAAGGTCTCTTGGCATACTGTGCAATGTAGTAATCATATAGACTTCAGCGCATACTTTTGCCTATCGTTCCACATTATTACACAGCAAAGCAGATAAGTCTACAAACATAAAACACAAAAGTTACGAAATCTATTTTTTTATTATTTTATTTCACTATCGTAGCCATGTCTGACTAATTACATATCACAGTATCATCTAATCTAAGTTGAATATTTATAGATGTTTCTATATTTTAATTTGTTGTAGTATATCCAATAAACTTATCACTAAGTGTTTGAAAGGTTTGTAAATCTATCTGCTTATAAAGTTACGGTATGTAACACTATTCAGCTCTTGTATTACACGACAGGCAAAGTTCGTAAATAATATTGATTTTAATAATTATTATTCATCAAACGATTTACGTTTTCATCAAACGTCTGTGTTTTAAATCTTAACTAACTTAATTCTAAGCTTACAATCCAACTTAGTACATTCGAGAGATCTAAACACAACCAACACTAAAAAGAAAACACTCCTTTCCTAACAATCCTTTCATTCTCTATGTCCTATACAAAGTGGCCTATATTTTTTTTAAAGATATGTGCTATCAGCCGTAATTTAAAATGTAAGATAAACATGTCAAATCATGGCAAAGAGCATATAACTTTCAGAGTAGAGTGAAATCAACACATTTCACTATCAAGTCCCTGTTTGTCAATAGATTTATTAGTAAGTAGTTTTAAATTTCGATATAATATGTTCGATATTATTTACTGAAATTGCACATCTTAAAAGCGCAGCACATGTGCTGCAACAGTACAATAAGATTTAAGATATCTTAAACAGGTACATTGTAAAGTAATCTTAGAATGTAAAAATGGAGAAAATAATGTGTAGAAACCCTGTTTCAGTAAAGGTTGCACTGACTTAAACACAAAAGATGTTGTGTCGTTACAAGGTTAGACATCTATTTGTAGTCTTTTTTAATATAAAGCTTATGAAACATATTATTATTTAATTTGTAAAATTAAAAAACATATCCTGAAATTAGGAAAGATTTCAAAGAACCAAATCTACGGCACCTCACGTCAAGTGTTGAAGAAAAATTGACAGCAACTAATGCAAACAAAAAATAATAATAACCATATTTTTAAACATTTCCGCGGTGGGAACTTCACATACCCGCTTTAGATTTTTCCGTTACACCAAAACATTATTTTTACTTAATCAAACCAGTACTACAACATACAAGTAATAGAACCTTAAAAGCAGCTTAGCTCAAGGTACTTAGTTCTATTATGACAGGAACAGTTCTTGTCAATTCAACACTTCTAACTGGTTTACTAAAAATGGATTCACAAAAAAGCGAAAATGCAATGGCAGGGCCCTAGGTTTTGCTTACTTAGAAAAGGACCTTCAGTTTAAGAACACTGTGTTGTGACGAGATCTGGTTTATCATTCAAGTACTTGATTAATTTAGAGTACCGCTACATATATAAATAATGATTTAGTGTAACAGTAATTAATACATGTTTGTGTTTGTACTGACGGTTAACAAGTCATAAAAATGATCATGTAATATTTCAGTATTACAGAAATTATTATAATCGCACAGATGCACATATATAACAATCAGCGCGTATCAATATTCAATTAGTCGCTTATAAAATAATACTATTTTACTGTGTAAAATACGTAACAAGTGTTTATTTTTCGTTTAAGTCATGTAAATACACTTATCTGGTACAGACTATCACGTTTGAATTTGATACAATTTAAACTATTCAGCACTGTTCACAATTCACATATTACAATAATTCGAATTTTTTAACGTAATGCTAAAGTTACTTTAATGGAACATTATCGGAGAGACTATACTAAAGCACTACACTACGTTGATACAAACAATATGATCACAATTTTCTAGAATACAAGTCTTTTGCTTTTAATACGAACTATATTAATGCGATCCTATTAACGAGGGGCGTTTTTCTTCTACTTGTGTGTGTCTGAGTTGTCACGGGTTGATATATATAGTTTGTTTTTGCTCGTTTAGCTGTGTGGACTGTAAAGTAAGAAAATACTTAGTTTTACTGCTTAAAAAATGAAAAGGAAATTTTAACACTTTCGTCAGAATAGTAAGTTATAAACAAATCACTCGAAAAAAATAAAAAATCTTACTAGTATAATTTTCCGTCATTGACAAGTCTAATTTCATGGGTTTTGTGACATCAATGTCTATTTCTTCATATGATTGATCTAATACCTAAAAAGGAAAGTTTCGATTAGTTAGTTGCTTTAATTTTAAAGTTATTTACATCTATTGAGTGGTCTGTTGGTCTAGTGGACTGTATATCGTAGGTGTGATTCCCATCAAAGAAAAAGAATTGTACAATTATTGAGTACGATTATTTGTTGTCTGGGTGAAGTATATATTTTCTATATTTAGAAACGTATAAATATATTCATCGGCACAGATAATTTTTAAACATTTTTAAGTTTACAAGTTGTATGAAGACATTTATTGTACGTTAAAAGTTGAAATACTGTGCGTATTGGAACGAAGTTCCTTATGGCTCGTTACACACTCTGAGCGGATGGAAGCGAGACCGAAAAATGTGTAACAAGACTTTTCTCCGACACTTCAGTTGGCGCGTCGACGCTCACATCTTTTTCATATTTCATACATAGCAAACGTCTACCAAAAAGCGAAAAGAACTTTGTTCCGGCCGGCACAAATGTGTGTGGGATGTATCAAGTTATAATATTATTTTTATTGAAAGTTGTAATTTGTATTTGTACACAGACACGTGAGTAAAATAGTGTCAAAATGTATGAGTTTTAATGTTTAAAATATTAATATTGTTTGAAGATATTTATTGTATCTTATAATAATATGAAATATATACGAATAATAATATGCACAGTGCATGTTTTAAATGTGTGTGGGATGTATCAAGTTATTATATTATCTTTATTAAAAGTTACAATTTTCATTACTAAGACACACAAAAGTAAAATAATATTTACGAGTATAAATATTGTTTGAAGATATTAGTTAAGTTTAAAGTTAAAATACACGCAGCTTTTGGTGCCCTCGCATACTGTTCATAGCTATCGCTTTACTTAAATAGGATATGCCACGACTAGTAGGAACATAGCAGTCTGAACGCTGTCTTCTAATGGGTATCGGTCTCTTTCTAATCGGTATGCTCCGATATGATCTCAAATCATTTCAATCCACTAGTAAATTAACATTTTATATTATACTCACTTCAATATCGCTAACTTCCTCTCCAGATTCAGCATCTGTTATATAGGATGTAAGTGACGAAGGTCCAGTTGCTAATAGTCGATAGGTACCACCGACCATACCCGTTCCTTCTACCACCTCTTCTACTTCTAATTCTTGGTCTGAAACTTCCTAAATCAAACATTTTACAATTAGATTAGGGTGGTTTGAAATGAAGCGAGGAAGCCTTTTTGCCCTGTAGTGATATAATGTCGTGCTAATTAATTTCATATGTAAAGATCGTCTTTATCGTAAATTGTTGGGAGATATTTTTTCCATTTAATATTTGGTTGAAATTTTTAAAAGCATACTATTTTCCTTAACGGTTTTATGGTTGATGGTTTTACTAACAGAGTGCCAAGTGCGAGTTTATTTACGTCAATTCGCTCTCGACAGCGAGCGCGTTCGGCGTTGCGATTTGTTAAGATTTCTGTGCGGGCCAATCGCAGTCACCGTGACGATCGAGTAGATGTGAAATAAACTCGCACTTGGCCCTCTCTTGTGTTATTGTGAAAGGATTTTGTTCACGTTTTCGCATAGGCCGAATAACAGTTACACTATACCTGTTCTATTATAGCCTCTTCTTCTTCAACTTCTTCTTTGATTTCAGGATCTATTTCAACGTCAGCGTCAAGTTCAGCATCAGCGTCAACGTCCGCGTCATCATCTACTTCTGCATCACCACCTAAACCACTATACTTCATTTCACCTCGTTCTAAGGCCTCTAAATTTTCTGTAAAACAAAATAAAGATTAATAACGTATCTCTGTGTTTTGCTAGATGAAGTTAATAATTGAAATTTATGCTTTACTACCTGGATAAACCATAGCCTTCTTTATTGCTTGTGGGTCTTTTCGTGACCATTTTTGGACTTCTTCGTCCATTTTCTCTATTTTAGCAGGATTCATGGCCCATAAGCACCCTGAAATCATATAACTTAATGTACATGGAAAAGTTAATTCAATACACCTTGAATGTATGCGCTTCCTAGAGAAGACAGCAGGATAAATTTGGAATAGATATCGAAAAGATTACCTTTTCTCTGACTTCCATTTGTGGATGGCTTTTCGATTTTTTCAAAACATTTGTTTAAACTTAGATTATGTCTAACAGAATTTTTCCAACCATTCGGTGCAGTTTTAAAGTAAGGAAAATGCTGACTGTAACAGAAAACAATATTTTTGAGCAACACATATAATAAATTTGAAAAAATGGTGATGAAAATTCATAAATTGGTATTTAAAACTTACCACATAAAATTATATATTTCGGATACAGGTAAGCTACCTGTTCTTGAATTTTTTAATGCCATTGCTATTAAACAAGAGTAGGAGTATGCAGGCTTAGGAAATTCAGCACCACTATTTTTGCTAGAACTATTTACATATTTAGTTTGGCTATTCTCTACCGTAAATGCTCCACTCACTGAGGGTTTAATTATATGTCTATTGTTATTTAACGATGAATTATCGATTAGTATTGTAGCTTGGTTCTTATTACCATTGGCTAAAATTGTTCTAGAGTGACTGATCTGATGAGCATCTAATATGTGTATGTTACCAGATATTATTGTTTTCGTCCCTAAAGCTTGTGAAACTTTTTGGTTTGTATTTAGAATAGAACAATTCTTATTGTTTACTTTTATTAATTCTGATTGGCTTCTTATACGGACTGTCGTAGGTGTAGTTATATTTGAAACTTTAGTTTTGTCTAAATCTTTTAATAAATCCTTAACAACGTTCTTCTCGTGTTTACGAACATAAATAACCATCTGTGTTGCTTCTTCCATTTCAGAGCTCTTTTTTTTTGTTGATTCTTCTGGTTCTTCCACTTTTGGCACTTTAATTGCATTAGGAGAAAACGTTAGATGACTTTTTTCTTCTTTAGGACTTGGTAGTGATATGCTATTACTCGGGTCGTCATCAGCAACAGCAGAGGTTAATAATAAGTTTGAAGCTTCTTCTTTTACCATACTTTTCACTGGAGTTTCAACAAATGACGATGGCATAACTGAATTTGGATTAACCATTACAGCGTTTGCCTCGGAGCCATACAAATCTAGATTATGAACAAAACTGGAACTGTTGTTGAGCCACGTTGTTGAGTTATCAGTGTCCATATCTAATAAAGGAGGCAATTCTGAGAAGTTTGCTCCTAAAGAATCCTGCAGACAAATTATATATTGTAAATTCAGAAATTTCTTCAAGTTTAAAAAATAAAAATATAAAACAATGTACTAACTTGAAAATCCGTCATACTGCTAAGGTCTGTTGCGATTTCATTCTTGATATCCATGTCCAGCATGTCCTGCAGTGAGTCTGTGATGTATAAATCCATGTCTGAGCACCACTGAAACCAAAATATACATTTGTTAACTATATGCCACTTCCGCAGGTACTTTTTATTATAACTTAGAACGCTACCTACACGTTTTCTATATAAATCATTTTGAAATTCGCGCCAACCAAAGTGAATTAAACTTTGGGTTGACTACGTGTAGATACTTAGAGCGAGAAAGGCGGTCCAATGAAACCACTATGTGTAGTAGAGAAACCTGTTTTTGTCTTGAGGTATGCGTATTGCGCTACCCTAACAACGTCGGAGTCCAACTGTCGCGTTAACAGAACGTTCATTAAAATCGAGTTTTAAAACTTTTTTTAGATGTTCATTTACGTCTACATCAGTATAAATAATGTTGTGCCAACTGACATAATTTTGCCCATAAAAAGGAATTACCCATTATTTATTATACCTTACATTCGAAAGTAATTTTTTTCTATTATCGCCATCCTTTTTTCCCTGAAGACCTACATCAACACAAAAGTGGTTACGCAAGGGTTCTATACAGTCCAATGTGAGTCGTTTACAAATGAGGAATAAAAAGTACTACCGAACGGCAAATTCATAACACAATAACATTCGGGTCTATAGTTTTTGTCTGTAGTTTTATTTGTGTCGCGATATAGTAATATAATAAAATAATGAAGTAAAACAATCTTGGTATGTCGGTAGCCATTTCTCTGGTCTTGCTCACCAAATAAGATAATTATACTAATTAGGAAGTAGTAAAGAATATTTTAAATTAATAATATAGTATTAGCTGTGGCTGTCGTTACTAAATCTATATTTAATTTTGTCGTCTATAGTTAATAAAAAATGTATTGCCCCAAAAAACATGGTATATCTTGTTCATTGTAAAGGGGAGAGATCTCCATTTTGAAATTTCGTTACTGTTTCGGTTTCCTCATGTACCTACAGTCCTTTTATAGGCTGTTTCATATTATGATAAAATACGACCTTATTACTAAGACTCCGCTGTCCGTCTGTCTGTTCGTCTGTCACTAGGCTGTATCTCATGAACCGTGATGGTGTGACAGTTGAAATTTTTACACATGATGTATTTCTGTTGCCGCTATAACAAATACTATTAAAAACAGAATAAAATAAATATTTATTGGCCGATTTTTTACCAACTTGAGCCCATTTTTCTCCGTATGGTGCATTACATTATTGTCAAAAATATAGATGTGCTGGAGAACATGGCTCCTAAATTACAATAAGGTAAGAGTAAATTTGAAACAAATCATTACATTCGTTTTCATTTATGGTTATCGTCAGTTTGTCGAACACGTAGGTATCTATATCATCGTGCTAATTTAAATCTACACAACAGAGTGCAGTGACAGATAAGCGAGCACATTCCAATAATCCAAACACACCAGACTTCCAAAATTGTTTCTATTCTTGACGACCAAAATAAAAAATTCAAGAATTTAGCTGTTTTCGAGTACTTTTTCATGTCTATATAAAATATGAGTGTGACACAGTATTATCATATTTAGTATAATTTATATAGGTCCTTATATTAAAGGATGATACCAGGTATCAAAGAATACGTGCAATTTTTATTCCGCCTCGACGGAATAACGGGCCCCAAATTAGGGTGCCTTGCTTCACACGCAGAAAAGAGAAGGTTAAAAATGGGGTGGGGGAAAGAGATAGCTATATAATACGAAAAGAGGGGTGAATCAACCCTATGATTGCAGCTAGCTATACTGTCGAGCCCCTCGTTTCTTTTGGGTTTACGTAAGCATTTGGATTAATGTTGTTCGTAGGTAGAAAAGTTTCAGTGAACATATTAATTTATTAAAAATAACTAGTTACATTAAATACAGTACATTATCTATGCAAATTTACCGCCACTTTAATTAAGACATTCAGATGTTAAAAATGGGTTGCTTATTTATGTATTAGGTAAGTAAAACCTACGGTCGAAGAAATCCATAAGGTTAGGTACGACGTGTATATAAAACTATGCACGAGAAATCTTGACTTGACTTTTTGAGTTCGCCTCATAGACATGTACGTAAACACAAACCAAGTTAACGTAGTTCATTTTCACGTACTTTATATAGTCTATCTGTAACACTTCTTGGGAAATTAATATTAGGATTAAATTGAAATTCTGCAGATATCCCTTAAAGTTTTATTGTTAGATGTTTGAATGGTGAGTATAGTGGGGAGCTGTGGAGGCACCGTAAGGGGCCCCGCCGTACCGTCGCTACCGTCGTGTCCTCGAACCTGACCGCGCGCGTTCGCCTTGAACTCATCGTGGTCGGCTCTTGCGCCGACGGTTGATGTTCGCGTGTGAGCAGCGAAAAATCGATGTCTTGGATAAATTGTTTCACTGCTTTGTTAAAATGCTTGTGTAAAAATATTGTTTAGGAACACACTAAAATAGTTCAAAAACTTATCAGCTGAGAGTGAAGCTATATTAGTTTACTATTTATTTTTAAATTATAATAAAAATGGTATAAAGTATATTTTGGCGCGAAAATTTAAGAGAATGGGCAGGTCCATGCACACTGCGCACGCAGAAGAGTTCAAAACACGTATATCTGGGGTGGGGTTTCGTATTGATTGAACGCGCGAGGCTTTCCCCTCGCCTACTCCTCCAAACATCCCTGTTTTAAACGAAGGGAGGGAAACTGAAATATTTTGAGTTCAGTTTATAATTATTATATGTTTAAAACTAGACTGAAAAAAGTTAACTCTCAATGAAAACTTCTTAAAAATAATTTAAACCATCTATAGAATATCTAACAAGTCTCGTTTGAAATTGTGCGAAAAAAGGCTGTCATGACATTAATGGAGTCATTTCTGTTTCAATGTCGAGAATACATTTACCCACAACTTAGCAGCACGTGATGCCGTAGAAAAATACAGATGGTGTTAGGTCAATAACCTTACTGTAAATTACTGACTCAGCGACTATCTTTGATTAGTAATTTTGACCCACATGAAAACTTAGTATTTTGTAGATAATATTACACGTATTACCCGTTCAGTTTTCCTAACGCGTTTATGTATGGTGCACAAATGTCTCTTAAATGTAAACAGATTAGACAATAGGACAGGACTAGGACAATGTTATGTACAATATTTCATTTCTTTTATTTCATAAACAATATTAATTATAGGTAAGTGCTTTCTATTTTTTCTTTCTACAAAAGCCTTTTTTATGGTATAGGGGTGAAACGAGCAGACGTGTCACTTGATGGTAAGTAACGCCGCCCATGGACACATGCAACTCAAGACACATTTGCAATATAAGTACCCACTTATATGTCGTAGGCCAATCGTCATACTTCGATCGATGTCCGGAGCTTCGGTTCACCTGAACAGGACACTAGGAGCCTGACACCTTTTAAGGACACTATATGAATTGTTTAGTACTCGTTGGAGAGAGTCAGTCGCTGACAGAAGCCGAAAGCACTAAAAGTCGGTGGCCCGGAAATACCGAACCGTTCAGTGTCTCTGTAGACTTGCACCAAGAATGGATATCTTACGCTGCTGTTTGAAGCGAATTCATAAGCAACCTCAAAATAGTTACAAATACTGGAGAATGTTAAGATTGAAAATCAGCAGAACCTAAGCTGAATATATGTTTTGTAATTTCGGCGATCTCTCCACTCTTGAAATCATTTGTCTAAATTCAAGCTAACTAAAGAGAGAACGTAGATGGGCTCTCTCCTCCAAAGTGAGGACTGTAGAGCATCGAATCAATACACGGTGGATGAAATGGTGGCAGATTACAAATATCTGTAATCCCTAGTTTTTCGCATCGCGAACGTCATTATCTTCTTTTTGATATTTACGTAAGTATAAGTACATAATATTATCTTTCGGTCCAGACGCAAAAAGGAGGCAAATATCTGTGTCCCTGAGTTTTAGGAGGATTTTTTACACCTTTGCATTTTGTTAAGTTCACGAAATTCTATTTTTTTTTGCTTATAAATAAATATTAAGTATCTAATGTAGTTATTAACAATTATAGGTTAATATTGATTACATTTAATTTTATACTTCAAGATTAAAGTCAAAATATCGTATCTATACAAATAAATAAAATTGAAGTGTCTGTTAGTAATGTCAAAGTAATAGGTTTTGTTTCATGCTCATGGTTATTTGCATGTACCTATGCTTAAAAACCAGTTTTAAAAATTTCGTCTCTGTTGGTTCCGGGTAGTCTTCTAAACGGCTGGACCGATTGTGATAATATTTAACTACCAGGTAGCTGTCTATATAAAGAGTAACTTAGGCTATTTTTCTTCTCAGAAAAGCCCTTTAAAAATTTTCCCAGTCCAGGATTCGAACCCACCAAGGCAGCGCTTTTCAAATTCCACACGAACGAAGTCGCAGGTACCAGGTAGTTATTAGTATATTACACACATACACTCACGTCTTTATCCCCCTAGGAGTAGTCAGGGCGACATTTTGGCGATTATCGATTTTAAAATACTATTTAAAACATGCGCTGTGTATGGTGAAACATGTGTTATTAATTAATCCTCAAAGTTAACTGTCGTCGTTTTAAAGTCAAGCGTTTGAAATTAGCTGAAAAAAAACTCGAGTTCCGTATTTACCTCTTTAGCAATCTTGGTACATCACTACTTATACTAATTTCTATAACGTGTGTTTGCCTGTCTTAGCTTCTAAACGGATGGACCGATCTCGGTCTTTTAATGAATGTAAACAAACCTACAGTTTTTCTATTACTCATTGTTGAACGCCAAATGAAGACTTAGCAAGGGCTGTGGCGAGCTTTTGAGTCGTTGTACTTTAACCCTTTGAGAAAAGTCCCCGACTGGTCCGAAATTAGTTTATTTTTATTTAAGTAGGTATATTAGTTTCTTATTAGTCCGAAAAAGTTTAATTTTAATTTATAACAATATATATTTTCTTGTTAAACTTAGCAACATACTTCTTAGATTCGATATTAACTTAGATGGTTTCTGAAAGTAAAAACCCTAGTAAATATGCCTTAGTTAGCTAGTACATATTATATTATTATTTGACTGTCTAAAATTTTATACATCTGTTTAATCAAAGATATCATAATTTAACTGCCTTCATTTTATATAAATATAACTTGAAGAAATAATAGCATATTGCATATGCATAAGAGCACCAATTTCCCTAAAAGAGTATTTAGTTAATTTTGTATTAGTACCTTTTTTCAGTTATAAAACTATGTCGAAAAATCAAAATGAGTCAGTAGGTACCTAGTTAATTCAATTCAAACGAAATTAACGAGGTAGCTATATTGATATGAATTACATTGATAAACTCGTTGCATTGACGGGTTGCAGTCAACGTCACTTGGTTTGCCTCGCCGAGTGCATTACGGTACACACACAAACACAGAATGCAATACCACACCTCCGAGCATTCACTACTAATACTACAATAGTAGGCAGGCACGTTGCCGTGCACTCATTGTTGCTCAACGTTTTGAAATTTTCGCCGCTTAAAACCGGCCGTGGGAACAAAAATTGATTTGAAGAATTCCTTACATCATTACAAAAAATCACAGATTTACTGTAAGAAAATATTTTTTCACAGTTATACTTTGTGTTTTCAATAAACAAGTCATATTAAATTTAACATGCCGACTTGAACACATGGCATATCCTCGTTAGTTCCAAAAAAGTATTTAATAATAACCATTTAATGGTGAATAATGAAATGAAAATGCGTGTTTTTGCGATCTCAGTAAATAAGAACGAGAAAGTACAAATTTCAACGACAATGACGTACAATGCTCAACGACATATAACATAAAAGATGATAAAATATATTTAGGGCTCTGTCTACGCTCGTTACTAAATTGGCGGGTTTATGTAAAATATGTATAAAAGGTAAATCATCAATAGTTTACCTTCTTGGAGATCACTCATGTAAGCTATGTACAAATAAGATTGTTTGTAAGTAAAAAGTAGACAGCCTTGTCTACGTCTGTTAAAAACTTCATTCAAATGAATGCTAATAAATTGCCGCCGTTTTTAACGGTTCCCTCGATTTCCTTATGAATGTATGTAATGCATGTTAATGGCTGCATACAAATACACATTATATTAATTTAGGTGCACAGGAATGTCGGTAGTATCCAATTAATTAATAAGTGCATGTACTACTGAACAGAACAATATTTTTTAAATGCTGAAGAATAATAATAACTGTATTGCCATCCTTATCAACTACACTTTCAGTGGCTAAGTCAGAAAGAGAGGGAAACAATTTCAATAATAAGACGTCCGTTACCAGTCTAGGAGTTGAAAAAGTTTAAAATAAAAACAAATTGTTAAAAATGTATACGAATGTACATGGATACTAATATGAATCTGACTAATGAAAGTATACACAACACATACGACAACTGTAATGGGTCTCCCCATTACAGTTGTGGCAGTGTACATTTTAGAAGAGGAAGTTATTTCCCGCCACTCTGATAAAGTAAATAATAATAAAACATAGCCTCTAAACAATTAGAGGAAACAATATTTCTAAAATTATAACCTGCTGTTTTCAATAGTAATAACGAAATTGATAAATGACATTAAAAAGAGCGGGACACGTTAACCCGTTGGACTTGCCCATCAAAAATTCCATGTTTTCTTAATTTATCAAATACTTTTATAAACTGAAAGATCAGAATAGTACTTACCGAATATTTATTGGTATAAATATCCTTAAGCTCGACAGAATAATCCTGAATTTCACACATTTACGCTTTTAACGTCATAAGATTGACAGATATACACCACTCACTCCATATAAAAACCACAATCTGTTTTACTATTCTATGAAAAGGTACACAAAGAATGGTCTTTATCGCTATTGGACGTGATAACCCACGTGACCTATGGCAGATATCGCTATTGGTGCAGAGTTGTAGTACCATTGACGTCAGTAGTCAACAACGATACTTTCTAAAGTTTTCTTCGTCCTTACTTTTCGAAATAAATTTTCTGATAAATTTAAATTTATAATATTTTTAATAATAATATTCTTGTTAAAATAGGGTGCTTTTAATGATACTTACGACATCACTTACCGGTTACATGGCTCAGCTATTCACAACAACATGGCGGTTTGTTTACACCGGCATGATAAGGCGGGAAGTACTTCTGCCGTGTATGAACATCTACACTCATAATTATATATGTCAAAATAATCATTGCATTGTAAAGAACATTTTTATTGATATACATAATACAATTTTCAAACGTAATTAAATATAAACAGACACTAAAGGCACATGGGCGATACCACTTTATTATACGCAAGCGCACTCTAGTGGTCATTATTTGAAAGTATGAACGTATGGCGGGAAAATGACAAAAATATAAGTATTGTTCTCAGTTATACTAAATGTCAATATTAATAATGTGTCAACAATACGATTGTTTGCTAAAAAATTAATTCACAAAACAAAATATAAATAAAACAAAGTCAATCATGCTAAACATTACATAGGTACTTATCAGCAAAGATGAACACCACATATCAAGTAGGTAGGTTTAATAATGTAACCTGCCAAACAAGTAATTTAAGAGCTACAGCAAGTCAATAAATGGGCATAAACATAGGTAAGATAATCAAATTTAAACAAATAGGTTGAACAAAAAAATTCAAAAACAACATTATGACAAAATTAATATTGATGCTGGGTGAATTCTTAACATAATTATTATTAGTGCTTAGATATAGTTATGTGCATCCATTCAACAATTTTATTTACCTCAGACGTGATTCCTTAACTTGAGCTAAATTATGAGCATTATATTAAAGTAACAGTAGGTTTTCTTTTCTATTTAGCAACATAGAAATAATAAAATGAAACAATAAACCAACAAACACTACAAAACATCAGGCGGCATTCAAGGCATACTAGTTACAATTATTATTAATTTTAAAATTTAGATAATTTTATGGTTCTATGTCTTTTGTATTTTTCGAACGTCCCTAGCTTTTTTATTCTGTTCTTCTGAAGGTAATCTTGTTTGAAGTTATATACATCACTAGATTGAGCAACAAATTGAGTTTCTTGAGGTATTACATTAACTTTGAAATTAGTTGTGAAACCATAGTCAGAAGTTGAGGCTGTTGGTATAAATGGTAGGACCTTAGGTGCTTTAACTGTTTTATTTTTTCTTTGTTCCTCTCTTGAGTCATTTAAGTACACACTCTGTTCTAAGTAATTTGAAGGCTTGTTTCTTCTCTTTTTAGTTTCTTCGACTTTGAAGGATGTTGTGGAAATTATGTTATCCATTGTTTCGAATTTCCTTGGATTGTCATCTAGTTGTTTAAGGACGTTAGTTGATAAACGTGGAACATGCACCTTATCCAAGGAGTTTTGTTTAATGACCTGTAAAATATAATAAATTAGGTATTCATAGTCACTAAGAATAAAGTTTACCTTTGGATTGTTTGTATTTACAGACCTTAGATGACTTTTCTCCCTCGTCGTCGTCTCTTTCTTTCCTCTTCTTGCTTTTCTTTGTGGAGTCTGTAATGCATTTGTCATTATTAAGATATTTATTGTTCATAAATATTTTACTATTTTATTTCTTCGAAAGGTTACATGGGTGAATTTTATTTTTTTAATTTATAACAAATGTGATAAAAAAGCTCATGATTCTAATCTACTAACTCGACTGCACAATAAGATGGGTATGTCGAAATCAAAGACCCTAAAAACTTATTATCCCTGCATGGCATGGTTGAAAGAAAGAGTAATTGTTGAGCAACACGCATTGTAGCTTGACTTTTCTTTCGTGTTTGCAACACCTCTCTGGCGTAAAAAGTTTATTCTAAGAGTGTATGAAATAATAAGATATTAAATGTACCATGACTATCTTGAACTGGATTTTGTACTGCAGCAGTTTTACTTTTCTTTTTGGATTTACTAACAGGAAGTAATTCTTTTTTTTCGATAACAGCATCAGGAACTAAACATAAATAAAAAAGTAGGTATATTAAATATTAACTTATAAAAATATGACGAGATTTTTTATTTGTTATATGTACCTTTTTCTTCAACATTTTCGTTATTAATAGTGTGCGATATCTTTCGTTTTTTCTTTTGATTTATAGTTTTAAAAGATTCATTTGGTCCTTCTGGAGCCCCGGCGTTATCTACAACAAAAAAAAAGTAGGGTTATAAATGTCAATTATTTGGTGCTCTGATGTTTATAAATAGACAACATTAAAAGTGTTAAAAATAAAGTTTGCCTATTTTTTAATTAAAAAACCTTGTAAAGAAACAATACCTATTTCTGTTGTTTCTTCAATTGATTCATTAGTAGGTTTTCGTTTGCGTTTCTTCGAAATGTCCTCTTCAGTAACAACATTTTCAACTTCTGTAAACAAATAATGCATATTTTGTGTATTATTGAACTAGAGTATCAGTTTGCATATAATATTATGTATTTCAGGAGTGTCTTAGCATAATATTTTAATATTGTCACACTAATGCCACAAAGGGTTGTTGCTGATGCAGGTTTTTCATATATGCTGATTTAGATCAGCAGATGCTGATAATAATGAGTTACTTAAATAAAACATCCTAGTATAAAACTATTAGCAAATGTGCTTTAATTCATATTTACATTATAAATGTGAAAGTGAGTTTGTTTGTTACGCTTTCACGCCTAAACCACCACACATATTTTTAAAATTATTTTACCAATGGAAAGTTACAATATCAGCGAGTAACATGTGCCACTTTTACCGCGATAACAGACATACATGCGGGCGGAGCCGCGGGCAAAAGCTAGTACTTTCACAACAAACAAACCTATCAACACTATACCTGTATAATTTAAGTATACATACATATATTACACTTTTTTTTAAATACTCATTTATAAATAATAACTAACGTTTAGTTATCGTTTTCATTTATAAAGAAGAAAATAATCATCAGCATTTTTAAGTTTTTTATAATAAGCCATTATAATTCTGTAAAAAATTACTTAAAATAGTTAGTTAGTTAATATTTTATTTATTAATTAAAATGTGCATGCTTGTCACCCAGGCCTTGCACATAATATTTATTTAAAGAGAACTATTAACATTACTATTGGAATCTAATTAATGCTTAGTTATATTTTAAAAACAGAGATTACAGGAATCTTTGAGCTAGTGCAGATAGTTCTTTATGTTGTGGTTTAAAGAATACTTATTTTATTTCTCACTATCTTTTGCCTGCTGCTCCGCCCGCGGGTATATCGGTTATCGCGGTAAAAAGTAGCCATGTTACCTGCTGATAATGTAGCTAACTATTCGTTTAAGAATTTTTAAAAACAGTTTAGTTGTTTACGCGTGAAAGTGTAACAAACAAAGAAACTCACTTTTACATTTATAAGTATAGAATTGTGGATTATTACATGTATTACGTTTGCACGCCACACAATGTACCACTGACGTACAATCAATTTATGTTGACAAAACAATGGAATGAGGGAACAAAAGACAGCTTTTAGCCGTCTGAAAAGGAAGGATTATGTTTTTCTAATTTAACTGGCTATGATTGATTGAACTCTAGACCTAATCCTGTTTTATTACAAATTTAAAAATACAAGATTTTAATAATATATTTACCTCCAACGTCAGTTTTCTTTACGGCAAGGGACTGTTCTGTAACTGTTAGTTGCTTATGTGTTTTTTTATTTTCGATTGAAATGTTTCGAGCGTAATCTCCTTGGGCATCTATTTCTGAAATTCGCAGGACAGGCAATGTTACAATAGGTTAATACTTTAATTGTACAATTCATTTAACTTCTGTACCAAATTTGTCATTAACCAAATGTTAGGACCACAAACAAAGTCTTACTTTAGTAAATCCTATGTGAAAAAGTTTCTGATTAAACTATATTCTACAACTAACAACTATCTCTTAAATTAATAATAACGTTCTTATCATGAAACAAACCTGTATTTTCAGTAACTCGAGACGTATCCAAACTTTTTTTATTTTTCTTATTCTTCTTTGCACTCACTGGAGTTTTAACATCAGTAGTGACATTTTCTTGCTCCCCAGTATGAGAGTCTCTTTGGTTAGATACTTCTGGCAGAGTGTAATTGAAATCATCATCTAAAAGTAAAGGAAGAAAGTAAACTAAAGGATATTTTATTTTTAACAATTTTTAATAAGCATAAATAACATACATTCAGTCAACTTAAGTAACGTTGTTTTTATTTTATTTTTGAATTTAAACACATTTTGAAGGAAATGGAAGGTTCAGAAGCAAAATGATGATGACAACGATTGAGATAAAGTATCAAACATTTTATATATATTGCCGTAATTCTTCGAAGTATTTACACAGAAAGTATTTTAAGAGTTTTAATACTACATTTGATAATATTAGTATTAGTATTTTTAGTATATTTGATAATATTAGATATATAATATTAGTATTTACACTTCTGTGTAAATACTAATATTATATATCTAATATTAGAAAGTAGTTAAAGAGTTTTAATACTACATTTGATAATTAATTTGATAATATATGATACATCTGACACACAACGCCATCTAGTTTCAAACTAAGCGGAGCTTTTACTATAAAAGCTAGATTGACTGTTAGAATACTTACATACTTTTTTATTTTTAAATACATACATATTATATATTACATAGAAAACACCCAATCTCCAAAACAAATATTTGTAGATCATACAAACATTTCGTTCGACCCAGGATTCGAACCCGATACCGAGACCAGACTGCAGTCGCATATGCTACCACTGCCCACCGATGCAGTTGTATTTGCATCATGTATATGCTGCAACTTTATTACATTGGAAGTAATTTTGTGTCAGGTGGAGAAGAGAAAGGGAATTACTTATCTACAAAAGAAAAATAAAATGAAGGAGAGTTAACTTGTCAGCCCAGAAAGAGAGCTTGGCAAGAACAATATGATACGAACTCCGCCCAGAGTTAAAAAATAAAATTCGAAAATTTCATCAACATTCTACACATTCTAACATGCTACATATTCTACAATATTCGTAAATTTGAATGAGATTATATTCAAATTGCCGAGAGTTAAATTAATTAATTTAAATTATTTATCCATTCCATTGTTTTGTTTAAATCATCTAAATCTTATACCAACCTTTATGTTCAATTACTTGAGAGTTATTTAAGCCTTTTTTAATTTTCTTATTCTTCTTTGCACTCACTGGAGTTTTAATGTCAGAGGTGACAATATCTTGCTGACTTGTATGAGAGTTGTTCAAATTCTGTTTAGATTTGTCTTTGTTTTTGTCACTTGGGTTAGATACTTCTAGTGGAGCATCATTGGAGACATCATCTGTAAGTAAGTACCCATCTTGTTAGAGAAGATTATATGTAAAGAATATTTTATTATCAAGTTTTCTCCTTGAAACTATTATTTTATTCAATATTTTTAAAATTGTGTTTTTTTGGCTTAAACCATGATAAATTAATTTAAACAAAATCTGATGGAAATGGAAAGTTTTAAGTTAACAAAAGTAACATCTTGATGACAATGTGCAACATTGAGTATTAATAATTTTGTATCCATTTCTTTTTTTAATTCAAAGGGTATACAATATATGTACATCCTTAGTATTTTATTATATAGATTTTTAAATTTTTATAAAAAAAAATGTTCTGTTCAAATCATCTAAATGTTATACCAACCTGTATGTTCAATTAATTGAGAGTTATTTAAGCTTTTTTTATTTTTCTTATTCTTCTTTACACTCACTGGAGTTTTAATATCAGTAGTGACAATTTCTTGCTCCTCAGTATGTGATGTGTTTAAATTCTGCTTATTTTTGTCACTTTGGTAAGAAACTTCCAGTGGAGCATCATTGGAGTCATCATCTGTAAGTATTTTACTTTCTCATTAGGAAAAATTTGAACGAAAGAATTAGGAAAAAACTAGAAATTCAGAATACCAAGTTTTTTCAACAGTTTCTAAAATAATCTGGTATTAGTATACATACCACTCTTGGCATTGACAGATACTTCATTTTTGCGCTTCTTTTTACCACTAACCCTACTTGAGGTATCCACACTCTTGTCCATGCCAATATATGTACCAGTTGTGTCAATGAAAAAGTTTACATTATCCTCATTTTCCTTATCTAAAAGAATATGATTAAATCATTGTACAAGATATATACATTTACTATAAGTATCCAGGTTTTAAAAACTTAGATAGATAAAAATAGGTAATTATCAAAAAGAAAATATTCTTGTTACTTCTTAGATACCTTATGTATCTAGATCGTAAATAATACATACTCATTTCTAGATATATTAGATATTTTGATAGATTTAGATATATTTTATTTCACACTCTGCCCCTTTTTGCCTAACATTAAATACGAGTAAGAAAGATTGATCTCTTTATATTCAGGTCTAAAGAGACGGCTTAAGGCTGTGCTTTTTATGTAAACAAGATTAAATTTTCAATTTTGAGTTGTAACTACACATTTTTTTTTTATTTTACAGAACTAACCACTCAAAATTAATATACTATTACATATACCCTATAAAAGGCAATAAGTTTGTCTCCTATTATGTTAATCAAAACAAGCTATATATACTTTTTTTTAATATTGAATAACTTCAAACAATAATAACAAAGAGCACTAAAAACCTAGTAGCAACCGCCGTTGTTAGTGCCATTGTCTGTCTCCAAAACTCGTCATCAGATCTATGTGATATTTAAATGGGACGATTTCTGAATACAACCCTTTCGAACAAAAAAAGAATTTGCCCAATGCCCAAACAAACATAAAAAAATATATGAACATCCGAATTGATAACCTCTTTCTTTTTGAAGTCGGTTAATTAGTTATAGTTAGCAAGTTGCACGTGTTTTATAGCTCTCGGAAATACGTGTAATGTATGTATGAGCAACTTTAAATCTGACTCACCCTCAGTTTTCTCAGGGAGAGGAACTGTGTGTTTCACCTTCTTAGATTTGCTGAGATTCAGATCAGATGATTCGTTTGGTATTGTTGCTGCTCCACATGTAGAATCTGAAATTATTATTGAACCATTAACCAACTATATAAATTATCTTGCATATTTTCAGTGAATTTAAAATTTAATAGGTTCTGGGTTCTGAAATAATAAATTCAAGTTTTATTATATTAGCCTTGTTAATGAAATTGCTTATTTTTAGAATTCCGTACCTCAAAAGGTAATAAGGATTCCTTTTTTACCTTTTGAGGTACAGAACCCTAAAAATAAAAAAAGGTTGAAAATAAAGATAAATTTTGGGTACTTACAAATTTTCGCGAAAATCTACGTAAAATCTGGGTAGGTACGGAACCCTCGGCGCACGAGTTCGACTCGTACCTGACCGGTTTTATTATGGGTAAGGGTGAGGATTGATATGCTTCCTTCTTCTTGAAAGTAATATTGAAGGCTTTTTAGAGACATGAAGTTCGTTGGGGCTGTGACCAGGGGGTGTGACTACTACTTGAACGATTTGTTATCATTTTATTACCGCGAATGGACTATAGATATCAAAAGCAGTTTTGTTAAAACTAAAAAAAATGTGTAACATACTTACCAGTCTTTTCTAAAATGTTGGTTTTACCCAGAGCTCTTTTCAAAGGAATAAATTCCTCAACAGATGCTTTATTTTCTTTTTCAGAAGACACTTTAACATCACTATCTGTGCTATCGTCATTGAACAATAACTTCATATCAATGGAATCTGAAGAACCCTCCTCTTGAGTATTTATAGATTTATTGACCTTTTCCATGATTTTTTTATCTTTCAGGTCTGAATTTAGCTTTCTGCTCTTCAAATTCTTTGTCTGAGTAAGATTTAACTGGTCTATAATTGGATCCTTGTCCTTTCGTTTAGCTTTTTTGTCAAGATTAAAGGACATGTCTAATGATTTAACTTTAATCGACTTTACATTCAAATAGTTTAGAACAGAATTATAATTTTCCGTTATTTCTTCATTTTCACTAATTGATTCTTCACTGACATCTACACAATCTGTAGCCGAAGTAGTTTGTAGTGGATCTGTTGTTTGATTTGATTTTAAGATAGATATATTATTTTGAATGTCTACTGCCTCAATTTCTACATTTGCAATTGATACTGTAGATATATTAGAATCTTTTTGGGGAGTCTTGGGCTCTTCCTTGATAATGCCATGAAGGGATAGAGGATCGTCTTTATCAGTTTCATTATTCCCGTGGATAGAAATCTCGCTTTCATTTGTTGCGTTTTCTTCACATACTGAGTCTGACAATCGTCTCGAGGCCTTCTTTTTTTGTTTAAATTCACTTGTATCGTGGTCAGACTGTGTGATAGTTATGTCTTGACTAGAATCGATTCTAGCACGCTTGTTCTTCTTAGGTTTGTTACATATCTTTATGTCAGATTCAGATTCCGATGACTCTAACCTTTGACGATTTAATTTCTTGTTAGAATTTGTTTTATTATCAGATTTGTTCAACTTATGTCTGGCTTCAAACATTTCCCTTGAAGCTTTTTTCTGCTCTTTTATTTTACGGTCATTAAATTTCTTTTTAGATTTCGCACTCATGCTAAGTTCATCAGCACTCATAGAAAGGTCATCGCCAGAGCCACTTAAAAGCTCACCATCCTCTTCTTCGGAATCTACAACAAAGGAGTCTTTTTCATATTCAGAGTCATCCGAAAAATCTTCATCTTCAGAATCTAATGTTACACCTTTTTCAACGATTTCATGTTGTTCCTCGTATTCTCTTGCGTCTTGATCTCTACTATCCCCAGATTCGTAATCGTCACTTGCTTCCTCAGCTTCATCCTCAATCAATTTGCTTTTATGTATTGATTCTTCTTCTGAAGATGCTTCATTATCATCTTCGGAACTTCCTTCACTTTCTCCATCAGATAGTTCAGATGCATCATTCTGCGAAATATCAGAAGTGTCTTTCTTCGATCCATTTAAGGCGCTGTTGTTCTTAATTTTAGTAGTATTGGGAGTAATTATTGATGAATTTATCTGCATGCCTATTTTTTTTACAGGCTTCTGTTGAAGTGGAGTACTGGTAGAATAAGTCAGAGAGAGATTTTTCTTATTATTTTCTTTGTCTTTAATGACATTTGGCACATTAGCAGACTGAGATAACTGCTCATTACAATTCCTGGATTCATTCAATTCATAAAGTTCTTTTGTTACATTAGTTTCAGACACATCTTTTATTTGAGACAAAACCAGAGTGCTTTTGTTTTCATTATTACTTTTCTCAAATATTTGTGACTCCATGTTTAATATAGAAGACTTCCTCTTAGACTTATTACAACTCTTATTCAATGCAGAGTCAATAGAATCGTCAACATCTGTCTTGGAAATAGAACTTTTTCTTTTAGATTTATTATTAAGTTTATCAGAACTAGAATTAATCAGATCAGAAGATCCTTTCTGATACTTATTGAAATTATTACCTACATTACTGTCGCTAGTATTTGATGACTTTCGTTTAGATTTATTAGAGCCTAAATTACTATTATCGTCATAATTATTAGACTTGTTAAATCCGCTGTCTAGTTCATCATTGTCCGTAACTGTATTGAGAGAGGATTTTCTTGTAGATTTATCATGTGTAGCCTCTGAAGCTATGGACCCCTTTTTGGTTTTGTTATAGCTCTCATTTATAACACTTTCGTTTTTGTTACTAACATCTAATTTGGTGATGCTGGCATTTACATTAGTGCTTGGTATGCTTTTAGAATCTGTAGATCCCATTGTATCATTATTGTCTTTATGAATATCGTCGAGGTCAAAAGAACCATCATGATTTCTTTTTATTTCACTATTATCCTCACCAGCTACATATGAAAGTAAAGATTTTCTTTTAGATTTATTTTTATCGATACTGCTATTCATTATTGCAGACTTTCTTTGCACCTTTGTGGTACTTTTATTCCCACTGTCATCATAAGAACTTGAACTAAGAGAATTATTACCTATGTCATCACTAGTAGCGAAATTAGAAATAGAAGACTTTGTTTTGGATTTATTTAAAGTACTATTGCAGTCAGGATTGCTAGAATTATCTTCCAATTTTTCATCTACTTCTTCAGTACAATTGTTGATCGATTTTCTTTTTGATTTATTAATAAGCATATCTGTAGGATCAGTACAAGCGCTAGCAGCTGTTAAGGCCTTCTTCATTGATTTGTTTTGAGTAGTTTCATTATCACTCTCTAAATCCGAAATGTTCGATTTTCTGCGAGATTTATGGTTGTGGTCAATGTTTATATTATCAGTTACGGAAATATTTTGGAGCGATTTACGTTTTAGTAGGCTGGGAGCTTTGATTTCTGAAGCATTTTTATCTGTGAACACTGACAGTGATACATTTTCTGGCATAGTTTCATCAATATCCATTGGTTCATAGCTGCAATTATTTTTTTTCTCCTTAGAAATATCGTCTTCTAACTGATTTTCTACTACAGGCACACATTGGTCTCCACTTTCTATATTTTGTAGCACACTTCCTTTTTCTGCAGCACCCGCGTTTGAATCTGAATCTTCAATGTAAACTAAAGATTCAACAGGTCCACTTGGAGCTTCACGAAAGAATCTTTCAGTGAAATTAGGATCATCCGTTTGTGATGGCAAATCTTTATCATTGGCATCAGATTTATTTAAGTCAGCTAAAGTATTTGCAATCGGAGCTCTTGTTTCATTGTCAAGTATAGAATTATCATGGCGTTTCTTTTTCTTCTTCTCAGACTTAATGGAAGAATTTAATGAATTATCCTTAATATCACATTGTTCTTCGGTTTTCTTAATGCTTATAGTGCTAGTGTTTATAACACCTTCACGATAACTAGACACATTTGCAGTGTTACTGTTTGCTTTATTTTTTTTTATTGTAGCTTCAGTATCACTTAAAAAGTTGTCATTATTAGAAGAATTTAGTGCTAATGTTGTCCAGGACTTCGTTCTACGCCGTTTTGACTTTGTTTGTGACTCCCCTAATGCTGAAGCGGTTTTGTTTAAATAAGCATTCCCTGTTTTAACTTCATCATCTAATTGCTTTATTAAATTAGAAGAAGAAATTGAGAGGTTGATTTCTTCATGACTTTTATTAATTTTAGGAGTGTCAAGAGATGATACAATAGAAGCATCTGCAGAATCAGACTTAACACCATTGGATTCTTTGACACTTTCAAGTTCATATTTATTTTCAAGATCAAGTGATGATCTTTTACCAGTCTTTTCAATTAACCTAGGGCTCTTCCTGGTAGTGGGTGATTCATTTCTTTCTTTGGCAGGAGTATCTTTGTTTGTCAAGTCTTTGATATTATTTTCAGTTTCTTCAACAATAACTTCTTTAACCTGTGGTCCTAATTTTTCAAGATTAGGATCACCTGAAACACAACAAATGTCTGTTATTTTCATTATATATTACGTTTTTCTGTATGTTCTGCAAGTAACTTTGTTCTTTATAAACGGAAACACTATTCATAGGTGTATCATATATTTTTTAAAAGCTGTGTCCGCTAAAGTAATCATATGACTACACAAGACTATTTTGATAAATATTCTAGTATGAGACATATGCCCGTTGTTAAAAGGGGTCTCAGTCGTGCATCTAGGCTTAAAATAAGTAATAAATAATTAAGTAGAGATATTATTTTTGAACGTCACTTAAAACGAGATTCACCGATCCATACTCGAGTGATAGCTTATTTTGGAATTATGGTGATCTTTGTTTACGTGAGATAAGCTGAAACTAGTCTCAAACGGTGATTTCTAGGCCATTTTAGAGAAAATGAATGTGTTTTACGATAATTTGTTTCTGAATAATTACGAAAGAATAACTTGTCATACATAATCAATTCACTTTAATTGACCTTAATTGATAAATTATTAGTGAATATACATAAGAACTTCAGAAATTCACATTTTACACATTGTGTTTAAATTAAAATCACCACAACCTCTTGGTTTATGATAAAAGTATAATATTATCATAGTAAAATCAATTTTAAAAATATAAAAATAAAAACATTGTTTGACAATTCAACATGAAAAGTGTTGATAAATAACTTGAATGTTATGTTATAGCTTATAACTAGTCATTTTATTTTAATATTTATTATATTTAATTTTGGACAAACATCAAGCATGTTAATATGTTTACATTGCTACTGTAGCCAATACACATACAAATTCACAGAAATTATGTCTGTAAAAGTAACATTACCTGCGTGGTACGGAATAATAATTTTAATCATGCGAAAACATAATTGAGAACAAACTGTAAGTTCAAATCAATTCTTGATATTAGTTTCAATTGAGTAAAACTTAAAATGCGTTCTATAATAAAATGGATACTTAAGTTTTGATCTGTACTTAAAACTAGTTTCAGGCAATCAGAGTTCAACAGATACTTGAGACGTCTTTTAAAATACGGGGCTATAGGTAGGATGATGATGATGAATAACCATGATAAATATGAAATCTTTGTGATCTTATGTCTTACCTTGTTTGTCAACACTTGAAGTGGAGTCTTTTCTGGTTCTCCTTGTTGTTCTTCCGGGGGTGACAGGAGCTTCATTATCACTACCTGAAACGAAACTTTTATTTTAGATACAAATGCATGTTATTTAAGAAAGAGCAATTTTAAAACGTTGATAACATGATTACATAGATTATCTTTTGTTGTGAACCCAGGTCCATTAGATACTGGTGTGCAGGGCGTGCACCACATAAGGGCGGCATTTTCAAGGGAGCGGCAAAAACATGTCTATTATATTTTTATTATGTCATAATGGAGTTGGATGCGAGAAGTCGAAAATCGACCAAGCGGCGTGCTATGGGAGAGGCCTATGTCCAGCGGTAGACTTATGATAATGATGTCATAATAATGCCATCTTTTGATCTCTGTAGAAAATAAATGCAAACCTCCCATTATATATACCAGGAGATAGGTTTACGTTGAATGAAGGAATGTTGAATGAGTTGGATGAAGGATTAGCTCTAGAGAAATCTATGAACAGACGCAGGTGATCACTGGGAAACAATGCTTCGGAGATCAACTGTGTCTAATCACCAAGGAGTCTGGGTGCCACCACTCTGGTGATCAGATATTTCTTGCCTAGGTTACACCTGGTTCCCCAGCTAACTGATATGTTATTCATTTTACTTACCAACTTGAGAAGTACGTCTGGCAGCTCTCTTAGCTCTAGGTGAGTCTACATGTTGAGTAGTATCTGCCACAATACTAGTATTAGACTTGATCCTTGTAATACGTCTGGAAGGTGTTCCTTTATCCTCTGTCTCCAATGGGGTTTCAGAGACAATGCTTGTGTTTGATCTGATTCTAGTGCTACGTCTTGATGGTGTGACTGCTTTTTCCTCCGGCTCGGCGTCACGCATTGTTGGTTTTCTAGTCCTTTTTGGTTTTTCTATCTCAGATGCTGGAAGTTTTGTTATTAGTTAAGTAGAATATTCAAAACAAAAAGCAAAGTATCAAAGGACTACTGAATTTCAAAAGAAACAGAACCTGTGAAGTTACACGAATCCTTGTAAAGTGGAGAAGCATTTGTTCAACCTAAAATTGGGCAAGAAGCATGCCATGCCGATTCTATTAAGAGATAAGGCATACTTTGTTTTGTGGCCCACTAATGGGGTACATAATACCATTAAACTGACATTATCTTTGTACAAATGGATCCCCAGGAGCCTTAATTAAACCACTGACTCTTTACAACTAGTTTTATTAATCACTAGGTAACACTGTACACAATAGGTAAAAGGATGTTCGTTCAATACAAAGAAATCAAATCAATTTATATTGATTGCGGTAACGAAACCATAACGCGATTTAGCCAAACGGCACAGCGACATCTATCGAAGAGCAATGTAACATATTTTAATTTATACATTCCGCCCACCAAGGACATATTTATAAAACTATGTCCTTAATAATGTAAAATAACTGATTCCGCCCACCATGAGGTAAAGGGGATTGGTAAGCAAAACTAATGAAATCCGCCCACCATGAGGTCAAGGGGGATATGTGGTAAGACTTACGACTACAAGCTATACTACTGAAACTTACAACTAGATTATCAATCTGCTATTGGCAAAACACACAATTTATTTGTTGGCCGTTTAAAAACAGAATCCTTGCATTTCAAAGTTACGACTCTAGTGATTCCGTCCGAACCCGGGTGTTTTAATAAAACCCTACCGAGTAACCACCTACCAGGAGGCAGATTGTCTTCCTTGATCAGAACCACATCACCTATCTTTGGTTCAGGTTCCCTTTGGGACCACTTATAACGGTGCAACATTTGGGTCAGATATTCCTGAGACCAACGTCGCCAGAAGTCTTGTGTCATTTTTTGAAGCAACTGCCATCTTTTCAGTGTGCCTACATTAGAATGTTCATAGTTACGATCCGGTGCAAGAATCAACGGCTCTCCTATCAAAAAGTGACCAGGTGTAAGGGGCATTTGGTCTTCTGAATTTTGCGAAATTTGAGAAATTGGTCTAGAATTGAGACACGCCTCAATTTGGACCAGAAGAGTAGACAGCTCCTCGTAAGTGAGAGTGGAGTCGCCAATGACTCTCTTCATGTGATATTTAGTTGATTTAATGCATGCCTCCCAAAGACCACCAAAATTTGGAGCGTGCGGTGGTATAAAATGCCACTTAACACTGTTGGAGCTGAGCCAATCCCTAATTTCATCAGCGACCAATGACTGTTCCGCATTTACTAGGCAGCGTAACTCCTTGGAAGCACCTACAAAATTCTTTCCGTTGTCACTCCAAAGGTCACTGCAGTGACCTCGTCTGGCAATGAATCTTTTAAACGCTGCAATAAAAGATTGTGACGTGAGATCGCTTACGACCTCCAAGTGCACCGCTCTCGTAACCATACATACAAACAAAGATATGTATCCCTTATAGGACTTGTTGCCGCGACCTTTGGACACTCTAATATTGATTGGACCTGCGAAGTCCACTCCACTGTGTACAAATGCTCTGGCTGGTGTAACTCTGCACAAGGGTAATTGTCCCATGAATTGGTTTTTAAATTTAGCTGAGTGTCGGAGACAAGTTACACATCTACGTGCAAATGATTTGACTGTGCCTTTTGCCGAGATTATCCAGTATTTCGAGCGCAAGTAATTCAACATTAGAGTGGGTCCTCCATGAAGTGTTTTTCTATGGGCTTCATCAACAAGCAGGCCAGCTAGGTGACTATGTTGAGGAATAATAATGGGGTGTCTCATACTTTCAGAGAGTTGAGCATGTTCTATTCTTCCTCCTACTCGCAGTATTCCTCGTGAATCCAGTATGGGACATAGTGCCTTTAATTTGCTTTTAGTCTTAACTCTTCCTGATCTCTTAACATCGTCTATGTCTTCACTAAATGATTGCCGTTGAAATTCTCTAATACAAATTTCCAGGGCCTCATCTAATTCCTCGCTGGTCAGGTAAGTGTGTCCTTTCCTATTTATTTTAAAAAATCTTCTGCAATACGCCACGACTCGGACTAGCCTTTGAAGTGATGAGAATCTGGTCCACAGTGAATTGTCTTGACGTATTGCTACGTGTACCTTTACTATTCTTACTTCTTCTTCCGTACTGATTGACTTAGGTTTTGTGTAGTCGATTGTTCCGTTTTTCAGCCAAGATGGACCATGAAACCATAGTGAGCAATTTGAAAGTTCCATAGGTGTCGTACCTCTGGACGCTATATCTGCGGGGTTAAAAGGAGATTTTACATGCGCCCATTGAGAACTTTCCACCAAAGACAGAATATCTGAGACGCGATTACCTACGAATGTCGTCCAGCGGCTAGGGTGACCACAAAGCCATGCTAAAACTACTGTCGAGTCAGTCCAGCAGTGTATATTTTCTTTGGGAATGTTGAACAATTCAGCTACTTCCGTTATCAGCTTGGCTAGAAGAACGGCACCCATCAACTCCAAACGCGGTATCGAAAGCTGCCTTATAGGAGCCACCTTAGTCTTGGCTGTCACCAGGTTAACTTTAATGTCCTGACTCTCTCCGATCACTCGCATGAAGACCACTGCTGCGTATGCTTTATTAGAGGCATCACAGAAACCTTGGAGTTCCACAATATCATTGCCATTGGTTTCTAACCACCGTGGGATGACAATGTCGGGTAGGTTCAATAACTCGGTTTTATATGTTGTCCACTCGTTATGTAGAACAGTAGGCAAACTGTCGTCCCAATCAATCCCCGCAAGCCACAGTTTTTGGATGAATATTTTAGCAGGTAATACACAAGGTGCTACACATCCTAAGGGATCGAAAAGGCGAGAAATTTCCGATATGACCTTTCTTTTAGTGATTGGGTCAGAGTGTTGGTGAAATGTTACAGAATATTTGAAACAATCATGTTCCTTATCCCAGGAAATGCCGAGTACCTTCATCACTGCGGGTAATTTTAATTCTACTACCTTGTCTCGACATTTGTTTGCTTCACTAAGGCCTTTTGTCAGTTCTCTACTATTGGTCGTCCACTTTTGTAATTCAAAACCTCCTCTTTCAAGCAATTCTGTCATTTCGTTGTAGATCCTCATTCCTTGCTCCACAGTCTGACAACCTGACATGAAGTCATCTACGTAAAATTCTTCTTTTAATTTTTCAGCGACTAAAGGAAAAGATGCTCCTTCATCGTGTACCAACTGCTGCAAACACTTCACAGCAAGATAAGGTCCACATGCAGTTCCGAATGTCACACGTGTTAATTTGTAATCCTTTATTTCAGATTCTAGATCACTCCGCCAGAGCAGTCGTTGAAAATGTGTGTGTTGAGGAGTAACTATGACTTGCCTATACATCTTAACAATGTCGGCACAAAGGACAATTGGATGTAACCGCCATTTCATTACAATTTGACGCAGGTCTGGCTGAATGGTAGGACCAACCATCAGTGTATCATTAAGGGACACACCATTGGACCCCTTGGAAGATGCGTCGAACACAACTCGGACCTTGGTCGTCGTTTTATCCTCCCGAACTACGGCGTGGTGAGGTAAGTACACAGCCTCCGTTCTCTGAGTGTCCGTTTCGGGATTGATTACTTCCATATGACCAAGGTCGAGGTATTCTTGAATGACCTCAGTATACTTCTGTTTCATCTCTGGATCCTTCTTAAAACGACGTTCAAGAAGGTGAAATCGTCGAAGCGCAATGTCTCTGGTATGGCCGTATTTGCACTGTGGGTCTGAGTCTCTAAATGGTAAACTGACAACATACCGACCAGTGCTGTCTCGTTGAGTGGTTTGCTTGAAGAAGTCTTCGCATAACTGCTCTTCCTGGGTAAGTATTTTCTTCTTACTGTATGCGTCAGATTCGATTTCCCAAAATCTTTTAAGCATTTCATTGTCACTGATCTGCGAATGCATGCTTACCAATGCCGGGTGACAATGTGCTGAATCCAAATTCGAATCTCTGTGTGTTCGACCAGACAAAATCCAACCTAACCGTGTATTTTGTGCTATCAAGGGTTCAAGAGGGTGCTTGATTAAACCCTCTTTGAGTACCTGGCCATAAACTTCAGCTCCAAGCAAAATATCGATTTTGTTTGGATTGTGGTACTCTGGATCTGCTAAAACTATTTCTTCTAGTTGATGCCACGTTGGTACTAATACTTTATCACCTGGAAGTAACGATGTAATATTGCCCAAAACATATGCCTGAACTTGGATGTGAAAATTAGGATCGTGACGTGATTTAATAGTTACGAAAACGATAAACTTGGAGACCATAGCTCCACCGTCACCTCCTATGCCTGAAATGACACCTCTTGCGGGTGTCTTTTTGAGTCCAAGTAACTGAACTGCTGATTCGGTTATGAACGACGTCTGGGATCCTTGATCCAATAACGCCCTCAGCAGGTGGTTGTATCCGTTGCCTGTCTGTGCTTCGACAAGAGCGGTTGCTAATAAGACCTGATTTGGAACAGCCTTCTTACTAAAGTGAGTGGTTATAGCGGCAGCATTTAATTCCTGCACCGCATCGGAAGCAGTACTCGATGTAGCTACTGCCGACTTGACTACTGACGTCGTCTCTGCAATGCCTCTAGACGACGTTGATCCTGAGGATTCCTTAGGGTGTAATAAAGAGTGGTGTTTGCGATTGCAAATCTGACAAGTGGTGGGGACACGACAAAACTTAATAGAATGATTCGACCCTAAACAATTAAAGCATAAGCCACTAGTTCGAACGAAATCACTACGTGTTTTATAGTCATTTTTACAAAACTGTTTACAGTGACTAAGTTTATGGGGTTGTTTACAGAATGGACAGCTTGCTTTAATAGGGGTATCGTTTTTGGAAGCAACCGCATGAAGAACTCTTGGTTTGTAACTTGACCTTTGTCTACCACTCTGTGTATCCAAGTACTCTAATGACCGAAATCGAGACTCTAGAAACGTTTTAAATTTGTCAAATGTTGGTAATTCCTCACAGGTACCAACCGTTGACTCCCATAATTTTCGTGACTCGCTATCTAATTTTTCGCTGATTAAGTATATTATTATAACATCCCAAGAGTCAACGCCAACACCAATAGTGGATAGGCCATTTATGCAGTCTACAGTTGTGTCCAAGAGCTCCTTAATAGCGCCTGCTGATTCCAAAATATTCGATTGATTTATTAATCTCTTTAACATAGCGTTACACAAATACCGCTTGTTGTCATAACGCTTAGTTAGCAACTGCCAGCATTCCTGGTAATTGGCAGCTGTGACTGGAGTGTGGCGCAACAATTGTTCTGCCTCACCCGCCAAATGACCTTTTAAATAATGTAACTTCTGTACATCATCAATTGCATCGTTGTTGTGAATTAGCGATAAAAATAGATCACGAAATGATATCCATTCTGTATATTTTCCCGAAAACATTGGAATAACGACTTTAGGTAATTTAACATTATTATACATCTTTATTACCGGTTGCTTATCTGAACCCTTAGTCGGCTTTGCAAGTTTTGAAATGTGTTCTCTCAACTCTGATTTGTATAAAATATAACTTTCTTCGGTGCTATCGTATGTATCTGCTTTAAAATAACTATGTTCATTATCTTTTGCAAGTTCTACTATCTTTCTATGTGTTTCTACAAAAGACTTCCATTGTTGTTCCAAAGTTTCCAATCTGGTCTCCAGGAACGAAGGTGTTAGACGTTCTTTAGGTGATTTTTTATAATTTACTCTGCCCTTCTCAATGGAATTCTTTGCATCATTTTGCAACTTTATTAATGCTTCCATGTTGAAGTTAGAAGTTTTTTGCTTGAATGCGTCACTCACTTACTCCAAATTTACAATACTTCTTAATTTCTCCGATAGGGGGCGCTTGTAACTCCTCCACACCACCGCTATTATTCGCCTGTATTGTCCGCTTCAATGACACTCCGCTGTATAATGCGCTTTCAACACGCTGCTGACAGCCAAGAGACTCCACACCCGTGGCGCCCTCTGCTGTTGACGGAATACGTCGCTGAGGCCTCTTCGTGGCGCTAAGCGGCGGCAGCACTTCAGAGCGATCCACTCTGATTTCTACGCTGGTGAAGCACTAAAAATTGCACGCGTCGACACTACCGCGCACTGTATCCGGCTGAGAAGGACCATGTACAAATGGATCCCCAGGAGCCTTAATGAAACCACTGACTCTTAACAACTAGTTTTATTTATCACTAGGTTACACTTCACACAATAGGTAAAAGGATGTTCGTTCAATACAAAGAAATCAAATCAATTTATATTGATTGCGGTAACGAAACCATAACGCGATTTAGCCAAACGGCACAGCGACATCTATCGAAGAGCAATGTAACATATTTTAATTTATACAATCTTATATATAAAATTCTCGTGTCACAATGTTCGTTCCCGTACTCCTCCGAAACGGCTTGACCGATTCTCATGAAATTTTGTGTGCACATCGGGTAGGTCTGAGAATCGGCCAACATCTATTTTTCATACCCCTAAATGGTAAGGGTGACCCATCCCTAATTTTTTTTGTTTTGCAATACAACCTTGACTACCTAAAGTAAGCCCAAGAACGCGTCCCTGTTCAACATCAATAAAGCAATAGAAAAAAATCCTCCTGCTGAGACGATCCTCCTGCTGTCCATTGACTGACACACAACAACTCATATTGTCGTGTTCTTGGGCTTACTTTAGGTAGTCAAGGTTGAGTTTAATAAAAAAGCATTACAGTCTGTACCAAGGGGATTCGCGTACGGTTTTGCAAGGTTGGGAGACTATTTAAGCTGACTAGGTTAAAAGCTTGAATGGGTGAGATATAAATTTGCTTGGTGTAATAATGTATGTGCCGGTCATGGTCAATAAACCGGCGAATTCATGTCTAAAATTATTGAGGACTGCTCTTAACGTAGCATGTAAGAAATTCGTTCTTAAAATCAATGTAAGTAAGATATGTGACATAGAGGCAAATGTCATGCGGTGGCAACTACGGGTGTGGTCATGTGTTCCGGGTGCCTAAGTTGGCCAGGCGCATCTTTTACTGCAAGCTTCAAGATGCAGAAGCTTCAAGGTGGATAGCTCTTGCCCTACAAATATGTCTTAAAAAGACACAAATAGGAGTCACTGGCTTCAATCAGGATCTAGCTCAGGTAAGGGGTTTAGTTGAATCTATTTATGGAGTGACGTAACAGTGAATTTCAAGAATGATGATAATAAGAAATAATGGAATATCTTTGAAGATAACTTTTACTATTACAGTATTCCTACAAAGGTCACTTGAACAAGAAATACATATACAAGAAAAAGGTACTTCAGTTATATTTAACACAAAGACTAAAATGCATTTTTGTGGTCAAGTTTATTATGTACTATTCTGATCAATATAGAAGGGAAGTGTCAAAAAAAATTGATTATAAAATAATTTCAATTAGAGATCAACTAACACATAACTTTGTCTATGTTGAAACCTAATTTAATTACAAATATATAATTATGCATGAATATAATTCACTGTCATAGGAGTCAAAATTTGAAATGGTTATATTTTATAGGCATTAATTTATTTGAGTAAAATCACAATTTTAAAATCTATATATACTGCAAAGCACATACTTTACCAAAATGTTTTGCATGCTAAATTAAAACCGTTCAAGTTAAGTGAGATTAGAAGCTCTACATTTCATTCAGAGGCTATACCAAAGTATAGTCATGAGAATTAAATGTATGACAGTAGTGTTAACTTGTTAATAGCTAACACTGTATTAATAAACTAACTGCACCTTACAGTTTATCAAATATATTTAAATTATTTATTCATCCCAAAGGAACACTACATTATTTAGTGATAAAAGTAGCATATGTAATACTGGGTGTCAGCTACCTCCATAACAAATTTTATCAAAATTGGTTCACCCATTTGAGTGTGAACAAGTAACAAACATACACATTCACAAACTTTTGATTTTATAATATTAGTGTGATGATAATATTACTTCTGTTTAGACTCACAGCAAATAGTTATCTTATAAGGGTCTTTAGTTTATATTATCTATAATGACAAGAAGAAAGTTTTCTCTGCCTAATCTTGATTACACATAAACATCTAACATAAACCTAGTGTAGCAGATGTATATTATACCATAGCACAGCTCAGAAATAAAGAATTGTACTGTGTGAAATATACATATTTCACAGTAGTAAAATAGCTAGCATATACACATGTTAGCTATTTTGCCACAATTTTTAAACTCCTTTTGAGAACTTTAATTTTAGCATCTCTAGTCTTACCATTTTCATCAATTAGTTCCAGCTGCGGTTTAGCTGCCAGTCTACCACCTCTTTTCTTGGTAGGAGTAGACTGTGTTGATGGTGATTTGACATCTTCAGCTTCTACTGATAATCGCCTCCTCAGTCTTGTAACTGAATAAATATGTTAATCAGATCTTTATTCAGTGTTGAAAATTATATTAAAAAGTCTATGGGTACTTTTAGTCTTTAATACATTTCGAAATTTATCAGTTTAAACAAAATTGGTTTACTTGGTTCACTTCATTATTTTATTTAAAAAATGTTTCTTTATAAATAAAAATAAATAGTATATCAGTATAAATTGTAATAAAATATATTGTTACTTCCAGTTATTGCACAACTTTGTATAGGTAGCACTTTTAAAAGGTGTTAAACGTGCGCGTCGGTTAAAGCAAGTTTATTGATACCACATGTTCCTTAATTTCAATTAATAACTACGGATATTATAAAAACTATTTAGAAGATAGATCTGCAGCTGCAATGTATAAATGTAAACGAAAATGGGAATTGCGTCGCTTAGCTTTGCGTCGGTATTGTTCAAATTGTTAAGCGTAGTTAAGTAAATTTTACTAATAAGACTCCGTAATAATAAGGAATAATCAGTCAGTGTGAAGTAAATACTATCTAAACCTAACGTTTTTCTGAAATGCTTTTAGTTTTACCGGTAGCGTGACGCTCTTATCACGATACCCACCGCACCATGCTTCCACACCACAAATTTTGTAACAAATGTTAAAAAATTACCTTTGACACCGATTTCTTCTTCCATAATTAATAACCACTTAACATGTACAAAACTTTTTCAAGTTAGCTTCAAGACACGTGCAGCACAGCTCAACTAATTTTAAAATCGTGCTTTTTCGAGGCACTCTGTAAAACAGCTGTTAGGACGCGATGAACTGTCAAATCAAATTTAACGCGTAATTCATTTATGGCAACACAGCTGTTTCCGCCATGCAAGGTAAAAAAATTCTTTCGGCTTGTCTAATCGCCTAAAACTAAAATGCCACCCTAGGTCTTTTATTTTAGTTTCATTATCATAGTAGTATCGTCCAACATGGTACCAGTATACTACTACTTTCTACCGAGCCACTTGTTAATCATCTCGGAGCACTTGTGTTTATTCTCGTCTTTGTCATCTTTTCAGTCTTCTTCTTAATCCTAAAGTAAATTTTGATGGTAAATATCTACTGCATTGCATCTCTACAAAAACAATCGGCTACGGAACACTACCGACGTGAACGCACTCCTAACACAAGCAATTTAGCCTAGCGGGAGATGTTAACGGGAATACTAGTAATTTTGGTTGCTAGTATTACTACTTACTAGTACACATTATATATGTATAATAACAGTGTAATGAAGTGACACGTTGCAAACCACACCGTGGCTGTAACAACTATCGATACGCAATTTCGGTAAATTCGAGAAGTCAGTTAGGGAAATCAGGTTTAAAAAGTGAGACAAAGGTGGATATTAATATCGATAAGACTTTATTGATTACTACAACAATAACTATTGCTATTAAAAATAGTGTCATCTATCACTGGTTTTTAAACTGGATTAATTTTGTATAAATATGTCGAATACATGTCTGTGGATTACCTTTTGTCATTAAGAATGTTCCATACTATAGATGTGAAACAACCAATTTAAAACGTTTTAAATAAAAGGCCCAACATTTTATTTAAAACCCCAAACAAATCGTGTTAAACAGTTAGAAACTCGCCTACAAAAATAAAAGAATTATGTTTTACACTTCATTGTGGCCAATTTTTGTTTACCTGACGTCATGTTACGTTTTAATTCGTTTATAGAAAATCAATAGAAAGTACCTACCTACATTACCTTCTACAAGAAAACTTAAGAATGTAGGTGTACCTACCTATACTTGTTTATTATATTATATTACACACACTAAATTAGAAGACATCATTAACACAATGCCGTCCGAATGACGACGTCAACCAGAGTGCGAGAGTGTTAGTTTGGTTTTAAACCGAATCAAATTGATTATTTATATCGTTTAAAACAATGAAAAAATGTTTATTTACCAACACAGAGTTATCAATAGAGTTTTTATAAGTTAGGTAGGTAATACCTACGCTTGGTCGGATGGACCAACTAGAACTAAACCCGCTAAATATATCAATATATCATACATAAAAAAATCTTTACACAGTTTATAGGTACTCCGTCATATCCCTACCTCGTTAAATCAAGAAAATGTAGTTATAATTAAGAAAAACATAGTCATCAACACCAACCGTTTAAAATCGAAAAAAAAATTGTTTATATCGGTTTTAACGTTTTTTTTCGTTTTGAACGGATTGGCTTAATTGTTTTTAAACCGGTCTTACATCCATATTCCATCCTTCTATTATTTATTATTATATTATATTATTAGCCTATACTTAAAAGTCAGAGGTCTTGAAATGATCTGAGCAAATGACACTGTTTCTTGTAGGAATCCAGGTAAGGTATCTGTTATTACAAAAGTTCTTCCATATAGCGTTTAAACTCGGATCTTTAGGAAATCTGCAATAAGTAAATAAAAATAATGTGGTCGTAGTTCACACTTTATATAATGTGTTACTTGTGTATAATACTCATAAATATTGTTTTATATTTTATTGGATGCAATTTTAATATTAAAATAAAGCTACACATAATTATATTAATCGTATCAGAAAACATAATCTAACAAATGATAATATGTACGAGAGACATGGATATATATTAGACTTGCAACGAATAGTATATTCGGCAGTATACCGAACACCGAATATTCGGCGAGGCCCCTGACCGAATAGCCGAATATTAGGCAAAAGTATTAGGCTGGATTTTAGCGCCAAAAACTTGTACAGACGTGAATTAAAGTATGCACCTGTTTTATGTACCAATGACTACTTAATAAATGATTATAAAAGAAATGAGAACCTTACCCTTCTAAATTTTGATTACCACAATAATTCAAATACATAGACTCCTCCATTTTTCCAATTCAGAAGATGATTATGTACCTGTGTTATGCACCAATGACTACTTAAATGATTATAACAGAAATAAAAATATGAATATATACGTAATCAATCGTTTTTAATTTTTCATTTTACCAATTATTTCTCAATGACAAAATATATTATTTAAGTATTCGGTATTCGGCCGAATATTATGTAGATATTCGGTATTCGGCCGAATATAATAAAAGTAGCCGAATAGGCCGAATACCGAATAGTAACCGAATATTCGTTGCAAGTCTAATATATATATGATTTATCGATATCTAACTATTTACAACCTGGTAACAGCATCCGTGTGGACTTATACTTTGGCAGAGGGGAACGCCTGCGTATTGCTACTCCCTTCCGTGTTGCTCTATGGTTTTAGGGTATGACTTTACATGAATCGACATTTACTGCTTTAAGGCATAGCTGTTAAAGACGCCGCTGCTGCCTTATCTACGGAGGCACTCAGACAGCTTTAATTCAATAATCTACTCAATAAAGACGTAAGTCCTATAACCGTTGTGGTCGATGATTTCCCCGTTCGAAACTTTAAGTATTGATTACCCTAGCTTCTTCGTCCTTCATCCCGTTCTCTTACCCAATGAAAAGCAACAAAACATTTCCTTAATACCGGCGAAGCCGAGGTATCACTCCGGTCGAGCCGGCCCATTTGTGTCGAAACATGGCTCTTCCACGAAATGTTTTTTCTTCAAGGTGTTACTTCAAGGTATTACAAGTATTTGTCGTTCTTCATCTTCGGCCAGACCTGCTTTTAATACTAAATCCCGGTAATGACCTGTCGTTAATTGCATAACGACACAACCAACCAAAGGACAACCTGCTGTGCCGTGCCTTGCAGCTCAGCCGATGTTACTCCGCACGCCACGCCGTCTTTGGTAGTAGCCCCCGGCTGTGGAAGGTGTGTCCACGGTCTGGCCATCGCAGTGATGGCACTCAAGGCCAAGGCTCTTTGGGGATCAGACACAGGTGATCTCCTAAGCATCTTTTTCGTCAGCCGGTATCAGTGGGTCCCGTGGTACGTCTCGAGCCAATCCTCCATAACGGGGTTTACCGCCGCAACAACGGTGTGCCAGGATTAAGCCACCCCATTTGTTCTTGAACGTAAAACTATCGGCCGGTATGGGATATTTGGGAATATCGCGCCCGCGCCTATAGTTATTCAAATTATACGTCCTTACGTTTATTATAGTAATTCGAGGCTTATAAACGTTTGGATTTATTATCGTACACCGATCGCTAGATGTTACTATTACGAGTTATGACATAATAAAAGTAAAGACATTAGACATGAAAGTAATAAGAACGTTACGTTTTCGTAACGATTTCTGTTTTTGCCGCCCCCTTGAAAATGCCGCCCGTGTGTGGTGCACGCTCTGCACATCCGCACCCGGCGGCCCTGCTCAGTATGTATTTGCAACAATTATGTTCGTTAAGCAGAATATGCATTTAAATTCTAAGAATCGTGATGAACATTCGATAAACACTAGAAATAATTATAAATTAGTTTTAACGTATCATCACATAACATATAAACATAACATTGAAACACACTAAACATTGTTGAACTCCTTAATTAGCATAGAAAGTTGCAGCTTTTGGCATGGGCTAATAGCTGCAACTTTAAGAAGACGTTTCACTAGGAAAATAATTTATGACCAATCAAAAAAAAGGAAAAAGTTAATTCAACTGTAAATGAGTTTTGTTTTAATCACTAAAATTAAACACGCACATTACATTTAAATAAATAACACAAATTGACATTTAACAAAAGTTGCATAGGTGGGTAAATACCAACAATATAAAACATTAAAATCTTCGTGAATCCATTAGTTTTTCCGAGATGACATCGAATAGCAGCAAACTCCACCCCGCGTTAGGGTTAAGTGGGTCCGCACTTAAAAAGACATCAAGGGTACAGAAATGGCATTATATCTTCCTGATGACCCTCTTCAGAAATTACGTTGAACGATGTTAACCCCATTTCTCTCCAGGGACGTCTATCTCGAACACCCTCAAAGAAAAATCTGGTAAATTTCTTCTGTCGCAAATGATATGACATTGATCGGGTAAAATTAAATAAGTTTGGTTACCTGCGCGAAATAAAACGAATAGGCCCATGTAATAAAAACGCGTTTATAAGATAACTATGAAACTTATGTATGTATACGAAATCCATCTATAAGAGTACCTTTTTCGTGTGTTGTAATAAAACGACTTGGCTGTCTTTCTTTAATTGTTACTTTTTCTTAAGAAATATATTGAATAGCCTTGGTACTTTACTTTAGCGGTCTGTTGAGCCTGATTAACTGGATCTTTAAAACTTGTCTTCTTGTTAAGTTTAAGCGTCCAAGTTAAGCTTTCAGAAATACGAACTTCTGAATACTCCTAATATTTATATTGTAAAATATGAGAAAAAACCCTTTGCGAGTCCACTACGTTTAAATTGAGTGCTCACACTTTAAATTGAGACTGATGACGTCAACTGTCGTGCCTAGATACCTTACATGATATAGTTACTGCCAGGAGAGTGACTTAGGAACGTTTAAATCTAATATTTTATCTGCCCTGAAGTATGCCACAGCGCGTGCACGTGAACGTAATGTTGTCCTCTATTTTTTTTCTTCTGTAAGTGTAGTTTCTCGAATTTCAGATGTCTTGTAAAATTTTGTTTCTAATAGGTAAGTTAGTAGTCATATTTGTAAATATTATAAATATACATATATATATATATTGTTCCTTC